TCGCTTCGCGAGAGGCTCTTACGTGGCTTAGTTTACATCTATGTTACCTCTAGAGTGCCTAGAGTTACATGATAGTCGTACATACGAACATTCATGTAGGTATGGTACAACAGGTAGAACGGTGGAGGAGAAGAGAACGTAAGTAATAAGTACGTGACGCAAGGAGGGCAATGTCGCGTTATCGTGTCGATTGCCTTAGGGTCGATATCGTTCGATTAGTCAGGACATTCTGGGCGGTGGCCAAATAAAAAAACATACAAACATTTACGACATTTCTGAGGAATATAAAATGTTTTAGAAGGTCGGAAAAAATAGGACGATAAAGTAAATTAATTCTTCGCGACCATTTTACAGTACACAATTGCTCCAGGAATTCCCTGAAGGCACGGCTACGTTATTAATTGTTGTACAAGGCACGGAGCGTGCACGCTTGAATTAATATTGACGTTTTGAATATTTATGACGATACCAATGAGTGTTGTACGTTCATTTGAAATTTTTATGCGGTGGAGTATTACTCCCCGAGGGATAATTGTTTCGCGCATTTTACCGCGGCCATTGAATAATTATAAAAGCGAGTGATAGGCGACATTCCATCGGACACGTCGAACGATAACGAGACTTTGTGCTGCATTAAAGAAGAGATCGAGATGGCTAATAGTATGCTGACAGCGTATACGAACGAGAAGAGTGACACGGTGTATACATTCAGTGGAACGTAATGACAAAAAAGGAGGCGGATAGGTGGTGCAAGGTTTTAACATTCCGCATATATATGTATACACATATATAGTATATAGTATATCAGATAGACATTATAAATATCTCTTCTCTTTCTAAAAGGTGTATACGCGGGTGCACTATCTGCACGTGGCGTGCATAATCGCCCACGAGTCGATAACACAGGCGAGACAATATCGAAGAAGAGTGTGAGAGTCTCGTGACGGTGATAAGTGGCGGGAGTTTAATTTCCTTTTTCTTTCCCCCTCTTTTAGTTTTTGGTCCGCGATTTAGTGTGAGTGAGTGTCAGGGTGCCCGAAAATCGTGGGGAGTCCTGAGTACTTGAGAGTGACGAGTAATACGATAATTAGACATCGGGTTCCATTGAAAGATATTTGCAATCAGTCGGATAAGTCGAAGCGTCCAGAACTCCCAAAACCGGTCATCCAATCGAAAGTGTTCGAGCCCTGTTATCTAGCGAGACGTTATCACCGATCCCTGAGTTTATACCCGACTCTCGGGTTTATACCATTAACTTTCGCAAGCGAAATTGACAGTTTCGCACGAGACTTTGAAATTATTGACCACTTACGCGACTTTGCAACGGTGCAAAATTTTATTGTGGGAATTTGTTCGTGAACTCGAGAATCGGGTCCCAGATCGCCTCCAAAATTAGCACTACTTTGACGTCGAAAGGAAGAGCCCGAGACCCCCCAACCCTGCCTCGCGTATCCATTATTAATTTGTTCTCTCATTCCATGGGCCGCCATAAAAGCGGACGTAAAAGCGTATGTGTACCTGGTCGTTCCTCCGTGTGGGCAGATCAGGGCCGCGTGGTAGGCCAGGCCGGTAATTTTGCTAATTGTCGCGACCGAAACTCGCCGGTGGTCGGCGGCCACTCTCGAGGCGATGTCGTTGTCGATGTTGTAATTGGGGTGAGTGACGAGGGGATGCGGACACCCCCGCCAAGGGGTAGCTAACGTGTCCTATACCACCTACACATCCAAAGCAGCTCATTCCACGCATTCGGACCATGGCAACGGTGACCGTGACGGGAGTCGGGGGGTAATCTCCCCTCCGAGATCCGTCCATCCGTGGTCCCCGGTTTTTCATCTACCCCCGACTCGATTTAGCCCCCTTGAATCGGATCCAACTGCGGCCCGACACCCCTCGACGTCCAGGAGGACACCGGGGGCGGTTGCCCCCGGCGTGTTTCCCCGTTCCGCCTTTTTTCCTCCGAAACTGGCCTGGGAAGTGCGTCCTCGGAAGTTCGCCAAAGTCCCGGAAGAGAGAAGGCCGGGAACGAGGGGGGGCCGGAAATGGCCGAGGCCTGGCGCTCGAGAAGAAACCGGGGAAAGTGGGCAGAACGCGGGGGGATGGGATGGCCCAGGGTCGATGGGGTGGTTCCGATGTTGCCGCCAACCTTGCGTCGGGAATCGCCGACCGGGTCGATCCCCAGACCTCGAAAACTGGAATCGTAAAGCTCGTCTCGCGGGATGAAGCGGCGCCCTCGTAAAGAGCTAAGGGCGCCGCTTCTTCTTCTTCGCCGATGTTCTTGGCACGAAACTCAGCCGAGGAAACGACCCCATTAGAGCAGCCAACCACGGGCACTTTGCCGACAGTTTTCATGGCCTCGTGAAATTTTTCAGAATTTTTACCACGCCGCAAAAACGAAGTTAGTCCCTCGCGGAACCAAAATGGTGGCCGATGGAGCCCTCGCCGCGAGCGGCATTGAAGTCTCCGAATACCTCCAGTTTTAAATAAAAGTCCCTAAAATTCTTTGCAAATTTGGAAACACCTTATCTATCAAATGATCGGTGCAGCTGTCACTTCTCGATGATTACTACAAGGCGAGCTTGGATTAAATTATTAATGGAGTATCGGAATTTCTCCCAACGAGGGCGGTATACGCGAAAGTGCCCTCAGCTGGTATCGTACACTCCGCCATGGTCGGACTCTATCCTCGAATTTACCACACATAAAGCGTCCCGTCATAAATATTGTGCACGTCATGGCACATTCCAGTTCGCGGGCTCGTATTAAAATCGTAACTCACGGTTTTAATACCAGCCCCGGAATTACTTTCAATTACTCTCGCGCAAGACGGACGAGGTTTCCCGACGAAAGGTTCGGATGTCCTCCGGGGTGGGGGGATGGAGACGAGGAGGGGTGACAACTGCAAGAGAAATCGATCGGTCGAGACGTTAGTTGACTAATCGGGTTCAAGGAGAGACGGAAAGACTCGCTCTTCTTTGAACTCGGTTTCGGGATCAGGAGAGAGGGGCGGCTCAGGGTGCAGAATTTTCGCGGTGGTGAAGCAAGCGATGCAGGTGACACTTTCGGTGCAGCAGGCGAACACGTATCCTAGGGTACGTGCCGACTAATGGTGGGGTGTTTTTTTTAGGGGGGGTCGTGCTGGTCGTCTGGTGACACCTAAGGATGCGCAGGCTCCTAGGAAATCGCTCGTAATCTCTTAACATTCGGACGCCAGTGGGGGGCGACGTGGACACCACCTAGATATCCTAAAGCTAACACAGGCACAGTGACGACAGGTGTGAGGGGACACCGAGAAACTCAGGAAACTCAAAGTGGAGGAGACGAAACCTAGAATGAATCCCGGATATCGAGTCGCGAGCTGCCAGCCTTTTATCATAAATACCCGGTTATCTTTCTTTGAGAGGAAAAATAAGAGAGAAAAATTACCTTCGTAACGATCTTCCCTCTAAGGAACGATAAGAGGAATTTGCAGAATCGGAAGGAATCAAATACGATTTCCGTAGAAATCAGGCGTCAAAATAGCGGCCTCTGATAGCTATATATTTTTTTAAATCATTATTGATAATTTATATATTTCTCTAGTTTTAATTAGGCAAGTGTCGCATTAATCCGTTAAAGAGGTGGCGGGATTTTCGGGGGTCGCGAACCGGGTCAGTAATTCATAGAGAAAACGGGATAATGTCGCGCGTGGGCAGCGAGGGAGACCGGAAGTGGGTCTCCGGGGAACGAAACAGCCGTAATTTCCGGTTCGGCGAGCCGTGCTGAATAGACGGGCTCACAATCGGGATAGACGTCCAGGGTGCATCTCCGGGGGATGAAGAAGATGCGGAGGCGTTCCCTCGGGACCGGAGGTGGCGCCCTTTGCTCTCCGCGCTCTTATCACTCCCTCGATTATGCTAATTGGGACTCTCCTCGATTCCCGACCACGCCAACCTTTGCCGCGTCTGCTCGATAAAAAACTCGGAAATTCCTCTCGTCTTTCCATCAAAGATCGACTCCGATACCTTCCAGGATAAAGGGAAGATCAGGGAGACGCGGCAGCTCCGACTTCCTACCTCGGGAGGAAAATTGAAAAAGTTAGTAAACAAGGGAAAGAAAAATTGCGAGATGCCGTAAAGGGGTGCTACACGTCTAGGTCAGCACTAGGTGCTCTTCGGGAAGGGGCACGACCACCTTGGGATTTTATTAGGGTACTTAGGTACTTCAAAGCTACCTTGTGAATTTAATTCGTTCGCTTATTTTTATTAAAACCGCTTAATTTCTTGGAAATTTCCTGAATTTATTTGTTTCAATAAATCAAGGTAAGGAAAATTATGCGGTTCCCAGGTGCTCGTGCCCTTTACCTCAGGTGGGGTGCCGAGATAACGAAGTCTGTGCTCAAGAGTGATAAGCGACAGGGACGGTGTCTATTAACAGTGCCCAGAGTGGTGCAACAGCGAGAGGGGGAGGTGGCGCGTTAACAGTGACAGAGACAGAGGGGATTGCCGAATCAATAAAAGTAGCGGTCGGAGTAATGACTTGTTTAAAGGGCGTCGGTGTACTTAGGGATGACGACGGCGACAATAAGTTACGAGTTGCGGCACTTCGAGTGGAACGTCACAATGGGGGTGAATCGTGTCGTGTGTCGTGTCAATGGCGAGTCCGATGACGACATGTGCGACATGTCATCGGATCGGAGGACCAAGATCCGACCCTCCACCACTGATTGTCCACATCAAAGGTATCTTTTAAATTTCTAATTCACTTTACTTTACTTATGAATTCTCTATCATTTCCATTCTTCACCGTGAAGTTGATATCTCTATTTTCATTTTTTTCTAGTCCAACGAGAAACACGGATCAGTGATAAGCGGACCGGAAAGTGGCGGCTCGGAATTCTACGGGTCAAGCAGCTGTGTGTGTTGTCAAAGGACACACATAAACGTGACAAGTGTGTGTCGCGAATTGAATGGGTGGCGGGAGTACGTGAAATCGAACGTGGCGCGAGTAGAATGCTTAAGGACCTGCTTCTGGGCCATGGACTGCATCTGCTGGAACATGATCCTCTCCTCCTCTTTCCCTGCAACAGTACAAGACAATGGGAAGCTCATGAGAAGTCCAGCCGGCCCGAATCCGCGTCCGGAAGCGAATCGCAACGCCGTAAACGGGAATTCATGGCCCCCGGGAAGCTACTTTAACGGGCTCCGTTTCCCCATTCTTCTTTATCACGTTAGATAGGATTCACCGGATAGGATTCGCGGAACTGCACTTGCGAGATACGAGGTCGATCGCCTACTTTCGCGTGCGTTTTCGTGCACTTTTGCCATTACGGAAGAAAACGTTTCCATTGTTTAAAAAATGCCTAAATTCGGTGCGTGAGAAGGCCAATCGAGGATTATTGAATTCGATACGCACTCGCGTCAAAGAGCACCGGGTTGCCTTTCGTGAATATAAATAAATAAAATTAATTGAATCGGTAATAATGAACGCGACGCGTCGCGTTCATGAATTTCGTCAGGTGTGCCCGGTCGAAAATCTCTCATACAAGTTTATCCGGAACTGCGGTAATTCTCCGGTGTCATGGAGTAATTAATTTCTTGCTGAGGGGTAAAAAAAATCTACTCGTTCTTAATTTCGAGGCGCCTCCAGAGGTACAATCTCGCCGGCACATTTTTCACGCCACTCCGATAAAGTCAGAGCCCGCTTTTGCTGGCAACCACGGAAGCTGCAACCCGAAGGGGAGCTAAAAAAAAAGAAATGAAAGAAAGAGAGAAAAACCATCTGGCGAGACCTCGTGCGAATGCAAAAGTGCACGCCGAAACGTGGAAACCCGTCGACGAAGTAAATACATATTTTCAACAAATCTTATTACCGGGAAACCTCCACACAAGAACACCAGCGAACGCTCTTTAAACATCCCGCCTCAGACAATTCCATTTAATGTTCCCAGGAATCAAAAGGAATTCTCATAAGCAACGCGGAGGTCCTGAATGAAGGAATTTCAAGGAAAATATTCCGAGCCAGAGGAAAGCCGCTTCGAAATCCTGCTACATGCATAAAACAGGACTTGCATAGAACCCTGTATGCAGTTCTACTGCACCACTCATTTTTCTAGATTTTCACAATTTTGTTTGCGCATCTGGAGTAATGCCGATTTTATATCATCTAGGTGTCCTTAGATTATCCTGGATAACGCAAGGATGTACCCTGGCGGCCATGAATGGCTTTCTCGTGTACATGGTGCAGCCTGGTGGTGGCAACGTAAAAAACGAGCTCGAGAACTTATGTACTTGCGGTACCTGATGTATAATCGACTCGCTCGCGATTTTCCTGGTGCTGTTAACGATCGTACCATCAGCCCCTCATTTTCGGGGGTTAATGTTCCCGCGACAAATCTTTCCAGCTGGATCCCTCAGAAGTCGGGGGACATCCGAAATGTAGAGCACCTACACCCGGGCTTGCACACACGGACGAGAAAACGCGTCCTCGACGCGTAAATTCCGTGCTTGCGCGATGCCCTACATTCCGTTCTACGTGGTGGCGTTCCACCTTTGCTGGGACTTGCACATACGTACATAGGTGCGACATGCCTCCAGGTATGTGACATTAGGTCACATTAGGCGGTACCGATCGCCTGAGGATTGCTCATATGAGGCCAGCCCCAAGAGGGACTACAAAACGGATCAAAACGCAAATTGCACGGGGTATTATTAAAAATGACTCGATGGAACGCGACTAATATTTCAAGAGAAAAAAAATACGGATCCACTTCCGAACGGTACAAAATGAATGTTAACGCTACTTATAAAAATAACGATACGAAAAGACGAGCCATTGCAAGTGCGCTCGGTGCGCGAGTGCATGCGAGGGATTACCGGGAAAGAGGATCTCTTGGTAGAGTAGTCTCGGGAAGGATGTGCACAGAGTGCACCGATATGTAAGGGGCTTGCACGGAGATATACGTACGCGAGCGGTCCGATGACTAACTGGACTCGTTATCAATGTCGCGAGATAAAAGATAACCGAGGGGGGCACCGGAAATCGATCACTCACCCATCCCTTTATTCTGCAGCATCTCCAGGAGCTTCTTGATGCTCTCATCTCGGGCCTGCAGGGTCTGCTTCTGCGTCTCTATCCTGAGCTCCAGCTCCTGCAATAGCGAAAAGATACTCAGATATTTTTCGCTTTTCGAGAAACCAGCGTCACGAGTCGCGATCGTTAAACAAAAAGAAAATTAATAAGGATATATCGACACTTTTATATAAAATATTTGAATCCTTTAATGGGGACATGAGAGTCGGGTTAAGTGGTTTAGAAAACTGTAATGAAAAATCGGCTTCGAAGATATTGCGGAACGGGGAATCCAGAAACCGATTCGGAGAGATCAATAATAGGTCCATTACGTCGAGTACCGAAACTCGGGGCCGGATATTCTTCCTCAAATTTCTATTCAGAGGAGTATTTCTGTATAGCGGTCATTAAGAGAGATCCTCGAGGCGAGGAGCACTCCTTTCGCAGGACAAAAGCAGAATCCTAAGTATAGAACTTTTCAGGGCAAGGGTTGTATCAAATGTATAATTTCGTACGAGGTACAATACGACGCCAAATTACCCGCTCGTAATGTAATCATTTTCTACGGTCATTTCAAGCCCTCAATTTTGCCACACGATCCGCTGCCATTCGCGTTTTGAAATATATTTCACGTGAATTTCAGTTTGAAATTAAACAAACCGATTATCCCTTGTCAAGGCCAGGAAACAGATCGGAGGTGTATATCTACTCCTGATATTAATACCCCTTGAATTTCCCAGAAATTTGTATTATCTCGTTCAATTAGAGGAGGGTTATCAGGCCCGGAGGAAAATACCGGATCCGATATCAGGGGCTGATTTGGTCGAACCGACTCGGAAAGCACCCCATGGAACGAGACCCCTTGCCACCTGCATGTCTTTCAATTTCAGACCTCCCATTCGGGACCCCCCAGGGGGTTGGAACGTCATTAGGCCAAAATTAAACGATGGTTCTCTTCCCATCTCGTTTCCTCTCCTGGCGATCTTCCCTCCCTTCGCCCCTTTTCTGGGGGGAACCTCGTGAAAGAAATTCGACGTTTACGTGCCATCATGTATGATTCATGTAACGGGTCGTTTTAAACGCCTCGTAATTTAGATTCCAGGTTTCCATTTTAGACTTGCAGATGGCGAGTCAATTAGACGGCAAGTGCACCGAACGTGGGATTCGTTATTTGTGGAAGCGCGCCTTCTTTTTGGGGGGCCAGAGGGATCAAGAACCTGCAAACGATCAGGCAGGAACACCGACGAAAGCCAATGTCCACTTCTTGGCAACGACCTGCACCCTGTAATGGCGGATTTGGTAATGAGCAACGAGAAAGTGCCCCGACGTAATCTGGCGATCCGCCAAAGGCGACCAGTTGCTTCCGATGTCTGCCGACTTCTGCGTACGATCTCTCATTCGAGTCACTGGACTCGATCGGCAGCTTTTGCGACCGATTGAATTTCAAAAACGACGATTTATCGTGGCCGACGTATAACAGGAATTTAATTCCATCGATATAGTAACAGCGATCAAGACAAACCTCCGAGAAAAGTGCAATTCACCGCAAAGGGGAAAATAAAAAAAATATATCAATCCCACGAGTGATAATACAAAAAGATTAAAATTAATCCGAACAATGTCTCAAGAATTTCCAGGTAAATAATAGATTATTGAATTTCATGATTCTCGCGCGAGACCGAGATCCCAGGTATTTAAGGAATTTAATTCAAGTGAATTGGCAGGTTTTATCCTTTTTCCGCTCGAATTTATTAATCGAATATGTCGCCGGAGGTCGAGCATACCGAGATGGATTTACGTGGTTATGTATAATAAAAAGTCGGAGACCAAAGAGGTAGACGGACTGACCGTGCCAAGAACATTCCAAGATGGCCGGAGTTGGAAGACATTCGGCGGAGAATGGCCAGAAGTCATTTTGCTCCCCGACAAAAGCTAAACCGTCGGTTATTTCCGTCGAGGTTCCTGCCGGAGGAAATTCAAATGACTTGTAATACCGAATATGGACTGCGAAGATAGGGGAGAATAACGACTGGAGAGGCAATTAAAGACGACTAACCCGAGGAACCTCCTAAGGGTAGTTTGTGATAATTGCCCCGTCCTTAAAACGAGAGTCCGCTGAAAAAAAAGAAATGTTTACGGTCGCGAGGAAATTTACCTCCGTACACTTGCGGGCGATAAATCAATCCAGCGTGAGAATTCCCTGAAGCAGAATTTCCTGTGAGAATTTGTTGAAAGTGATTTCGGAGGTCTCCACGAGGTCCAGGTTAATTTCTTTTGAAGCGAGTAATGGCACCTTACTTAGTCGTAATGGCACTTTGAAGATCTAATCAGGGTACGGTCCGCATATGATTTAATTCCCCGCGAGATAAGATCTGGAATCTCCGTTCTTGCCGGTCAAATCCGGCCTGGATATCCGGAAAATTCGGAATTCCCGCCGAGGCATCCGATATCGGATTTCGACAATACGCGAGAATTCTCATAAACGCCGTGGAAACCACCCCAGCGGTCGAAGCGCCCTCGAAAACCTTCCCATTGTGGGTTCCAACTTCCATTATTCGTCTTATTATATTTCCTGGCCATTCCGCCTCGGTTTACATCCCCGATGGCCTCCTCACGGCTCTAATTTGCATCCCCCAACGTTAACACGGTAAACAAAAATTATCTCATCCCGCAAGGTTCGAATAACACCACGCCATAATACCGAGGAAAGAGACAAAAGAGCCTGGAGGTAATAACTAAAAATGAAAAGCGCAGAGGATGACGCGAGAAATCCCATTTACCTCTACTAAAACAAAATTCCTGAATAAATGAAAATAATAAGGGAAATTCATGAGAGGAGTTACATCTCACTTTTTCGATGAAATCTAAACAGGTAAGAGAGAAGGCCAGAAATTTAAGCCGAAACTATGAATTATGAGATGAGGTGCCAGATTAGGAATTTTTGTCAGAGGATGGATTTTCGGATTTTCAAAGTAATTATAAAATTTCACAGAATTTTCCTAACGGAGGTGAGTCCTCTCGGGATTCCTCCCTGACCTGAAATTCTCCTCGGACTTCTTTACGCTCGCATTTACTCGCCATTATTCCTCCCATAATGGTTCAACCCCCTACCTCTCCCTGACCTCTACCATCAATGCCGCCTTTCACTCGCATCAGCGTACCGCCGTAGAAAATGATTTTAATTTTGCGTACCGCGTAATTCCACCTCGGGGCGTTTAATAAGTAAATAAGGGCAAGTGGAAGGCACTCCGTTTAATATTCGCCGAGACAAAAGCTGCGAACGGAGTCTCAACCCCTTCTTCCCGGGCATTTAAATGCTCCCCCTTAGTAGATACCGCTCGGCAATTACGATTTCATGACGAGGCTGCAATCGCCGGATCTTGAAAATACAGGAGTTCAAGGATTCTCATAACGAAGCATGGAGAATTCCAGGAGAGAAATCCTCAAAGGAGTTCTGCGAAGAGAAGAAAATCCACCCGATCTACCGCGTACATTTACCGAAAAAAAAAAAATTTGGCTTACAATAATTACGATCTCATGACGAGGCAACGAATCCTATATTTTGAAAATACAGAGAATTCAGAATTCGGCGGTTATCGGTCGCCTCAAGATAATTAGAATTTTATGAGTACAGGATTTCGAAACTAGGGGAACTCGTTAATTCACTTAGCTGAAGTTTCCGAGGAATTCTCGGATATTTCCATCCGCGTGAAAACCCTCTCGAGCTTCTTCGCGTTTACCACCATTATTCCCTTTATAATAATGCCACCACGAGCTATTTTCCACCTCCGCTTTCATTTCCGACGGCCACTTCGCGCCTTTCATTTGCATTTCAATTTAAGACCTCTCGGTCTCCGCGAAGAGGGCGGCGCCTCTTCTAGGGGGAATCGATAGGGGTCGATCTTTCCGGTCTGGGGACCCTAGGGGACTCGAATTCAAGGCCTGAAACCCGGGAAACTCCCACCGGAGACCATGAAAGAGAAATCTTCCTTCCCTTCGGGAACCCTCCCTCCCTGTGCCGACTCCGTCGTCTCTGTGTGCGTCCGTGGATGTGCAACCCCTTTGTGAAACTGGGTTTCGGGATTAAGGCACACGGCCGACTCTTTGCTCCGACAGTGGAGGAGCTCCCAGAAATTGCGACCGACACGGTAGAGGGCCAGAAATTGCGACCCCTGTCCAAGTGGGTTGGTCTCAGAAAATCCGGGAAAAATGAAATTTCTCAAGAAAGCAGGGAGACTTCTTTCCCTCCATGCATAAGAAACCCAAGTATCTGTACAAACATAACTCACATTTCCTAAAAAAAGAATCTGCCACCCCTAGCGTCCAGGAACCCTTTTCGCCATATCAATAAATTTCAAGAGCAAATGAAAAATATGTACTATAAAATCCCAGGATCCATGAAACACCCCGTAAAACGCACGAATGCCTCTCAAGAGAATTGGAATCGCCGCCACCGCAAAAAAAAAAATAACCACCCTGTTTTTTTTTCCCGCAGAAATTCTGATTTCCAGATTCACCTCCCATTTTGGGGTGCAACGATTAATCAGGGGAGTATCGTCGGCCGGAGGGGAATTCCTCGTCCAAATTAAGTCCTCTAGCCCCTGGGGTCCACTTTCGTTCGCGGGGGTTACAAATTGGGACCAACCCCCGGGACTCGTTTCGTTTCCTGTCCAGCTTACCTTTATCGTATCCCGAAGTATGGCGATCTCACGAGTGAGATGTTCGTTCTCGTTGTAGAGGACCTCCATCTGCTGCTGCATCTCCACGCTAGGCCCTCTCATCCGCAGCCTCAGTTCCTCCTCCAGTTGGCGGACCATCATGCTCTGCTTCTGCACTCAGAAAACACCCCAAAATTATTCCCTCGAACTTGCGGTTATACGCGCAGCTGGGCCGGATGCACGGACTTTGTGCTCGTAGGAGCTCGCAAAATTATCCCACTGTCGAGTTTACTATTCGTACATATTTACGGGTGCACACTTGGCCAGTACGGAATACCCCCGTCAAATACCCTAGAATTAAATCCCCTAAGCTAGATATAAGGGACTTCTGCGCAAATTTCCTTGGTTTCATTCGAAGAAATATTTCTCCGGTTGAATAACATTTTTGTTCCTCGGTTCAGAAATAAGTCGGATCGCGAATCCGCGATCTCAAGGAAGACGACCCTCATTGATGTCGGTACCGGAAACAAGGGGTGAGGAGAAAAAGAAAAAGGAGGGAAAGGAGGGTCGTCGCCGACAAATGGCGCCTCGGAAAAATGTTCGATAGCCGCGATTGACCCGGTTATTCCGTTGGAGCCGGGGCGCCGCGTGACGTCACGAGGACGGGCCACACCCCGCCGTCGGTGACGTCGTTTCCCCTGTAATGAAACTACCTCTTTCGTCCTCCCCCCGCGAAGCCGCGACCGAATTCCCCGTGTCCACCCTCCCGCCCCGGCATACGAGGGATGCGATTGGCCGGCTCCAACGGAAAGGCGGACAAGGTGGAGGCGGAAGGTAATTGGGTACAAGTCGCTTCTTTTTCGGAGGCTTTGCTATCTCGGGATTACAACCCCTTGCAGGTGCCGACACTCGTCGAGTACATCGTCCTCCGGTGTAAGGGCGGAAACGCGGAAAGGGTTCTAAAAATGGCCGATCGCTCCGCACTGGCGGAAAATTGGGAAAACACCGGAGATAGTTCCCGGGAAAAACGAGAAACGTCACCAACGTGCCCCAACGTGCAGCCATAAAACACTGATTAGAAATTAAGGTAACTCGTTTACGCGATAAGCCGATAGTATCTCTTCACTTGAGGGGAGATCGAGAGGAAAGCGAGATCGATGCGCGTTTCGCATATTTCACGTCCGGCGAGACACCGAAGGGTTTAACATTTGCAGGGCGACAGGGCGAGACGATAAGGTCGAAAGTAGGAAAAGAAGATAAGGTTTAAGGTTTAAGAGAAGCCCTCCTTAAGACGAGATCCTATTAACGATCGTGTAAACCCTACATCCAGCGCCGCTCCTTATTATGCCGAGCCATGCCGACTCGCCATGAGAAGTCGAACGCTTCTGTCGACTCGGCTTTAACCACTTGACAGGGACTATAAACATCCATGAACGTCAAATGAACATTCGGTACCTCGGGAAATATCTACCGAGAACGAATAAAGCGTTCACTGGAAAAATAGTAAAAAAAAAGAATTACCCCCAAGCGTGTCCGATGAAGCGGTCATTGACCATTTACAAGTAAAGAGGTAATAACTAAGGCGCTTATCGTAGAAGTGAATATTTATCGTAAAATTTAAATTATTTACGTATCTAGACACCTCGCTGAAACTGGAGCAGCGAGGGTGGGGAAATTAAGCGAGGAGATTTACCGGAGTGGCTACTTTCTAATTACCCAAAGTATACAGCACGTGTATATATATATAATATACTCGGGCGAAAACGAGAAGAGTTCATATTTTTAGCGGATAAAATCGGCCGAGAGATTAAATGGATGCAAAATTCTGGATAAGTGAACAAGGAAACGCGGTTTCTTTTACCGGCGTTAAATTTATTGGGAAAGTACGGTGAAATGGTAAGGATAGATTCGAGTCGCATGTACCGGGGAAGTAAATATGAAAAGCGGTCTCGAGATTAAAAGGAAACCGATCGATGGCACGGAAAGGGACACGCGATGTTTTCCCCCGATTAAATATCCAATGTGTCCTCGAATTGGAGCTCGATGGATTGAAAGTAGACGAGTCAAAGTACGGCTCGAAATCGCAAGGATATTCCTGGCGGCAGAGCTGACACAGTTTCCTTGTGCAGCGGCCTTTCGGAGAAACTTCAATTCCCCTAAAAACGCCACTTTTATTCCCTTTCCCGAGGGGAGGAATTTTTAGATAACTCGGCCTTTATGAAAATGATAAACGCAAAAATTCCGGCCCGAGGCGAGCCCGCCGTTGCAGCAATTGCATTTCCGGAACGGCGATGCTTTCTTATCCCCTTAACATCTTTCCCCTTCTTAGAGAGAAATAATATTACCGTAGCTGAACGTGACCAAGGGAGGAAAAAACATTAATACATAACCGGGCAAGTCTTAAGAGGTGGGAAAGGGAGGATAAAAATTTTCTCGCCGACGCAATAAAATGATAAACTGGATTAAATAACCACCTGGGAAGAACACCATATTCCGCAATGGTTAATTCAGAAATTGCGTTACCTATTAAACCGTGCCGCAGAAATTTTCCAGCATCGGTTTCTTCGACGAGGTATTTTACAAAATGTAACATTTTACTGGATATTTTAAATACTTCAGATCCGTATGCATTTTTTTTTATCTCCACCGCCATGTAACCAGCGGTTCAATAAAACAATAAACGGGCCCATAAACTCCGTTCCCGAAATAAACGTCATTTTTCGAGCCCCGCTTATCGGGAAACGCTCAGTCAAAAATTCGGGGCTCACCGACGCGGAAAAATCAAAAGCAGGAAAATCCGTAAGCCGAGACTAGGAGTGCGCTCCTGGCATCGAGACTTCCCAAAACTCCGGCAGACACGGAATCCTGAAGAACTCCGAGACATCGATCGAGGAAGAACGGCCGGCAAACATGAGATTTCAGATCCCGGAGATAACTCGAAGTGTCGCCGAGGAGAATCGGAAGGAAATAAAAACCAAAGGCCGAGCCGTCTCCAAACTCCTGTAGTTTTCCTCGACATCGATCCTCGGGCAAATCGGCAAATAAATCGCGAACTTCGGGAGTTTCGTCCCTTCGGGGACGCGAAAACACGAAATACGGGGAAACGAGGTCGGACTTTCGAGGAAGCGGTCGATCATCGATCGGCTATCGATCTCCGAAACTCGACGTCGACTCGACAGGGGGTTGGACATTTTCGCGAAGGTTCGCAAGACCTCGTAATATATGCCGATGGAGTACGAAATGAAGATGAGGTACCAAAGGGCGAGGAAGTGGCCGACGTCGCCGTCGGGGTGCTCGATAACCCGTTATCAATTTTTTATCGCCTCGATTTCGCCGTCAATTGGGGCATCGTCGATATTACGGCCGAGCGACGAGTCATCGAGAGCTCTATCCTGAGCCGCGTTTAGCGAACGAATATATACAGGATTGATAATACAAAAATAACGAGGCTCTCTATATACAGGGTTGAAAGTGAACGCGCGTTTGCGGGGCAATTGTAACGACGCTGCGCAAATGGAGGCCAAATTGCAGGCGAGATTAAATTTTGGAGTTACGATGGGACGGGATCCCGGATAGCGACGTTACTTCCCCGATACGCTCCGAATTACTGGAAAATATTGACATAGGTGCCCCACTGTAGATACACCTCCACGTATCTACATATCGGCGGAAAATCAGGGCATTTTTTCAATTTAAATCCACAGGGTAATAGAAACGGTAGACACGGTTTATACAGCACTGTTCCTGTTGAAAAAGGAGTCGAAAAGTCCTCTACTATTTTCTCCTGCGACGGATAATTTTCCTGTAATAACTAATTCAAGCACAGCCAATCAATCGCGATCCCCAACGGAACGGAGCGATTAGAGTATCTCGGAGTTCATCGATCGATTGGAATTCCGAAAATCGAGTTCCTGGTTCCATTAGTGCCCTGCGAAGTCCGGGAACTCGGGGGCACCCCGTTGCACGCCGTAGACGTATCGAGCGCCGTCAACTTTTTCACCCTATAAACATTCCTGACAACCACCGAGGGTGGGAAATTCGAGACAGACGAACGGCCGTACACACGGATAAAGTTTCCACCGATAATGGCCGTTCCCGTTGGTTGTGGGGGGTTGTGGGGGTGAAAAAGTTGGAGACCCTTCGGCGAGGCCAGGGCGTATCGATTGGGGCGGGGGTGCACACTCGGGGGCGCCAATCGACCGGAAGTTCCGGCGTGTGTAAACGAGCCCTGAATGGACCGCGTGCGTAAGGGCGACAGAAAGGGGTGCGACCACAACGCGACTCGCATGAACGGAAAAATCTGACCGGAAGTGGGACCATGCCCGAGGTCGTCGTACCCGGATCGATCCCTTCCCGGAAAAGGGGTTCTCGCCAAGGGGTTGAGGCCAGGTTTCCACGTACGTTGCAAGCACCCCTCTTTACGAGCCGCGGACCTTGCCTCGTGTTTGCAATCTTTCGTCGTCTTCCCCGCCCGGCGTTCGCGGAGGGCAGAAGAGCAGAGCTACGATAATAATGGAGCAGAACCGAGTGCAATTAAAGCGCATGTTCACGTCAGCTGGTCGCAATACCTTCGATCAGGAATGGATAATGACGAAGATCGTTATCAAGCGAGCGATAACGAAGGGAGTACGAGGGAGGAGAAATGCCGGCCATCCCGACGTTCGCTTTTTCCGAATCGCGAGCTCCCCCCCTGTTCAGCGCGAGTGTACGAGACCGAGGCGAAACGCGTGGGGGAATCTAGTGGAAAAGCCGCCCCTTCCCCGTCCCCCTCTCCGCGGCGTAGTACGAGCTAGTATCGGGAGAGGGGTCGAGGGGGGTCGGGTAGGGAGGAGGAGTTGGCGCCGCTCGATAACGCCTCTGCTTCTGGTCCGCCATCATCCTCCTCCTCTGTCGTGCTTTCTCCCCCCCTCTGGAGCTTTTCCTCCCTTTCGCGGCAATGCCGAGCTTTCCCGCTTCGGGACGTACGGGAAAACTCCGGGCCGGGACGAGCGAGTTTACGCCGAGACAATCGCGCCGACTCGAATGGGGGTGGTAGGGGGTACGGGGGAGGGGGCAGATACCGGGGGGACGCGATATTGCGCAGGGTAAAAAATGTCGCGCCAAGACTTGGGATATGTATAAGCGGAAACGAGTGGCGGTTTTGCGGCGCTTTTTAGATAGGTGAGGGGGACGGGAGTGTGTCGCGTACTTTGGGGGAAATGCACCCCCCGAGGGATGATGGACCGTGGATGATGGATGCACGCGGATGTACCGATGGCTCGTGATAATTTGGAGCAATTTATTCGCTGTCGGGTTTCTCACCCTCGGAGGGTCGCTCGCCTCTAAGGGAGTTAAAAGAACGAGGGGCGGCCGCGGAGGAAATGAGGGAGGAAATTAAATGAGCGACGCGTTTGATGGGTCGAATTTAAGGGTTTAATTACGGGAGATCGTAGGGATGGACTCTTCGGGGATATCTGTGTTTTGTTGGGATCGGGCAGATATAGAAGAAAGAGGGGGATGACAGTCGAGGGGATTCTTTTCTCCTTTTGTTCTTTGGCTCACCGTTATCGATGCTCTCCCGTAAATATCGCAAATTCGGAGTAAGCCCGACGCTAGGAGGCGGATTAACCTATTTTCTTGTAGCCGGCGACAGTCCCTATCGCGGCCTCGGCACAATATATGCGCAGCTACTTCTTTTGTTTCGTCCGTTTGGATTGACGTATAAAGCGCGCCTCGGCGACCGGCGGAACCAAAATGGCCGCCGGGTGTTCGGCGAAGCCGAAAAATCCTTGGCGCCGGAGTACGTTCCCGAAAAAGGAACGCTAAAAGGTCCGACGGTCTTCCGCTCGAATTCAAATTCCCTTCTAGCGTTTTGCTTTTGGCCGTTTACCGTGACTTTTACGCTTATTTCGAACGCTTCCGCTGGGCGTTCGCGAATAGATACGCCACGCGACGCGGAGAACAATAATGGGTGGTTAAATAATTCCGCATGTTTCAGTCGTTTCAGTTTGTTTCTACTTGTTGCGAGAATTACGGAGCATAGCGGCTGTACCCTCGGCATAAGAAAATTGCCCGAATTAACCCGGGGTTTGTTTTACACTCGGTGAGAGAGCTCCGCGTTTAAGTTTACGGGGCTGCGCGTCGATCGGAACCAAAATGGCCGCCGGGTCTTCTCTCGGCAAAGCCGGTGAATTCTTAACGATCCACATCGATTTCCGTTTTCGGATAGTGGATGCCGTGGGACGCCGTGAAAGCGCCCGGATTTAACAGGGTTACCCTCTTCCTGCTTTATTTTTCACCCGTGACGACGCTAGCCGTACGCGAGTTTATATTTAGGGCGCCTTGTAACGCGCTTGGCGAGGCCAAAATGGCCGGAAAACGTGTCTGGAAGGCTCCCGGAGATAGACATCGGCTCCCTTTTTAAAAGTCAGTCGAGGAGAAATATCACGAAACCGGTAATCTCCCTATTCGATCGCATTCCCAATTTTCCTCGATCCACCGTAACAACCCGTCGCCTCGGTAGAAACATGAAAACACCCAACATTCGATACAACCCCTCCGAAATAAAGAAAAAAAGGTCACAAAACCCCTGGAATTCCGCCAACAATAAAATCTCACCATCTCCCGGCGAGTTCAAAGAGTCAGGGGAAAATTAGCGAAGCCGCTGATAAAGTTCCTTCGAGTGCAGAAATTAAATAACGCGGCGCCGGAGGACCCTTCTCGCCCCTCTTGCGAAACGGGCGCGGAGGCGGCATTTTCTTCCCTCCCCCCGATCTGCAGAAGGAGGATGTAAAGAAAAAAAAAATAAGGCCAAAACAAAAGCGTCAAAGCCATTAGCGAAGAATAGTAACGAGCCGCGGAGGACTTTGAATTCCCGCCTCGAATGCCCGGGACCCCCCATTCTGGTCACCTAGTTAGGATGCAACGCGAGCCCCGGCTGCAGAATAATCTACAAAGGAGCTTTCGCCGATAGCGAGCTTCGAGTCGAGGGCGAATTTAAAGCCCCGGGGCTCCGGCTCGAAGGATTCCCAGCCGATCGATCGCCACGAGATATCGCGGCGATATCACTCGCGAGGTCGCGGGGATTCCGCGCGAGTGATGCGGAGAAATCGAGACCCACGATCTCCCGCTATCGCAATTTCCCCACCCTCCGATTGGGCTGCAGATTTCCCCGGAAAAATGTCCCCCCCCATTCAGACGTGCAGGGGTGAGATCGATCGCGTGTGATAAGGACTTAACGCGACTATCGATCGGCACTGCGTGCACCGCGATATCGACGCCCCTCTTCCAGGGATTACGAATTTTCGCTGATTCGCGAGTACGACGCCGAAAGAAAATGGCGGCGATCCCTGCAGGGGGTCCTTCAAGGGTGGTCTCGGAGGATAATCTCCACTCCTGAAGCGCGGACTCGGTTTTAACGCTTTTATCTTCTCCCACGAGAATAGCTGATCGACGCTGGAAAAAGTGTCACCATTCTGGGGCGACGTGGAAATTCGAATCGATTCTAGGTATCTCTTTTTAGCCGAAAATCCGGCTAAAAAGGCGCGTTGGTTCCCTTTAACGAAATCGCGGGTTAGGGTTCCTCCACGGTTGAGGGAGGTCGGTGCAACGGTGCACTTTATCGGCCTGACATCGTGGTTATTATTCTATACGTCAATTTGAACGCACTTTATCGCCCCGGGCGTTTCGATATTCACGGAGCACGAGTCGTCCGGAGGAATAAATCAATCGGGGTCGGTTTACCGGGAGGTCGCGAACGACCTCGATATACTCCGAAGTCCTTGCTGATTAATCTTGGATGCGCTCTAATCTGGCCGTGGAATAACCTCGGTATTGGACGCTCTTATCCGATACGTCCGTGTCGGTTAACGCTGCAATTCCTCCATTACTCGGGAACGAGAGGTAACGGGGAACGATGTCGAGATTAACCGGAGATTCTATGATAAGTTATTAAATCCGGGGGAGGTTTGAAAAATTAATACGAAGTTCATTATTCTTCCCGTCCTTAAAATTCAATTATTCAGGGGAAGAAGTCTATCGAATTTGGGATATCGATTCGGACTGGCCGACCAGTCAGAGAATTCCTAAATCACGAGGCTGTCAAAATCGTTAGATCGGAATCTGAAATCACATCCGAAATACACGGTTCTCGGCAATCCCGGATTCTTCGTAGTTCGTTAATCGGCTGGAACATTTAACGAGGCGAGGAAACCCGCGTTAACGGCGCGTTGCATTTCCGGAACTGCACGGTTATTAGCTCGGGGATGCTTCCGGATGCTTGGGCGTAAATAAACGGAACGACGATGTCGCCTAATTTGTCCGAAAAAAAAAAAACAGAGAATGGAAGGGTTAACGGTCGACCGTTTAATCCATCCAAATGACCGTAGCTCAGTTCCGAGGGCTTGACCCCTGCGCGGCAATTATCAGAGATGATAACACCTCCCGAAATTTTCTTACCAAACCGGATAATGCGTTATAGATTCCCCCGTCCCGGAATGAATAAACCCACGAGTCGCGGGGTCGAATTTCTTTATCAAGCGCAGGGTAACTTATCACTCCCGAGTTGACCCTGGGGTGCAGTCAAGCCGTGCTTAAGATGCGTTTAAAAGGCGTGCGGTCATGGGGTCTAACGTAAGTAAAGAGCCCCGGCGGTGATATCAACACATCCGAGGTATAAATAACGGGCTACGGGGGGGATCCGGTAAACCGGATGTATTTAAGCCAGCGGACGTTCACCGCTCGAGACGACGAGCCAAATACACGAAGATACACGAGACACCCCATATATCGATCGGCCTAAATATAAACGAGACGAATTAGCGATGTCCCAGGCCGGTGGTGTTCCGTGCTGACTCCCGGCCGGAGGCCGAGCTCGATTATACGCGGAACTCCCTCGAAAACGCATTACATATTAGCCTTCCGACCGGAAATAAGAGCATCGATCGACCGCCGGTCGATGTTACGAGTCGATATCGCGGCAAAATCGACGATCGGAAGGGCGGCTCGGATTCGATTTTACGTGCGACCGAGCCGCGTCTACCCAATTTCTTATCGCCGATAAAGGGAGGCCCGATAAGGAATTACGAGCTGCCGAGTCGAATCGCGGCGGGACGTTATCGGGACCTCCGTTACAATTTCTAGGGTACAGGGGATAATTTAGAGTCCGAACCCGACCACTCGAGGGACGCAATGGAGCGCTCGAAACTTCGCGGAAACAGTTGGCCCGAAGTTTCGCCTTTGAGGAAGACAAATAAAGGAGCGGAGGGGGTCGAATTCGACGCCTTTACCGAGATTCGAGGTCGAGGAGACGGATGGGATCTAGTTTCCTTGGAAAGGGAAGCATAATATAAATAGGACGCGGGTCATTTCTGGAGTAAAAACACGAATTGGTTTCGTATGTTAAAAGTACAAACTACGCTCAAATATGGAGACATAAAAATCCAAGAGGCAATGCCGCGTCCGTCTCGAGATTCCCCTTCTCCTCTCTTTCTCTCTCCAGCCACGTACTTGGGCGATCAACTCGTGAATGCGCCTCGGTATGCACATAAGTGCACGAAGGGCCGCAAAGGCGTCGTCGTGGGCGTCGCGGCGCGTCTCCGGCCACATCCGCACGTCGAATCCCAAAGAGAGAGAGAGAGAAAGAGAGAGAGAGAGACAGTCAACGAGCTCTCGACTCCTCCGAGGGCTTCAAGACCCGTCCCCCTCCCCGCGGGGGCAACGACTCATTGACTCGGCACGGCGAGCGTCGCGACGACGGCGACGACGGCGACGCAGGCGCTCGCACGTGGAGCCCTTCCGGAGCGTCGACGCAAGCGCGGGGAAACCGACGAGGAATCTGCCATTCCGGCGAACAATTGGCCGCCTTAATTTACCGCTTTGCATATGGCGCCGTAAATCAAGACCAGAGGCCGATTCCCGTTATCGGGGTGACTCCGGAGAGAGCGAGAGGGAGATGGGAAAAGAGGGGAGAGGGAACACTCGTGATTCCCGAGTCCTCGCCGTCGTAGGGGTTGGAGGACCTCCCCGTCGAGAAGGAAGGGAAGAGAAGGGGTCCTCGGGGTCTCGGCCGACTAACCTGGTTCTCCGAGTTGAGCAGCTTGAGCTGCTCGTTGATGAGGCTGTACTTGGTGCTCTCCTCCTTCCGGAGGGCGCGCTCCTTCTTGAGCTCCGGGCTCCAAAAGGTCTTGATGCTGTGCATCGAGCTGCCGAGTTTCTGGTTGGTGAGCTCGAGCTCCTTCTTCAGGTTGCCGAGCTCGCGCTGGAGGTCGTTGTTCTGGTGCTGGAGCTCGCCGATGTACCCGCCGCCGTCGCGCATCACGTGGGGGTTGGGGCTCTGCCGCGCGGACCTGGACCCGTACAGGTCGTCCTCGAGGTAGATGCCGACTCCGCGGTCGCGACTTCGCTCCCGGGGGTCGCGGATGGGCACGAACTCGCGGTCGTGGTCGAGGATGCCGGCGGAGGCGCGGTCGAGGCTGGTGTAGCGGGCGGACATGCCGGCGGAGCCGGACATGGCGGGGCGGGAGGCGCTCCTGGAGCGGTGGTGGACGCCGCCGGCGCCGGTCGACATGCTGCGGCCGCGCTCCTCGAGCATGATCGGGCTCCCCAGGTCCTCGTCCCTGGAGTAGTACGGGCTGCCCAGCTGGTGGTGGTGGTAGCCGCCGCCGGCTCCGTAGGCCAGGTGGTCCGGCGAGTTGTTGCCGCTGCGGGTGCCGCGTTTATAGCTCCTGGAGGGGCTGCGGTCGACGGTGGGCAACTCGCCGACGCGGCGGCCGCTGCGCGGGGACCGCGTGCCGCCGCCCCCGGGCCCGACCGCGCTGCCCCCGGTCGAGTAGGGGTCGCGCGACATCGTCCGCTAGGCCCCCGGTCGATCGGCGCGCCTCTCCGAGGGGATCATCCACGGGCGCACTCGGCTACCGGGCCGCTCCGAGCGGCCGCATCCTCCCCGTCTCCCCCGAGCTCTCTCTCTCTCTCTATCTCCCTCGCTCCCTCTCTCTCGAGCAGCTTCCTCCCGCGTCCGTCGAGCGCGCTCCTCGCCCTGGCGGCGCTACGCCGACGGCGTCGCTCGGCGCCTCCTGGCTGCCCCCGGCCGAGCCGCGGCCGCGGCGGCGATCGATCTTTGGCCCTCTTTCCGCGTCAGACCCATCGGAGAGATCCCCGGAGCGAGATCCGCGCGCCCCCGCGTCCCTCCGGGAGACCCCGGGGGGCCCCTATCGATCTCATCCCCGACGCCGGGGCCCGATCCGCGCGAGAGGCTGCACCTACGGGAACCTCCGGCCGCGGGGAGACTCGGTGCGCGAGGCGGCTACGGGGACACTGACCGACCGAGCGAGCGGGCTCTCGCTCCCCGTTTCCCGGTCCCTCCCCTCGCCTCCCCAACCGCGTCGGCCCGCGTGCCCGCGCGACCAGTGGCTGCCTCTCGCTCGATTCGCGCTCTACCCCCACTCCGTGCCGCCCCTCCTACCACGCGCGCGCTCCGTGTTCCGGGTTGTACGCGTAGGACGCGCGCGCGCCCGGGACTCGCTCTTCCCGACCGACCCCGGGGGACGCTGCCTTCGGAGGGCGCCTTGTTCGGGTCGCCCCACGAGCCGAAAGCGATACACGGATTCCGCGTCCTGAACGTGGAATTGGGTGACGGGAGCAAAACCAGACAGAAATGCACGATAATTACCTGGAATTAATTTTTCTCATTCAAGGCGGGCCAACCGGAAACGCGATCCCGAGATTTCGGAGTATCGGAGGGTTTCTTCGAGGTCCGAGAAGTCGTTGCAAGACCTACGGTCGAAGAGGCGTCGAAGACCTTGTTTTTTTTCTTTTTCAACGGTCACGTAAATAAATAAAAGCTACATTGTTTTTGGACATAAAAATCGGCCTTACTTCTCATAAGCCTCCACTTGCGAAACGATGCCTCGACGCGAGACGACGACCGACATCCCGTCGATATTCCGAGCGATCGATTAATCCACCGGTGAGCAACCCCCGGATCGACAGATTTAACGCGACGACTAATGTAATTACCAGGCGTTATCGTTAAATCGCCGCTCCCTTGTGGGCGGATTAATTAAATAATTACGCGCGGCCGTGGCCAATTGCTCCTAAAATCCGGCGCGTCGGTGAAACGAACGTTAAAAAAAGAGAGGAAATATTACGGGGGGGGGGGGGGGGTGAATTGTACAAAGCAAAATTAAAACGAGCTAGGAAGAAGTCAGGCCGCTCGGATCGGCAGCTCGTTGTCCGCTTCGCCCTCATTCTTTTGACCGTCCCTTCCACGGCTCTCCGTGAATGGAGGAGAGAGAGAGAGAAGGTCCAAGCAGCTCCCCTCGACGCCCGACGTCCCGGCTTACGACGTCGCAATCAATGAAGCTACGATTCACCGAGCAGTGCCGTACCGGCTGGACAAAAAAGCTCGCGAGGGCCCCCCGGCAACGTTGTCTCTCGTTACGTTTCATTCCTTCCATCCCCGGCAGATCCGAATCCGACGGGAATTAACGGTGGATTTAACGGGGGGCCACTTGAGGCGGAAACGACGTCGGCGGATATCGACGTGCGGATGCGCATGACCTTTGGGATGATTTCGGAAGGAGGGAGGTGTCATGTCCCGAAGGCTGGATATCGGAGATCGAGGATGGCCGACCAAGAAAGGGAGTCGACTACTCCTCAAGGATGGCCAGGACGTGACGTTTCCCCCGATGACCCTCCACGATGATAAATAAAAAATAATCCTCGAAGAATGAATGGACTTACTGTAAATCGTAACACCTCTGGGTACCTTCGAGAATATGCGCGACAGATATTCCTGGTCAACCTTAAATTTCATGAACGAAAAATATCGAGAGGAGAATTTTGAGAATACTTCCAAGAGATGCCCCGAGATACTCTACTTCGAAGTCGTACACCGATTTTGAATATAAAACTCCCGATTACTTTATCTCTGTCAGGACTCGATAGAACGGAGCGCAAGCCCGCGAGAAATTAAAGGGAAAAAAAAATTAGGCACTTATATTTTATTAGCAAATAACCCTCCCTTCCACGAAACTTAAACATAAATACAGGGTATACGCCCTACGCTATGCAACCGACTCGTCACGAGTCTAAATTTCGGGGAGACGGAGACCAGGGGGGAGGTGGGGGGGAAGACGGTAATGGCAATGCAACGCGTCAAATGTCATACACACGTACGTATATACCAGGAACGACAAATAACAACCGCGGGTACTTGCCTCTCCGTACGCATTCTATTTCAAAAATTCAGTTTAAAAACATAATTTCGAATACCCCGTAAATCGCTTACTTCCTCTTTTTAGCATATTTATCCTCGTCATCCTCTTCGTCTCCTTCCATTTAAGTATTCATATAGATTAGTTTTAATCAATAAGTCGAGCCTTGACCGAGCGAACCGCCGGTCGAATTAGTTAATACACTGTAACAGTCATATTCTTTACAATATCCGTACGTAAGTCTTGTAGTAAAGACAGAAGCGCGAGTGCACCGTCCGCACTCGTAATATATAATGCACGTTTAGAACCTCTGGCACCCTCCGTGGATATGAAACAATCTCGACGGCCGAACGAGGACACTCGCTCGAGACCCGGTGACGAGAACGCGGCGGCGTCCTTCGATATTCAAATTACCCCCCGATGTCCGTTCCTTTTCGGCGGGGTCGCGACGGTGCCCTGAGCGGGACTCGGTACGTCCATTCGATGGCCGTTAATACCTTCGACCCACGGACATCGAGTACGATGTACGGAGTCCCGCGGCACGGCACCGACCGCGTCTCGTGACATTTCCTCCGTCTCCCTAGAGTCGATCTACATCCAAGGTTTGCGAGATCTCCAGGTGTCGATCCACACCGACGCGAAGCGCCAAAGGCCGCGCGCGGTCCAGCGATGGTCCGACTCTCTACTCATCCGCGAGGAAGTCGCGGGACGTTCTCGTCCACCTCTTAACAATCCTCGCCAAACCGTGCACGAGATCGGATACATAAGTCCCGACTACGCGTTAAGTATACAAAAGTCCTCGTCCTAATCGCGCAAACGCGCGGTGCAACGCCCTCCGGCTCGCTGAATGCATCTCTGGACAATTGATGCGCGAGGTCGCTGCTGACCGGACCACCGAATCAACGATTTAGTCTACAAGGTCTCGCGAGCCCATAAAACGAGGTTTACTCGGGTCCTGGGATAGTCTCCAGAAAAAAAATCCACTCCAAAGCGTTACAATGGTTCTCCTCGATAGAGTTCGCAGAGACGCGGATCGGCGACGCGTGTCGCGAAACGGGGTCCAGGTCGTTGCCAGGAAGGGCGTAGTTAGCGGTAGATAATCCTTGTCCACGGGAATTTCGTGAGAGACTCGTCTCCTTGGCCAAAGTAAAAAAAGGAAAAATGATTCGGCGCGTTCGCCAGCAGCGACATCGCGGCACGGCTAGCTTTTTACAGTACAAAATACAGCCCCTGCTCATATGCACGTGAATACATACGTATATACCCAAACGCATACTCGTATATATATACATACATGTAGTAACGGATCCATTTACCCACGGCGCGAGAACACGGCGAGAGTCGAGAAAAAGGGCGACGATCGAGATGGTAATGGGAGAACGAGTGAAACGATCTTACGGCGATGGAGATGCGAATGAACGCGCAACGACTGGATGTTGGTAAAATGCGCGCGGCCGCGCGATTATCTTACAAACTGGACACGTATGTGTATGCATACACATGGAGATATTTATGCGCGCTACATATAGGGTCGTGAAAAAATCCTCGCCATTTCGGCACTAATTTAAGCGCTGACGAACCTACCGGGCAAACGGCCCCCCCCGTTGCGTCGAGGTATCGGCGCGACTCTTTTTGTAAGAACCCAAACCGTGCGAAACACAGTGCTCCAAACTTAGTTACACAATCGATAAACGATAAATAAGAGTGTGCACGCACGCGCTCGCTTTTACCGTCGCTCGTTCGTTCCGCCGCACACGCACGCGAAGGCGTCGTTAGAAAAAGGGAAGGAACAAAAGCGAGGGGGAAAGAGCGGGAGAGAAAAAAAATCGAAAGGAACGGAATATACTCGGTAAACGTTTCTACGACCAATCGGCGAGACCGACGGGACTCGCTTCTCCTTATTCTAACACGCGGGGGGTAAACGCGTCGTTACTAAAGCTTAATATGTATCCAGGATCGGCATGCTCGAAGATGTCCTTCCGGTATTCGTTAACAGTGAAATTTCTCGATAGACTCGGTCCGCTGGAGAGTTTCTAGAGGGAGGACTGGATACAAGATGCGTGGACGATTGAGAAAGAAAAGGAACATAAATGTATGTATATATAACCAGGCATTCCATTGTAATCTCCTTTTATATTCGTTTGGTGTTAATCAGCTGCGTAACGAAACAGTCTTAATCTTAAAAAACACGTATATCTCCGTCGGCTGAAACGCTACGGCTCAAGTTTTCCGGGGTCTGCTCTTACTTAATTTCCTTTTTTTCCAATTATTTTCCACGGGGAGCACGCGCCCCTCCTCTCGCGGTACACCGCGGAGCTTCCTCGAGAATCCAAACATCTTGCATCGCGAGCTAGGCTAGAGTATATAATATAGTCCGAAGGGGACGGGGAAACGGGAGAGAGGGTTCCGGTAGCGTAAGTCCGTGTACGTCCCTACGCGGTGATCGAGTGCTTTTCTTTCATATCTTTTTCGTTTGGTTCGATACAATCGTTACGTCGTACAGTGTCCGTATTTCGCGTACCTCCGTACGCGGCGCGTCCGCGGGTTAAGTGTAAAGAAGTGTCTCGTACTTGGTATATAACAGCAATAAAAACTTAAAGGCATCTTAAGAAAAACCCTCGCGAGAAGAGAGAACAACGACGGGCTCGGGGGACTGGGAGAGGAGGGTAGAGAGAGGAGGTCTCAAAGAGTCGGGCTTGGAGAGATGGGAATCCGAACGACCATGGCGCAACACGTCTTTAGCGATTATACGCATCGATATGAGACGTACGTCCGCATATCCCTACCTAGCTACGATCCCCGGTAGTGGCGCGCGCGACGGTAAACGGCTTATCGTTATTGTTAAGCGAGCGGCACTGATCCCGGTTGTCTCCTACTTCCTGTCCTCCTGGTCGCACTCGCGGCTTATGTGGCCCGCCTTGCCGCAGAGGTAGCAGGTCTTGCCCACAGCCTCGGTGCAGTTGCGCGCGATATGGCCCGTCTTGTTGCAGTTGTAGCAGCTCTGCATCGCGAAGCGACCTGAGTCGTTGCCTCCCTCCGGGCAGCTGCGCGCGATGTGTCCGGTCTTGTTGCAGTTGTAGCAACTCATCTCAGGACCCTGGTAAATCGGAAGTCCCTTGATTACCACAGAGAAGAGAGAATACACGTGCAATTAGATATGAGCGAAAGGGGAGGCGGGGGGTCGTCGCTGGGTCGCGAGGAGGGTGAGCTCCGGAGACGAGCCAATTTCTTTATAGGGTCCGAACCTGGTGACAGTCCTTGGCGATGTGTCCAACGCCGCTGCAGCGGTAGCACAGGTCCTGGTCTTCCTTGCATTCGCGCGCAAAGTGACCGGATTGGTTGCACTTGAAGCACTTCTCGCGTCCACGTCCAAATCCGCTGTCGCGCTCGCGGCCGCGGTCTCTGCCGCCTCCTGCGCCACCCTGGGGACACTCCCGCGCAAAGTGGCCCATCCGGTTACACTTGTAGCAAGCGCTCGAACTCATCTTTTAGCGATCTGCAATCACATTAGCCCGCCGCTTTCTTAGTCTCCGATTGGCGAGGTCGTTGCATCCCAGCTAGTGGGAAGATGCACCGGTTGTAATCGAAAGAGATACCGGTGGTATCTTTAATAAGTGGTTAAGACCAAGTGCGTTAACCCGGGTGCAGGGACAAGAAAGAATAATTCAATGCCATAGTTAACATGGACTCCACCTTTTAATCCAGGAGCGGAGGAAAAAAAAATTAGGAATTTCTAGATGCTCCGACTCATTTTCAAAATCTCAACTCTCATCTACGTTAATTTGGCTATGTTCCTTATTTTCATGTATATATATATTTTTTTAACGGGACAAAAAAAGGATTTTTAAATCTATGCGTGATGATGACGGAGTAGGGAAATGTGGGAAAGGTACGACCGTTGTAAAATTTTATATTTCAAGATCGGTCATGTAGTCGCAGCGATGTGTTATGTTTAAAAATCAACGAGCAAATATAAAATATGCAGGTATTCTAAGTGCCAGGTTTTGTAACCGTAATCGATATTATTATCGAAGCTGATACCTGTATGCAAGTGCACAGTTGAATGCCCCTTATTAAAAGCCTGCCCATAAACTGGTGAATTATTACATTATTAATCATTAAGCACATGCTTTAAGATAAATCTTTCTCAGCAAACAGCGCTCTACGAGAGATACTTTCTCACTTACGAGTGATAACAAAGAGTTCGTGTGAGTCAGTGATACTAATAGAACACGTTTATACCGACTTGGTTAGAACAGACGAATCATCCAAACTGTATGATCCTCACAGTCAGGCGATTGCCCGAGCCATGCCAGTACAATGCTTTCCTCTCTAGAAAGCCTTCACCTTTACCTTCATCCTCTAGCAGTTACCATAAATTCTCCTACTTACTTTCACCAACTTCTAAGTGCAGTACGTGAAAAAATGTAAACAGCTTCAACGAAATCGTGATTACTACTAGACTCACGGAAACCTACTTGGTTGTATAAAGACTCTTGTAGCAATTTTTTAGCACAATGCCGACTACCAAAGGGAATACGATACAAAGACCCTGGACGACGATCCAGGAATCGAGCGGTTTATTAAAAAAATTAATTAGTCGGTATCGTTTGTTACAATGAAATGTTTCTCTGCCCATAAAACATATGCTCTCGGAGAAGTAAATCCAATCGTTCGCTTTCCCTGGTTTCAACACCGAGTCCAAGTCGGCATAACGGATAATAACTGCATATGGCCTGCCATCGGTCAAGGTGTGGAAACATGTCTAGGCGTAGCGAACTTTCCTGCTGGAGTAAAAACTACTTTCCCATAAGGTACATTAGAAACAATTACTGAGGGTGGGAGTGAAACCGAGGGGAGTGGTGGATACCGAGAGCAAGAGAAAAATCTGTGAGAAAAATCTGTGAGAAAACGCGGCAAGCCCGGCCGAGGACCGGTCCAAGTCGGGCCGGGAGAATGCCGGCGACGCGGCCGCGAGGGAGCCTATAAAAATGGCAGCGCAAATCCTTGGCGGACTTAGCTAGGGTAGGACGGTGCACGTGTTCCGGAGGGCATCGCGCGCCGCCCGGGAGGCCCGCGTCGCGTTGGCTAACCTCGCAATCTTCGCCGTGGCTCGCCAACCTCGAGGGCTCGCCGACTCTCCGGGAAAGCGGCTCCGGCCGCAACGTGGCTCGCCCCCACGCAGCCGTGGGACGCACATACGCCACGGCGCGAAGATGGCATCCGAGTGACGCCGTACCGCTCTTTAGACGCGTAAAAAAGGAAGTCGGCGAGCCCGGGCCGCATGGCGAGGGTCGCGGTGTCGGCCGCGAGGACCCTTGCTTCCCGGCAAGTGTACATGCCCGAGCTGGACCCTCCGAACGGCGAAACGGGCCGCGGACCGAACAGCAGACCACGTGCGGAGCCCGTAAAGCGGTCGGCGGTCCCGAGGCACCGCGGCTTCCGAGATAGCGGCATTTCGCGCGTAATTCTCACTCACCTGCCGAACTGGCTTTATCTTCGTCTGGACTTAGGGGTTCCGTCGCCGAAACGATGGGTCTTAGTCGGATGGGGCCGCGGGAACCAGCGCTTACTTCGGAAAACTTGAGCCGATGCTTGACCGGACGGCTAAGGCGACCATTGACTATGAGAGCGAAGACCGGCCAATCGGCGCCGCGCTGCCCGCCAAAGTCCCGCTGCTACAATGAACGCCGCCGCACCCCCCGGCCCGCGCCTCCGACTCCCGAATCAAATGTAGTTACTTCTCGCCGAAAAGTTCACTTGGATCGTCCGTGATATAAAAATATCGCGAGGATTTATTTTAAAAGTGACTCATTTTATGTTTTTCGATGCCGTTGACCTTTGTATGTTGTTTCGGATCCTGGGAAATAATACCTACTTTGACCGTACGTCGCGTTCATTGGCTGGCCGCCATTTTGGCTGCGTTCCTGCTCACTTTCCGCCAATCACGACGCGTCGTGGATGCAGTGCGAAGTTATCGAAATTTTCGACGCTCGAACGCGTGCGTGGTTACCTTGCAAAGGCGCAACAATGTCCAGGATTTTATTATTTCGGAGAAATATGCTCTAATGGTCGATGACTATTTTTCATGTTTAGATCGGTTGGTAATTGGGATCCTTTGGTCGAATCTCGACAGAATGAGTTTTTTTGATTAGGGAGAGGAATATGATCTCACTACTCAGGTTAAACGTATGTTAGTTTTAGAGTTGACGTAGTGAAAATCTTGAATTAAATTGTGCTCAGGTACTACGTCCTTATTATTTGAATTTTAGGCAATATTATTACTTTCTGAAGATTTTGAGGTTATCCTGTGAATTTATCCAATATGTCGGACAGTAAAAGAAATCACGAAGGCAGCGACGAGGAGGATGGATGGGTCGGACCTCTACCTTCCGAAGCAGCCCCCCGAAAGAAACAAAAAGGTTTTAATATTAATTTTAACGTACAAGTTTAGTGAACAAAATTGGTACTAGTTTAGTAAAAAAAAGGTTTAAAAAAAATTCAATGATTTACAGTTTTGGAGTACGAGCAAGTGTATGTAGAAAATTTACCATGCTGTGAATGCTATGAGAAATCGTACATGCACAGAGACGTTATCACTCACATATTAGTGACTAAGTAAGTTTTCAACATCAGAAAGTAGTAAACATGATTGAAAGCATTGAGATATAATGTTCTTAATTTCAGAACAAATTTCATAATTACGGCCAGCTATGATGGGCACGTTAAATTTTGGAAGAAGCAGGAGGAACTCATAGAATTTGTAAAACACTTTCGAGCGCATCTAATGGCAATCCAGTCAATGGCAGCCAGTTGCAACGGTGCTTATGCGTGTACAGTGAGTCTGGATAAAAATTTAAAAGTATTTGACGTTGTCAATTTTGGTGAGTTTGTTATTAAGTTTTACGATGCTACTTTATATTTATACTGTTGAAGGTATTCTATTGTAAGAGGCATGATTAATGTTCTATTTTAAAATTGCTTTCAGACATGATAAACATGATGAAATTCGACTATGTACCGCTCTGCGTTGAATGGGTGTATTCCCCTGGAGACGCAATAGCAGCTGTTGCCATTTCCGATCAGGACTCGAATAAAATATTTATTTATGATGGCCAGGGTACTAATACACCACTGCATGTTTTTGAAAGATTGCATACCAGTCCTGTAGTTATTATGAAGGTAAATATAGTTGTACTATTTTGAAAGTAGTCGGTAACTGAGTCACTAGTTCATACAATTATTTTATTTTTCAGTACAATCCTGCATACGAAACGTGCATTTCTGTAGATAAATCAGGTATTTTAGAATACTGGATGGGACCCAAATATGAATTCAAATTCCCAAAATGTGTTACATTTGAGTCAAAGCTGGATACCAACTTATTTGAATTTGCCAAAAATAAGACATATCCATGTGGTTTGGCTGTATCGCCCGATGGAAAAAGATTTGCTACACTTAGCGGAGACAGGAAAGTTAGAGTCTTTAATTTTCTTTCTGGCAAATTGTACAGAGTATTTGATGAAACGTTGCAAAGGTATAGCGAACTCCAACAAACGACGCAACAGCTACCTAATATGGAATTTGGTAGAAGGTATGTGCTTTTGTATTAATATTTATTAACAGAAAGCAAGAACCTGAATAAATTTGATATTTCTTTACAGAATGGCTGTTGAAAGAGAGTTAGATAAAACTGAAACAAATTTAGGTAATATAGTTTTCGACGAGTCGGGTTATATGATTCTGTATAGCACGATATTTGGCATTAAAATGGTGAACCTTTATACGAATCGATGCATCAGAATTTTAGGGAAACCTGAGAATATTCGACCAATGCAACTTGCTTTATTTCAGGTATCTTGCCCTTTAAGTCAGTGTATTACACACATATACACAATAATTCTTAATACCAAAATAAAATATTCTTTTTTAATTCAATAGGGAAAAGCAAGAAAAACTACAGCAGCTGTAACTGTAGAAATGGAAGCATCGGAGAATCCAACGATAGAAATGAATAAGCCAGATCCAACACTGTTTTGTACCGCGCATAAGAAGAATAGATTCTTCATGTTTACTAGGCGTGAACCTGAAGACACAAAGAGCCAAGAGTGTGACAGAGACGTCTTCAACGAGAAACCCTCAAAGGAAGACATTATTTCCTCTACCGAGGCGACAAATATGCAGAAAATTTACGATACCGCTATTTTACATACAGCTCTGGGAGATATTCACGTCAACCTCTTTGGCAAAGATGTTCCGAGGACGGTGGAAAACTTCTGCGTTCATTCGAAAAATGGTTACTACAACAGTCACATATTCCACCGCGTGATCAAAGGATTTATGATCCAAACTGGAGATCCTACTGGAACTGGCACCGGGGGCGAAAGTATATGGGGTGGCGAGTTTGAGGACGAATTTAAACCAAATTTAAGACATGACAGGCCTTACACATTAAGCATGGCCAATGCCGGTCCAAATACCAATGGCAGTCAATTTTTCATTACGTTAACACCAACGGTGAGTTTGGATCGAAGACCTTAATTTAGTTTAAGTTCTCCTGCACAATTAGAAATATTTTAATTTAAATCATTTCTTTTCCACAGCCATGGTTGGATAACAAACACACAGTCTTCGGCAGAGTGGTTAAAGGAATGGAAGTGGTGCAAAACATCAGCCAAGTAAAGACCAACCCCAAGACCGACAAGCCTTACGACGATATACGGATAGTTAGCATAACTGTAAAGTAAATTCTATTTTTCATTTGGTGTATGTAGTGCAGCCTGGTGGTGGTAACGTAAACGGAACGTAAAAAATGAGCTCGAGAACTTGTGTACTTGCGGTACCTGATGTATAATAAACTGTAAAATAATTAATGTAATAAAGCAACTTATTGAACGATAACAATGAGTACGTTTAATTAGACGAGCGTGTCTAGCAAACCCTCTAATCGCCTATTCCTGATCCTTGAAAATCACTCGTAGATCTAAGGCACGAAACTCGGTGCCTTAGATACTTTGCCTTTAATATTATTTTTTCCGTTTCCAAAGAAGAGTTTTGACGTCTACGTACAGCTGCCTCTGCTAGAAATAAACGATCGATTCGATGTGCCGGAAGCAGGATACATTAAAGCTGATCTGCAACTGTCTTTTCTCTTGCTGAGAACCGAGCCGTAAAAATCAGATCGCGCTGGGATGCATTCATTCAAAAAGACAAATTCGCTCTACCCCTTGTCTCGTTACACCCTTGTTTCCTTCCGAAATTCGCGCAACCTTCTCTCAAGAGGGTAACCATGGACCCCGGAATGTAAACTTCAAATCGCTTCAAACAAACCCCCTTTCGGCCGAAATTTGATATTGAAATTTTTTTAATAATTTTCGAAGCCGCAACACGTAGACAAATTTTCTCACCAGAATCCGCTCTCGTAAACTTCAAGATGTGCACGGTAGCAAAGAAACGGGACAAATCATGGAACGAAATGGAAGAGCTGAAGTATCTCATCTGCGCTATAGACCGCTGGTGAGTGAGCTCGGTTTATCGTCGTCTAATGTATCATCGTCAAAGTACGGTCGACCCGTATTTTTTTTTTTTTTACTAATACTTATGTAGGTGTTTATCGGCGAAGGATCGCCTCGGGAAACGTTAATTCTTTGCCGACTTGATTTATTTTACAGCAAGTGCCCAAATGTCCCGCCACCGCCTTCGTGCTGCGTATTGCTTCCTCCGAGGGTCCAGGAAGTTCCTTGTCCTATTCTACCCCAGAGACCAGTATGTTGCCCTCCACCCTCGTGTCGACCTCCCATAGCTAAAGGGCCATGCTGCCCTGGTCCTTTACCGGCGCCTCCACCAACGAAATGCCCTCCACTTCCGGCACCTCCGCCACCCTGCTGTCCACCGTGCTGCCCTTTGCCATGCTATCCAAGTTAGACATATGATTAATGGGCGAGACTGGCAACTCTCCAAAAACCAGCCGTGCCAGGGGCTGCAAATTTGGCATAAACCATCTCCATCGCAACAGAACTTACCTCGACGTGTCCGCATTAATATGTTCAATTTACCTCTGCGCTGGAATGTCAAAAATGATTTACTTCCCCACGCTTGGTGGGGAATTGTTCGAAATTCTCCATGATTTTCTTGGCTAACTTTATAGTCGATCTTTATAATTATCGGGTTTTTCTTTTGACAGATGGTCACTGCTGAATCGAGAAATCCACTTTACGTCAACCCTTCCGCAATATCCTGTGATAGTTCTTGCCAATACACGTATGCCCTTCGTATGTTTCCACCTGAACAATGTACTCACCTACGTCAGTAAAGTAATCAATGGAACTGCAGGATTTGTTGGAAATTATTAGAAAGCCCGGGTACACAAACTGAAACTCGAATTATTGACTGGACACGTTGCCTTCAGTCGTTCCGAAATCAATTAAGCTTCCGCGTCTGTCCCCGTCGATATTGAATCCCATCAGACGCCTCACGGAACTCGAAGTTCATGGGTTGAACCAGCTCAGAGATTCTATTTCTGGTTTCTCTGGTCCCTTTGTCTCTTTCTCTCTTATCGAAGCCTCGTAATTGTGAATTTACAGGAGATAAGCATTTGCTTTATTATATCATATTTTCAGCGGTACCATTAAAAGCGCGGTTTATCGCTGAATTTCTTATCTATTAATGCTCCAGGAAGAACGCGAGAGGTCGAGTACCGAGACAAAACCTCCTCCAAAAACGATGACGACGGACGGAGTACACGTTTCGAGACGTCGGTTAATGAACTAACAATAGCCCCACGGGCCGACAGCGGAGCTCGAGTAATTTCTCCTTTATTCTTGGTATTTTCATAAAAAACGTACAACGACGATCGGCGGACAGATCGCTGCGCAACATATACACATCGGATTTGATTCATCTCGCGTTCCGCGATTATTTCGCGTCTGGGTCCCTCGGGTATATGTTCCTGAAATTTTATTCACGGCGAGACGTTTTCTCCCTTTCGTTATTATTCAAGGACTACAGCCCTCGCACGATTTGCCGTTTCCCTCCGGCGAGCTTCCTCGCGGCATTTTCCTCCGCCTTTATGACGGATTCTCCGGCCAATTGCCCTTTCACTCCTCCATGCCCTTGCGATCCATTTACGTTATTGGTCATTTAATTGACAATCGATTTCTCATTGAACGCCCGCTTCGTTTACCTGAACAATTTGTCGTTAACGCAAATTTTTATTGTTACGGATTTGGGTTTGGCAAGTGTCCGTGCATCGGAAAGTTAATTTCGAGAACGCTTGGAGAACGCAAGAGCGCTCTTGCGCGCACTTTTAGGAAACTGGATGCTGGAATCGCTCGGCCGGATTCTGGTTCTCGAGCAGTCTGAAAATGTTTGATATGTATCGGGCGCTTACGAAATTCTGGACGTAATCCGAGGTGAATATCAAAGTTATCCGGCCATTTCGTATTCTGGCACGTATCCATCCGACTAGAAGCCTTCGAGTGTTGTGCGACGCGATGTCGCGGGTTTCCTTCAAAAATATGCTCTGAATAAATCAAGTTCGAGTCGTCGAATTATGCATTGGGATCCTTTCCCCCGGAATTTGTACTTTCTTATCAGATCGGATATGTTGATATCGGGCAAGTACGGTTTTCGGACAGATCGTGACACGATACATCGCTTGATATCCCTATACGCACAGATAAGTTACAACGGAAATGATTTATTTATAGATGAAAAAGGTTATTATCGTATAGTTTTAATGATAACCACTTATAACTATTTCCCCGAGTTTCTTCGAGCGCACCAGAGGGACAAATCGTGAAGAGGGGACATCTCGTTAGAGAGAAAAATTAAACGTCTCGAGGGAATTCGGTAAAGCGAGCGCATCGCGCTATTTTCGTTGACTTCTACATACTTGATTCATGTCAAAGAACTCAAGCAACTGGGAAACTTTATAACTATAAGTTACACCTTACGCGTTAAGTATAGCCTTCCGCATGATACGTTTCATCACTTTTTATAATGCGACTAACGGAATGATTGGAGAATATACCAATTCCTAGCATTGCATGGAGCTAAGAAACTTTAATGAGGGGATATATATATAAATCGGTGCATAATTTACTGAATACTCCCACATGCGATGTCGATAAGAATAAGGCAGCTTCGATTCCAACCCCTCTTTGCTAAAGAATTGTTTTCCATTTTTAAATAAGTCCTCTTAAGGGGATGTTCTCTTGACATAAGGAGGAAGAATCAGAGGACTGCTTTAAATGTTCGATCATATTTCAAGGAAATTTCATCGAGTCCGTCACTTGCATGTATCCTCGATCGTATATCGTTAAGCAAGAAGGGGCTAAATTAAATCTAAATTTCAAATGCTTAGGAATTACGAACATCAACTTCGCTCTCGGATAAAAGTAACTCACCCACTCCGATCGACCAGTCACGCGATTTCGACTTAAAATTAAAATTGACCCTTAATTCCGAATTTATCATTGGCACAGATCGACGAACCTGTAAATCAAGCGCAACTTCAATCGTCTATTAGGAGTAGCAAAATTATTATCATACAAAAGTCTTCCTTGAGATGAAGTCCTAATTGTTGAAATAACGTTTTTGCATCTCTTTTTCGCTACACTGATCTAGCTTTAAGGCGACGTGAAATTCCGGATACTACCCCTGATTCCTATATATATCTTTTAATCATTTTCTCTTGCCGAATCGCCACTTGTTAAGGGAACTGGAATCTTCACATCCCGACTTTCGTCGATAGGTCGATTCTACGTGATCTATATATCCGCGATTTCTCGACATAATCGACTCGCGAAGCACTAGGCTCGCGGGCTTACAAAATGAAGAGATTCTCACAGCTCTTGGTCTTCCTTTTGATCCCCAGAAGATGTTTCAGGATCCTCCGGTGATGCTTGCTCCGTCGTCGTCTGGTCGTCTGATCTCGATCACGCTGAGGGTTCAATTTGATTTGTGTCGATATACCTACTAGCAATTCGTCAACGCGAAGAGCCAATCCCGAGGAGGTTTCGATGAATTTGCAGCCGCAGTTGTTCGCCACTTGCCGACCCGCTGTCGATACATATGTTTTTTAATGTATATTTTATATTTTTCACCTCTTTCATTCAAGTCAGTCGTACCGGGTGACGGCTGTATTTTTTCACTTTTTTTTGTGAATTGTTTCTAACGAACCATAAAAATACCCCATCTTGGAATTTTTACAATATGTATATATTACTAAATATTTAAATATTTTTCAACTTTTTGGACCTATAACACGATACGACTGCCTTAATCAAAATTAACCACTGATCATTTGGAAACTAATTTTTTACGATTAGACGATCAATTCGTTATTTTTAGCAAGATCGAGCGAAACAGATGCGACAATGTAATTTAATAATGGATGTGAAGCTTGCAACGGACTAGCGGAGTCCGACGATATGGCACGTTTGAGCTTCCTCTAGGGAAAAGTTCCATTTCTCAACGACGAATAAAGTCAGATCTCGCTTTTCTCACCCACCTGCTTTACACGTCGGAGTGTAACTGAATAATGCAGGGGTTATTACGTTTGCAAAGTGGCGGTGTAAACATGAACGTTGGATTTCATACAAGGTGCAAACTCACCCGAAGACGTCACCTCGCGCTTTCTTTCGAGGTCGATTTTATTTCCGACGAGGATGACACCATGGGTAGCCATGTAGTCGCTATTCCAGAGGTAGAGAAGGATCTCCTCGGCCACTTTTAGACTTCTGTGATCCACCACGGAGTAGACCACCACGTACACGTCCGGGTTGTACGTAGAACAGAAAGTCTCAACCTCGAATTAAAGAAAACAAGGACGTCGATATAGGCACGCGTCATACAAAATTATCCCATTGAAAATCTCCAAAGCACGATCGTTGATTGCCTGGGATGGCATTGCCTACGGTAAGGGAACTTCGTTTCAAATGTGAAGGAGAAAACCTTTTCATCCCTTGTTCTTGTCTCGAGGGCTAACGAGAGCACATAGAGGGTTGCCAACTTGATAAGGAGGATACGAAAGTTGTCGACAACTCGGGCCAATTTAGCTGCATGAAGTGTTTTTCAATTGCCTCGCGGCTAACGATGGCGCGTCTTTTTCAATCTCCTGTGTACGTAAACGAAGTTTCCTCCACTCCTTGATGAACTTTTCTAATAACAATTTCCGCGATGCTGTCGTAATTTTAATACTTCCATGAAAGTACCCACGTCCATGGAGAAGAATCCCAAGAAATCGTCATTTGTAGGAATTGTTTTACACATATTATGATCTACTTCCAGGCCATCAATTTTCATGTACCTGTCGTCTAATCATTTAATTAGTCTACTTACAGACATTTCTGAGGCCGGATGATCAATTATTTCCAACTCCGTTTCTTGTCCATCGATCATCACCGATACCGTCTTCTGGCCGTACTCTTCATCTGGAAAGAAAATTACATTTCAGTATTGTAAATTATATCTAATAAAAGGTACCAATATTATTATTTCTTGTGATTTATATTTATTTATTTATTCACGCATATGTGCGTTTATTCGAGTAAGTGGAAGACAGTGATGGATGACGCCTCTTCAGGGCGAAGGTCTATACATTGTTAAGTGGCATCAAGTAAATACATAGGGTGAATTATCGAGTAGAGGGTAAGGTGTGAACATTCCCAGACATTCTGGAATTTCCTCAATTCCATCAAAGACGAGTTACCTCGACAAGAGATCGTATCTGAGCATTAATAGAGGGGAAGGATTATTGATTGTTGTTAATCATTGCCATCACTTGGCTCACCCCCGATGACGATTAGTTCTTAATAGATCTAATGTCGACAAACGATCAGTGATAATACCAAGTGACACTTCGGATAACCCGCAAGAGTGGTCGGATAGTCCGACTTCATTGTTCTCATCACCTTAATTGCCATTAAATGTTCGGGTTTGAAATTTGCTCTCCTTAGATTAATAGAAAATATCGCTATCGCTGGTATTTCATATCTGAAGCAGGGAAATCAGCTGCCAAAATTTGTCACGTAACATATGGGCGATTGATAAAATACGTCATCCAGATATTCAACAATGATCGCTGGCTCGAGTGGTTCGCTAAAAAGTAATGCGTAATACTTCCTTGAACCGATATCAGCGTTTGGTATTAACTGCAAAAAGCTTGTTACAATGCTCGCCATTGAAGGAAGCATATGGTTGGTGATAACAGTTATCTTCCAGTGGAGTAATCGACGAATATACGTTACGACCGGGCATGAATCATCGTCAAACTTAGGGAAATGTAGGGCTTAAAGTCGGAATTATGAGTACATTATTTTAAATCCTATACAATATATGCGTTGGGTGCAAAGGTGTTTCTTGTGACAATGCGAGTTGTGGAAAATGGGGTGCCGATTCGCGAGTATATCCTGCGGCGAGTAACAAAGGTTCGTTTTAAACGTATTTAGCCATAAAGCGGAACATTCCCGGCGGCTCGGTGTACGAAAAGAGTGTTCGTACCAACACTTCCGCATCTGGGTCGTAAAAGGTACCGCGACCGTGAACAAGGCGCGAGTAGATAAAAGTCGCAGAAAATGGTTGGCCCCAGTTTCCGGTTTTTACGAAGCCCCGTAAAATATTTTGCATCCGGCAAATCCTAAACCGCGGACATATTCTCCAGCCCGCGGTTGAATAACTACAGAAGAGGTATAAAAGAAAAAAGGAAAAAAAAACGCGAAATTTAATTAAATCGTTGATCCCACGAAACAAGCGTAGGAGTTTTGCGAGTCATCCTTTTTCGGAATTACCTCCATTTTAAATAATTACCCCGAGTACAATCTATGGGTGCGTTTGCGACTCGCGCAAGTCAGTTATTAAACTCGCGTCAGAATGGGGGTATATTCCAGCTTTTCCATTATTTTTACACGAGGGTGTAAAAAGGTGCAGTCGCGCCTCGTTACTTTGCAGCCCTGTTTATTGCCACGTGCGAATTACTCGGGGGGGAGGCGAAAGCAGGGTGCGGATTCGTGTACGCGTTACACGCGCGTCGATTACGGGAAAGCTGCAATTTTCCACGTGCGGTGCAGTCACGCATGCACCGAAAGACTCTCATATCGCGTTCTGAACATCGCGACGGATAATGGCGGCGGTTATCGAGTTCTCGGTCGACGACTCCGTCGACGGTCCGCGTTTCCGTTCGCCTGGAAAAAAGCCAATGCTTTTTACAGCCCCCGGATAAGGTCGCTATTGCACTGCAATGCAATTGACTGCAACCTAAATGCCGCAGTTCGACTCCATTCGGGTGACTAGCTTTATACCGGCGCAATTTACATCCGAATTGCGTCAAAGAATGGGAAACACGCGTGAAGATTTAGAGAACGATTTTTTACTCCCGGCAGAGGGTATACGAAAAATGCATTTACCGGTATCGAGTGTTTCGAGCAGGTCTCAATCTCCAGGTTTCTGAGAATTCTGATTGTCTTTATAGCAGCAATTAAATTGCAGAAATGGCGAAGGTCCTTTGATGCTAGCAGGACCTTTCGCTGCTGCAGTTCCGGTGATTGCAGGCAGTTAACGAGCTCCAGGGGCGTTATCGGTGCACCCAAGCTGGTCGCAGAAATAAGTAATAATTATGGGGTCGCCAAGGGCATCGGTGCATCCGTTAACAGTCGTTAGTGCAGATGGAAGTGCGACGGGAAATGGCGACTCCGCTTGCTGACGCTCCGCTGTACGCCTCTCGGCCGACGAGTGCTCCTCTCGTTTAATTGGTCGAGTCTTAGGAATTATTTATGAAATGCTAAAAGTTCCCCTGGGTGATACTCAGGCTCGAGTGGTCCTCGGTAACGGCATTGAATACGGCCCTAAGGAATGCTCGTCGTTAACGTCCGACCCGCCTACGCTCTTACTACTTCCCAGTCGCATCTGCGAACCAAGACTATCATTTTTATTATTTGTACTCTCCACACAATCCCAGAACACCTGACGTAATCAAAGGGAACAACGACGGTTTCAAACGACGACGAGAAATATTTAATACATCGTTACCATTGAACAACGAATTAATTACGATTTCTACAGTAAGGACTACATTTCCTTCATGAACCACTTTTGAGACATTTTTACGTGGTAATTGTTTGATACAAATTTTTTTTTTCACGTCGTGGAATTAATCAAACTGGCAAAAAAAAATTACGATGTCTATTTTATAAGGAGGAGTTGGTGTTAAAGGAAAAAAAAGAGCAACTCTACAAAGTGCCCGCTACCTCGTCTGACCGTAACAGCGAACTTACTACTTCCGCGGGATGTCTAACGTAAAAGCGTTCGTGACTCCTCGCGCCGCTTATCAGACATCTTGGGCAATTATCCACCTCGCTTTTACGATTTACTTATCGTCACGATGCACAATGAGATTCGTCCCGTTGTTCGAGCGTTTAAACGAGCGAGTTAGGGCGAAAATGAAATCCACGTCTGGAAGAATAAGGAACTTATCGTCGGCATTCCTGGTAAAAAAAACTCCGCTCTTGCCCGGGGAAAGTTTACTTTGACTTATGCCCTTTTAACTTACTTCCCCGGGTGTTATCTCCAGGTTAATCTTAACTTTACCTCCAGCACACGGGGTGTGATATATCTCCCCTTAACTACATCTTCGCGATGAGGTTAATTTCGTATCCGACATTTCGCGATTCGCCTCCCAACAAATGTTCTTCCTTATTATGCGAACTTCTCGAAAGAAAATCGAATACAAGCAGGAAAGTACGAAAGAATAGTTTTCAAATCCTCCAAGAATTATGCAATCACCGTGGATATTAAAATGTCTGGCCATTTTTATCCGCCAGGAAATTTGTTTAATTAAACGACGGATTATAACTCGCGGGAAGCGTCGCGCCGAGTGATCCGATATCCCGGGAAAGTGTTAATGTAAGCGATATCGATTTATAGGAAGTTTCTTGCGGTTTGCCGTGGAAATCGCTTCTCTCGGCCGTGAAGAATGGAGTAAATGAAGAAAGGCGAAATCGTTGCTTGGAAACGATTTCCTAACGGCGTGGCGCAACTCGCACCTGTGAAAGGGGGCTTAACACTTTGATGCAAAGGCATTGTCGCGATGAAATAAGAGCGTCACGACGCCGGGCGCACCTGTAATGGAAATATGGAACTTGGAAGTTAAGGACTCCACGAAATAGAACAGATGTGCCCCCGACTTTTTCTTTCCGTTTACCTTTGTCAAGCCCCTTCCCCTTTGTCTTGCAGGTTTCCCGGAGTTTCCCGAAAAATTTTCCGAGCATCGTGACGCCCATTTAAAGCTACCTGGACGCTGTTAAATTTAGAGAAAACCAGGAAAGTCCAACTTCCAGCGTCTAACATTGAATCAGTGGATTTGGAGCAAACCCACGATTTGCAGAAAACCCATATTTTAATACGCTTCGTAGTAGAATATTTACCAAAAAGATGCTCTCCGTATTACCAACAAATTCAGATCGAAATCGCCCTCGTGTTTATATCCAGGAAAACACCGCTATCAGTTTCCTGTCAATTCTGTCGATTCCAACGAAAACCAATTACCCCGAACTCTGAAAAAGGCTTTAACTATCATTTCGGATAGCAAAGAGAGTCGTTTTGGGAGCCGATCATCCGGCAAAAGTTTCATATGCCGGGTTTTACGAGAGAGGTGATGCGCCCATAGGAAGGTACAGCCGCACGAAACTCCGCGGTGCACTAATGAAATTTACGGAGGGCACCGAAGCCTGAGCAAGGCTCGTAATAAAAGATGGTACAAACGCGAACACGAGGATAAGTAATAATTCCGGTAAATATAAATATGTATCCGTAGTTGCCGTGCCCCAATTTGGGGAGGAAGAGAAGGCCGCGAGGGAAAGGGGTAGAAGCGCCCCATTGGACGGCGGGGTTAAAGCTTCGGCTCCAGGGGAAAGTAGTTCAGGAGCGTACTTAAACTTACCGAGGGAGGCGTCGTAGGCGCAAATGTACTCGCTGGTGGTGAATTGCGCGGTGAGGGCGGTTTTGCCGACCCCCGATGCACCGAGCATGCCCACCTTGTAAGTGGCCACTTGGCCGGTGCTGGCCTCCTCTTCGCCTTCCGTCCCCGAGAGCTGCAACGCCAGGCTGGAAGAGAGATAGAGGAGTTTTGAGACGTTAGAAGTAAGAGAAAAAAAATCCAAGACCCCCCACGACTCGCCCAGACTCGGATGGAAATAAAGATGCGCGTCGAGCGGTGCGTACCCGTGCGTAAAATTAAACGGATTCCCTCATTTTCCAGCCCTGCGTCCTCGACGCCCAGCTCTGCCTGGTTCCCGGGAATGAATCGACCGGAGAACCTGGGAAATGCTCTCCGACGCCTGTCGTAAACTGGCACGGGATTAATGAAGCGCGTGCACGAAATCGCGAGTGTCTTTCGTCCCTTGGAATCTGCGGTGCAGAGGGCCTTTTAATCGCGAAAGTAACCGGAGATCTCTCTGGCTGCGAAGATTCATTACTTTCCATATTTGCTTACCCCGAGCTGAGCTGGAGAAACGCCGGGAATTATTTCGGAAAATTATCCCTGGAATTATGAAAGAAAAATTCCAAGCAATCAGCAGAAATGCAGTTGGATCGTTCATTCATAATTCGGGCATTTTTGTACAACCGATGGCTCGGAAACCAAAAATTACATTCACGGCATCGGGAATCGAGATTTGCATTGTCGAGGATTTTCATTGTTCCGCAGGGCTGTAATTCGGTGCAAAAACGATTCTCTTCTCTTCAGAGAACACCACTCGAAACAACATTCCCGGCGTTTGCAACTACTCGTTTAACCTATTGTCGGGAATTGCTTTAACCCGCTTTCGTTACAACATTTGCTTAACTGTTTTAGAGCGCGGAGAGTTGTGCTTTAAGCTTCCCGAGCCCAGTTCGTAATTATCGCCGCAAAGCTGCGAGCTCCACTGGTCTCCTTAATTTCCTGGAGGTGGAATTTCATTCCCTCGTTTATTCACTGACCGATTCTACGTTTCGCTACTCCCAAATTTTCCAAATCAAGCTGAACTTTTATTGGATCAGGGGTTTGAAAGTTACCTCAAAAGCCTGGCATCTCTGGTGCTGCTGCAACTGGTGCCAGAAGAAGTGACGCTGTTGATACTCCTGCTTCGTCGACTTTTCAACAAGTCGCCAAGGTTGAACACCCCGTTGGCAGTTATCGAAAAGGATCTTAGCCTGTAATATTCGACGCCATCTTCTCCTCCAGCTTCATTGCCGGAACCGCTGCCGCGTTTCGTTTCCGCCAGCATCGGCTGAAATGAGAAAATTTCCAACATTATTAATAATCTCATTTTTTGTTTTCTCATCTTGGAAGCATTATCCTCGACTCCTCGCATTTCAGATAGAATTCAAAATGCAAGGGATCCGGGATAAAATTTTCTTTTTGGCGCCCGAGTCGCCCACGGTGGTTTTCATGTTACTCGATATCAGCGAGCTTCAGCAGCGGCGTAATAAACGAAGACTTTTCCATTCGATATGAGCTTAGAGAAATAACCAAGTTATTCGACCCAGCTCGGAATATCGAATTGCACGGTTCGGCTGCTGAAAAGAATCGTTCGGGGTGAAAATAATCGAGGCGTTGAGGTAATTCGATGAGTGGAGGATTTTTAAATTGTATTTGGTTCTCTATTACGTATAGTAATTGGAAATACTTCATCTTGTTAATTATTTATATCTTATAAAGTGGAGAAAACGTGCATTTATGCAAAGTAAGTACTCGGGGGTGCACACCTTCGAGGTTTTTTCTCGACGACTCCTTTAGAGCTTACACGTCGACATCGCGCCGGGTTTTCTTGTGCCGACATTGAAATTCCCTTGGGTTCGATTAACATAACTTCCGGCACGCATGGCCTCGGTAAGCGGATGCAAATTGCGTAGGTGTGATCACTCCATCGATCCTTGCCTTCTTCGAAGATTTATTTCACCCACTTTTCACTTCGCAAAAAGGCTTAGCCTACCTGGCACTAATTTTAAAATCATCGAGCGGTAATAAATTTCATTTTTTATCGCTGGTAAAAATAATGCACCTCGATTTTCCTGGGGCTTGGATATTTTGCTGAGCATGTTTTACGAGAACGGAGGAGTAATCGTATTCCGAGGATTTTAGAGTTACAACGTATACTGTTTGCCAAATCGAAGATTCTACTTCTGCCAGGCAAACCTACGAGTGCAGATCAGGGTCACAGAGAATCCCGATACGAACTGTCGTTACTCTCTAATCGGGTCAAGTAAAATCGATCTTCGAGCTTACATTAAAATCCTCTCGGCGAAAACCACGGTGCAAAACACTGTTTTCTATTTTTGTGTTGCCTCGCAAGTAGAAACTCGGAAACGTGCCACTTCGATATTGACATTTTTACGAGCGTAAGAAACTGTGACACGTCTGGCTATAAATTGCTCCGTCCACTTCTGCAATATTTTACTTGTCATATAAAACTCTTTTTTTCTTAATTTGGATTTCTTAGGAGTCCAGTAAATACGTTGGATAATATTAACCCTAATTCGTGTCATGCTACAACATTTTTCTTTAACTTTTACATTTTTTCTTTAAGAACCTTGCTCAACTCGACTAGCGAACTTCGAGGCTGGTTTTGTTTCTAGCACAAATTCACACCTGTCAAAGGCTGTCAAACCAGCAGACAGGAGCGGGACACGTTTCTCCGCAGGGAGCTCGCCTGGGAAGGATTCATCGAAAAGCTCAGAAAAGTGGAAATCCGGACCTTTCCCACATCTCGCCGATTATTCTTCGGCATCCTCGTCTCTGGACCAAGGACGGTCGCGACTCTTCCTCTCACTTACAACCAGAGGACGAGGAAATGACGTTTCCGCCAGGACCGGTCAAGTGATCCGATCTCTGGGCATCTCATTGAACTTTCTGACATCCCTGAGGAGGGAACTCGAGGTCCAGCCGGAAAGTCCGAGAGGCGCCGAGAAAGCGCGACAAGGCGCAGCCTTGAGCGAAAAAGTTCGCCATGTAGGCGGTCCCGAGCTTTGGAGATCTCGGAAAAAGTGCCAAAGATGTCCTGAGATCCGGCTATAATTACGGGAAAGGCCTTATCTCATTAGGGGTGAAGACCAAGACCGAGAAGAACCTCGAGCTCGGCAGTAACTTTGTCATGAACTTCGATGACTCGCAGGTAAACGATGATTCATCCTCAGGTGAAAAAGTTCGATAAAACCCCCAGGTGCGACTTAGACTTCTCTTTCTCGATTTTTCACACATGGTCATCATTTTTCTTGCGTGGATATTTAATCATATCTCATGCCTTATATTTTATTCTCTACTTTTATATTTGCCTATGTATATGCAGTGAAATTTGAGAAAAATAGCGAAGGGGGAGGTGAACGGGGAATTTTTGTAAATTGAAAAGCCCAAGCGCAGTCGAGCCCTTTCCTTGTATCTTTAATAACGAACAACGCAGTGCTCGGTCACCTAAGAGGGAATCCGCGGTTTCGTGCAGTCCTTCGGCTCCGTGGAATCCAAATACACGGTACCAAACTATGGATCCTTCACGGAGAAGTGGAACACCGGGGGCACGGTGTCCTTGGATTATAGCATAGACGATCAACTCCGAGAGGGTACCAATTTCGGTGGAGGTGCATCCTACACCCCGGACACATCGGCCGTATCACTTCGAGTAGGAGGGAAATTCAAGGACGAGCAAGTCAATCTCTCCTGCAACTTGGGTTCGTCCATGCACACGAAATAGATACTCGTTTCAAAATTTTCCATCTCCTGAAACTCCCATTCCGAGCGAGAAATAATTAGTGGAAGAAATCAAAAAAATATTTCAAGGGAATATCTTTCTTGTTTTTAATGAAACGTTCTTATTGGTTAATGGATATTTTTTTTTTGTAAGGGTTCCCGAGAAATACGGATGAAATAAAAGATCATTCTCGTTCGGTTCATGGACGATGCGAAGCACCTGTCGGATATTTTCGTGCCCGCCTCGAGTTTTAATGAGCAGATTCGCACCGGAGGCGACAAGGGGTGAAATTATGGAACGGTGGTAGCAGGGTGAAACATAACGGCATAAATAATGGCCGGTGAATTAAAGGCGAAGCTCACTCCGCTTCTCCGTTATTTACATCTGGTATAAACGCGTTCCTTTTAACTGCCCTAATCTCACGTGGTTATTTCTAGAGATACATCGTACTTAGGACGAAGGGTATAGAAAATGACGACAAAACCCGCCAAGATTTGTTATGAAATATTTCTCTCTCCTCCAGTAATCGCTTATCAATTGTAGGAAGAAAGTATCGATGCTATTCCAACGCGTATGATGACGGTAAAAATCTAATTCCATTTAGACAAGCCCTCGGAGGCGAGTGTCAGCATGACAGGAGCGCTGGTGACGGCTTTCAAGGAGTTCCTCGTCGGCTATCAGGTGGGTTATGACATAAATGACAACAAAGTCACAAAAAACAACTTTGCTGTCGCCTACAACGTCGAGGAAGGCGGGTTGCACCTGAGATGCAACTCGGTACCACACGAGTGCGGATTATCTCTATATTACAAAGGTTGGTCGCCTTTCCTAATCGTCATTTTCTTCACAGAAAAAATCTCCAACTTCACTATATCCTACCAAAACCTGACAGAGTAAACGCTACTACGTTTGCTGATCGTAGCGATATCGGGAAAAGTAATTGCATTCGTTATCAAAATAATTTGTTTTTGGCTATCTACAAAGTCAACGATAATCTGGACGTCGCGATGGACGGAATCCTGGCAAGGAATGGCGACACGGAAGAATGGACTGCTGGAATGGGCTTGCGTTACAAGCTCGACGAGGATTCCACGTTTCGGGTGAAATTTAATAAGGACTTGCAACTTGGCACCGGCTTGCAGCAAAAGCTCGTCGATAACGTGAACTTGACGCTTTCTTTCAACATCGACTGCGCGAATATACCACGAGGTGGACATAAGGTCGGCTTAGCTCTGGACATCGAAGGTTGAGAAAAATCCCGCGGACACCTTCCGAAACCCTTATCGATCGAATCACCGGCTCTATGTTCAGAAAATAAACCCGAGAGCCGAGGATTACTCGTTTCTTTTTATAACGTCCTCAGCTATGTAAATACATGGTCTCCTCGTCCCCCGAAGACGGCCTTTCAATCGAGCAATTCCGATCAATCAATCGAGAACTACGGTTCTTTAGAACCTGATCTACTTTGGAAGCGGACTCTTTTAACGAGTTTCAAGTTAAGACATTAAAGTACCATAAGCGGAGAATATAAAGAAATTCGTAATATTATGGGAACATATTCTTTAAAATATTTTTAAGTACCAGTGGAGATGCTGCTCAAATACAGGTAGTAATTTAGTCATTTCGTGCTGTGCACGCCGAGTTTACCTTAAAGTCCCTAAATTAAATTCCGACAGTTACAGCCTCGTAAACGCGTTTTAAGTACAGCATGGCAGGAAAACCGGCAGGTGTCGTTTTGGCTTTTCGACGCTTCAAAAGCCCGCAAGTGATCGACGCGTTTTCGAAATTGCTCCGCATCAAAGCACGCAAATATTTGCAGGTGCATTGGACGCGATTACGCGATCAGGCGCGAATGTTTTTGCCCACGTGGAATATCGATCCCGACGATACAGCTCGGTATGGTTTACTCACTCCCGTCTACTCGGAAAGTTCGCGTTTGCTTTTCTCACACGTCTGTACTGTTTACTCGCATCCCGTTCAACGTACCGTAGCTGTACGTGTAATCGAAAAGCCCAAGGTGAGAAGACGTTACAAGACTTTCAGCGAGAGACAATGTCGAATCGAGACGCCTTCGTCGCGATTACGTCAAATTAAGAAAAGCTTCCAAATTCATGGAGACAGAAGTTGAAAATCATCGGTGATAAGTAATCGGGACTAATCCAGAAATGACCGAAATACTGGAAAATCTTGCTTTGTAATTTTTTAAACTTTGCTCTGTAGGTGCACATCATTCGGAGAGCTTTCGCAGGTCATCGGTGACAAACGACATAGCGTGAGACGAAATTAAGAAAAATATGTTTCGCCCTCTGCGGTGAAACGCATCGTTCTTCATACTACGTAAAACTCATTTTTTCCCCAGCGAAAGAGCCACGGTTATTTCGGATTTATCCGACGTTACGCAGTTGCGGGGCACGAGTTATTTCTCCCGACACTTCGGGTTATATTCCCGTTGTTTTGCGAATCCGGCCAGAGAGAGAGAGAACGAGGAATTCGTTTCGGTGATTTTCCGCGAACATGGACTCGCTTATGAATATTCACCTGGCAATGGGATCTTCGATCCTGAAATTTCCACGTCCGACTCCGGAAAGCGCTTTTCGACCTGTGGCTCCAAGTTAATTTTAACATCCGAAATATGTGATTATTTTTGGGGTTATGCAGATTATGGAGTTATGCAGGTGTAACGATTCCCTGAACATGGCAGTTGCGACTTTTGCATCGCCGTTGACGAGCAAAATGGACGGAGCTCATTTGCGATGCGTGTCTTTAATAGGATATATCTAATCGCGAGTACGTAAATGCTACACGTAACGAGCAGTCACCGTAAAATGCGCTGTTATTCGGTCTAATGAGCGTCAGCTATGTAATTGAAATTAATGAAGCGACGCTGTAACCAACACCGGAGCTTTGATTGCCGGTCGCATCGTCCAACATGCCGTCAGTGGAATTATGGGCGAATGAACCAGATTAAACGGCTCTTTGCAGAGATTAATGTGCCCTGAGATTTAGCTGAGAGTTACACGCGTGAATTTATCAGTTCAAAGCTAAAAGGCCCGTTTAAGTGCATGATTTAAGGACAACGAATCTCGGGAGGTCCTTTTGCCAAATCCCGAGTCCGCCACCTTCAAAGACTTCTTCCAGGCTCACTAGGCGTATAAGTTTAACAATTTCTAATATTTTGCTTTCCAATAGTGAAATTATTTTCCGAGCGAGGAAGGAAGTCATTCTCAAAGGCCGAGGTTCGGTAATTAGTTCAAATGGTAATTAGCTTTGTATAAATATTCAAAGGCATTACGGATAGGTAGCTCATAGGTAAAGTCGAGTGTAAGTTTGGAAGTTGATGTGTAATAAATTATCTTCCCTACGAGCGGCTCGTGGCCCATTTTCCTATGCATTTATGCAAAATATACGTGGTACCTTAAGACGTAACTATTCATCTGCATTTTGATTACCTATTACCATACCTCCAATTGAACGTAACTATCTAGACGTAATAACGTTGTGGGTATTCTTAGAGAAAATGAGCGCACCTTGTAGCACGTTTAAATTGATGAAGTTATTATTTACCTTCGTAATGGAATATTATTACTCTCGTTAAAATTAATTTATATGAGCGATGGTTTTCCTCTCTTGATTTTACATCAATATTCCATTTCTCCTCGCGTATTTATACACATCATTTTCAATCACCGTCCAACATGGGATTCAATTGAAACGCGAGATGCAAAATTTATAAATTATATATTCATACTCCAATTGTTATGCAATTTAAGTCTCCTTTAATATATACCAAATTGTTTGAAAATTGCAATTCGGTGGCGTCGAAATTTCGCAGGCAAAAGGGACAATAAAAATGTACGCACGTCCCGGTTGCAAGTTGATCATGTATAAAATGTTGCACCCACAGTTAATATGGACCGGTGCCGGTAATTAATTGCCTCTCTGACAATGAAATTAATTTCCCGTAGCAACTTTCCGCGATGTTTTATGCCAGTGAAGAGTCCATATTTCTTGTCACCCCGATGGCCCGTCTCAGTTTGTACTTCTGCGTTTTGCATGTGTAATCCATCCTAAATATACATTCTATTATGCGAAGTTGACTCACAAACGTCTCCTTCGTCTTTCGCGCACCATGGTTCTTCGAATTACCCGTAGTGTCGTACATAAAATTTCTAAGAATAATTCATTTCCCACCGTTTGCCGACAATTTGATGGCTTCAACCCAAAATCGCATTTCTTACGTCTCGCGATGAAGCAGAGATTTATTTATGGGAGCTCAATTAATATTATCATTTAGAGTTAATTTCTTTACTGTAGCCATCCAGGGGTAAAGAAATGAACACGAAAAGTCGAATTTACTGACCTTATGTCTCGGAACTGCCGGCATGCTGCTCGTCCGATTGCGATATTGTCTCGCAGAATTTCGGGAAGCTGGTCCAGCAGGACTCGTAGGACTGGGTCCTCCAGGACTCGTTCCAGGACTCAGATGGGACGTCGAGGAGACTCCTCCAGGACTTATGGCCGAACTCCTGGTCGGACTTCTCGGGGATGGCGACAAATGCCCCCAAGGGCCGGTCTCGGCTTGCAGAAATCTGATCGCAAACAAAACACGTGTATTCCGGAGAGCACTCTGCAAAATTGCGGCAAATTTCATTCCCTCGTTGTGTCTTCGTCGATGCGTACTTTAATACGCGGTTAAGGGAAAGATATGTGGATAAAAACGTGAGCAAACTTTCAAGGCTCCCGTGCTTACTCCGCAATCATGTTAATGTATTTTTAACAAAGGGTTTCCTCGCGAAAAAAAATCCGACTGGATTTAAAGTGTGGCTTCGAGGCGGTTTGCAAATTCCATTTTTAGAACGGAAAAGCGAACGCCTTTTCGTTATCGAGCATTTAGTCGTGACAATTGGAAGCGACGAGGAAGTCGAAGTAAAATTGCTCACGGACGTTTCAACGTTTTTTATCCCGATTTTCTCGAAATTCCCGGAATGTCACTGAGACGTCTGCTTTGGGTAACGCGACCTGCAAGACTGCAGGGAAGGTTTGTAAAATGATAACGAGGTATGAGAATCGATTTCTTCGGTATATCGTCAGCTTCTCGCGGCCATCTTTTGTAATCCGTGGGTGCTCTCCAAAAGTCCGTAGGGAAGATCGGGGACGGAGATACCAAAATGACAATATATTGCGACGACCCGATTCGGGCTATCACCTCTTGATCATCAGGTAACCTTAGGTATATCGGACGTCATTCGGCAAAACTTCGAGAGCCGACAATTCCCAACTGGGTCGTCGGATGATGCTCTCAGAATGAACCCACATAGTTTCAACTTGTCTAAATGTCTCCCCTCGTTCGGGGGAAATTGAATCAAGTTCGTATTGCGAGCAGGACTTTACTAATTATTTCGACCAAGTCGAGTTGAGTGATACAGATTGCACCCGGGGAAAATTGCCAGAGTTAAAACTAAATTGGAATAGGTTTCCCAGATACGATGCAGTCCCTAATCTCGGCATGCATTATTTTCCCCCCGATTTGGGAATTTCATTGTTAATAAAAATATGCTTCCGCTTCATGCAATCACGAAATTGCGGAATTTTAAAACGTCAACCGATAGAATTTTATTAAATGTTTTACGTGCAATACGTTGGAAATATTATTCAGTTACGTGACATTCCTCTGAAATTCCGACTGAAAAAAATTCCGATAAAGTAGGAACGCTCCGTGCCCTTTTGCATCTCGAAAATGGACTCGTAAGGATGCTCCACATGCGTGGGCGAAAATCGCCAGCGTTTCCGATTTCAAAGAGCAATTCCGGCTTCAAAGGACTCGGCGTTTGCACAATGGCGAGATAATTGCAAGAAACGCTAATTCATCCCAGAAATGTTATACCACCTGGTTTGGAATCGACATGAACGCACGGAATCGTTTATTCCGTTAATGCAAAAGGTTAGTCTGCCGGGGGGGAAATCGACGTGAGATGCATTTTAAGCGCATCCAACGCAGGTCTGCAGCGTTTCTATCCGCGCAGGATCGATTTCTAATTTAATCCTGTCTGGGAAATTCGCGAAAATTCAAATCCACACACCTTAACCCGCGTTTCGTCGACGTGACATTAATGCGCGAGCAAATTCCAGAAATTCCAAACTAACGCAACGCTTGCGTCCCAGTTAGGCGATCAATCCGAAGCGATTGATAAGCATTAAAACCTAATTATCACCGATTACCCAAGAATCCAAGAAAATCGAATAAAATCAGAAAATTAGCGGGACTTCGTAGCGCGCTTCCTACCGTACCCGTTGCAATTTCATTTGCCGAGGTGGGATGAAATTACCTGTACTTCGCAATAACCAGAGTACCTGGATTCCTCAAAGCGACAATAAACGCGGATTTCGGTCGAGAGAAGGCATCCGCCATTTTCTCGGAAAATGCTCATCTCTTTGTCCGATACGCAGGATATGAAAGGAGCACACCGGGATCCTTATCCTCGCGGCGGCGGAGTGACGGTCCTTTCAGAAATTTTCCTTATGACTCCGCCGATGTTTAGAGAGATTGGAAAATGTCAATGATGTTTAGGGAGATTGAAAAATGTCAAAGGGAAAAATTTCATTTTGGCTAAATGTTCCCATCCTGACCTGTGCAAATCCGGAGTCGGCCTGGCCACGGCTATGCTGGAGCTGCGACGTCTAGAAGGCGTTGGAGACTTTGGTCCTTCGGAAGGATGTCCCTGTGGTCCTGAGAAAGAGGTCTGCTGAAGTCGCACCTCGACTTCGCTGCTGCGCCTGTGGAAGGCTCTCTTGCTCCATCTTTTGTTCCTGGCGTCGGTGCTGGAGGATTCCTGCTTCCTGAAAATAGAAATTTCACGGTTTTTCAGGAACGATCCAATTAATTCTCGACAAATCCGAAGATTTGTCCTCCCTGACGCGAAGACGGGAAATTCGGAACGGTGGGTTCTACTTTTCCATCCAGATTAACGGGAGGCAGGTGATTAATGTCCTTAAAGCCTGGCGGGAAATTTACGTTATCCTTCTCGGCTAGATGAGAGTCGATCTAGGGTTTTTTTTATTTATGTAAGACTCGATTTAAGAAATGACTCGCAGCTGCGTCCACGTCGGCGGCTTAAAGTGCCGGCGTAATTCAACAGCTATCCAAATAAAATATCAATTCAGGCGATTCAAAGTCCATGCAGTGTCCGCAATTTGTCGGGTCCCCAACCCGGCCCAAAATTTGTCTGGATGTAGTCCAACTGGCATCTAGGGATGATTTCCTCGGCTCTATTTAAGATCCAAATCAATCCCAAATGCCTGCGTGATTGGACATTAAGTTTATTCTGATCCGTGATCCGCAAACCCCTACGGCCGACTAGGCCGAAATTACCCCGAAAGCTCGGAAATTATTCAATTTCGAGTAAGCTCCTTGTTTAGGTGGAAATTCATCGCGCTCTCGTTTGCAATATTTCCCCGACGAGCTTAACAGTAGCTTAACGTCGCGAGTGCTCATGACTCCCCCGGGATGGAGGAACTCTTGGAAGAAATAACCTAATCACGAAACTCCTCCGAAACTGAGTAAGGGCCCTAGGGTACGATGCTGACGGTTCCTCGAACCTTATTAAAAACTTCCCTCGTTGGCTCTAATCTTTCCAGGAATCTTTCCTAGCGAGGCCTTTGTAGAAGAGAGACCTCGGTAATACGTGAAAACAAAAAGAGAAAAAAAGGGCTCACCGAACAATTGCATCCCGATTTAGTAAACTGCATTTCAACAGTCCGTAAAACAGGCTGCAGTGATACGAACCCAAGAAATTATTAAATTACAATTCCCTGCTCCGAATTACAAATTATCGCCACAAATAATTCCCGTAAACCGATTCTTCCCAACATTTTCGACGGATCGAAAATAAAATCAAGTCTAGACATATTTTTTTTCAAACCGATGTAGTCCACCTAATTTTATTCTCCCCCGAGTATTTTTAAACGGCCACCGAGAATTCTTCCGTTCTTTAATAAAAATTACGAGACCCGGGACAGACGGCTGATTTATATTTCGAATATCACGATGGAGTATAGACATTTTACACTCACGGACCTGGGGATGAGCTTGTCTTCGAGCATGCTCGGCTGGTCGTCGGCATCTTCGGTGAGGGCAGAGAAAAAGTCCTGGAACTTGTCCGGGAAGCTACTAGGTGGATAGGTCCCGGAAGAGGTCGAAATCTCGGGCGAACTTCTCGTCTCGGAACAATTCTGACCGAACCTCGGAACTGTTGAGGTTGCCATAAGTCCAGCTTTCGGCCCGGGCCACGATCGAGCTTCTCATGAATCAAGAGTGCGGCCAACGTACAACTACCCCGTCGATACTCGGCGAACATTCACCCAAAACAACTCCCTTCAACCTCTAAGCCACCTGCCTTTAAAAAGCCCCCTCAAAAATTCCCCATCCCGAAACTCGCGCACAAGCTCTCGGCACAGTCAAGCTTAACGGACGTAAATTTTGAGAAATTTCTCCTTGCCGTCAATGGGCCTCCAAAATGTCCTCCGAATTTGCCCACGAGGCCAGAAAGCGCGCGAAAGCTCGGCGTCCCGGCGTTCCGAGGTTTCCGACGCGTCCCAGAGATTTCCGACGTATCTCCGAGGTTCCTGACGTATCTCCGAGGTTTCCAACGTATTTCCAAGGTTTCCGACGTGGCCGCGAGATTTCCGACGTGTCTGCAAGACGTCCGACGTGGCGAGCCGACTCGACTCGTCAGCCGTCCGGGCGCGACTGGACGTCTCGGCGGAGCTTTTGATTTTTCGCGTCGCGGGGGGTGCGTGAAGTTCGGCGTCGTGGCCGGGAAACCCCGGCCGAGAGGCGATGGGTTTTTGCTGAGACCCAGGCGAAAACTGAGCCTCGCATGGTGATACGAGCCGGGTGGCTCTCGTAGTAGCGGCGTCGGGAGGCTTGCGCACGCGTGACTCACCCTAAAAGCTCGCTGAATGAGCGGATGGGCGATAACTTCGTAATACCTCGCGTATCGGCAGAACCCCGCCACGGGGTAGAGGGGGCTTGTTACACGAGCTTTACCTCGAAATTACCACTTCCTGTAACGACACGCTGACCGGAGCTTGCGGGTTAAGGACGATCGAGCGTGGCGGCCCGGGCCCTCCAGGGAAATGAGCTTTTCCCGGGCTGCGCGAGCCGTCTTCGTTAGGGGTGATTATTTTCGGCGGTGAACCCATGCCGAACCCATGCCGAACCCATGGTGAACCGACGATCGATGCATTTCCCGGATTCCCTCCCGAATTATCGCGCCGTCCTCTGAGCTGCATCTCGCGGAAACACCTGTTTCGTGACGCGTCATTACCGCGCTGTCGAATCGGACTGCCACGCCGGGAAATCAATGGCACATGTATGTGCTTAGGTATAATGCTACGGTTTACGACAGAGAAATGACGATAAATGTCCTGGGTCGTGATAGAGGAAGGATTTTTTCGAGGAGGTACCTAAATGGATGTGTATATATATGTAAAAAAAAAAATGTATATACATATACGTGCGTTCGTTAATCAAGCTCATCTTCATCGCAATGTCCGCGTCGAGCTTTCCGAAATCGAGCGACCTCCCTTCTTCTAATTTTCCAACGAACTTCCCCGAGCCGAGCGAGCTTTCTTCGAAGCTTGAGGGGAAAGCCGGAGGCATTCTCCTTCTTCCTGCGGGAAAAGTACTTTATCGACTTTTTCAGGGAGACCCTTCGTGCCGGATAGGGCATTATTCAAAGTCGCTGATTTTTCCCTAAGTTTCCTCCGACTATCGGCGATATTCCTTTATTGCGATACCCCCCGATATACGTGCACTAACAACGACTTAATTCGTTTTTTCTTTTCTTCCAGAAAATTTCTCAATTTCAAAATTCGACTATTCTGACATTTTCGCGGGCATTCTTTTTTCGATTATTTTGCAATAAGTCTCGTTTCACATAGTCAGACCTTGATACCATTTTCGGGCACTTATGTGGAGCGTTAGTAATTTATTCAGAATTATCCATGCGAACATGGATTCTCACTTACACGAATTTCTCAAACGTCAAGTAGCCGGCCAAATACAAGAATATCGTCTGCAGATGGAATAAATAAAGTGTCGCACATTTGGAGGTCACTGTCAAAAAGACGCGGGTATATTTTAAGAAGAACTACCTACGTAGAGAAATTCAGGATTAAGTATGTTTTTCACGGCTATTAGGGTTAACGTCACAATGTCTTCGTCCGTATTTATTAAGAGCACAATTTCTGCGAGCAGAATTAGAAATTACGTTATCATTGTGGTGCCCTGACGAGCGTCCACGGTCATGCCTATGTATGAATATGGACGTTCAATTGCCACGTGAATGCCGAGTAAAATCCTTTCAAACACGTTCATTACCGTGCGAAGTAAATTCATTCGATGTATCGGGGAAGACGGATTTATCGAGCATCAGCTGCATCGAGGGTCGAAAGAGACATGCTTAAGCAAACCCACGTTTATGCATCAATTCGCGGGAACTACTGATCAAACACCAACGCGCGTTCTCAGTCATCTATTAAATGGTAATATTCGTGACAGAGATTCTATACAAGATCCTCTTTAGCGCGTTGATTTCTAGTGCTAGCTGCTTGATTTACGGAGCATCGTCTGCACAGGAGAGTAAACGCGATACATATGTTAAGGATGACCAGCTTATACTTAGCGACATAAGACATTCATTTACTTGACGATTTAATACTCCGCTGAAACGCACTTAGCGTAATGCCACGCAGCAATAAGTAAATTTGCAAAGCCGGTTTATTTTCCATGGCTCAAAAGTCGGCGAGATCAAAGCGTGGTCTCCGAGGAAGGTCGGCAACCGCATAGATCAAGTAAAGCAGAGGTTAACACATCACCGGCCCTCGTAATTACAAATTGCGTTTCCGCGGTCGTTTGTCAAACATTTAATTCCTCCGACAAGAATGGCGTGTAAAGACCGGCGAATCGCGTCCGCTTCTGTCTCACGGAAATTCAGGGAAGAGATCGAGCGGAACGGATTTATGGAACGCCATCTGCAGGGTGGAGGCGCGGCCAGAGGGGCAAGCTCGTGCATCGGATTAACCGGCGATGAAGATTGCAAATAGCGCGTTGCCCTTCGAGACACGTGTTTGCCGTCACGATTGGAAGACCTTGCACGACTGTCGGGCAGCCGCGTCAAAGGATAAATGATTTCTGCGAGCTCGGTGGTAACGTTGTCGCGCCGCCATCTGTCCGGCGGAGGCCGAGCCTCGCAAGCTCAAGGAGATCGTTCCCGGATTTAGCGATCGCATCGAGAACCCCCGATTATGATAACACCCAAACCTACATCCGAAATAGCGGCGTCCTCAGGATGGGCCACTATAAATACGCGTCTCCAAGTCATCGAGCCAGCTTCGCTCGGTGGCGGTCGAGGCCTCGAGCCATCGGCTCCTACTTCTCCCCTCGGCCTTGCATATTGGAGGCGATCTTGGAAAATACCCCCGATCTTGCTCCGGGCCTTAAATCACCGACAGCCGGTCGTTTCCACCCAACAAATTTCCTCGCGAGGATTCCTATCCGCCCGGATTCCCACTCGTGTACCAGATTAGAGACTTGAGAATTTTAATGCGGGACATTAAGTCGAGACAGGACTCCCGGCTTCGGCCGGGGGACTCGGAATTGCTGAAATTCTTGGTAAGTCCGACTGCCCACTTGGGATAGGTCCAGGTCCTCGTGAAATCCCTATTCCAACAAATTCCGTGTTATAGGGCCGTGAAATGATTTTATTATGATTTATATCGAGTCGAGCCACAACAATGGACCTGCAGTGATTCGATGCTCCATTTTTCGAAGTCATAAATCAAGCGTGCAATTAACGAGTGCCACGAGCTCTCCCAAATTTGTCGCGGTAGGTCAGCGATTTTCAGCCGGTTGAAAATTATTGCACAATTTTGTCACCTGACAATTGGACGACGTATCGCGAAACTCTCGACCCGATTGTCGAGTTGGCGTTAAAGCTACCTTCGCGAATAGAGACGTCGCGGACTATTTTCATCTGTAATTAATTTCGATGTAACTGCTTCGGGATGTCCGTGGACTGATTTATAAATAACACGAAACCCTGGATAGAACGCAGTACCGAGATACATAAAAAAAATGAACCTTTTCAGAATTTCAGAGGAAAGTACTGGATCGCTCCTTGGTGGTGCTTAAATATAAATTACGAAGAAAATAATTTCACTTGGGATAAAAATAAGACAGAAACAAATAATCATTTCCCTGATACCGAAGCGCAGGAAGCGGACATCGCGAAATTCTGATCCTGTCAAGTTTTCCTTTCCACGTCCATTAATTTCACATAACGTTCTTTTCCAATCCTGAGAGACGTCGTCTCGCAATCGCCTGAGAAAAATCCCTCTTTTACCTCGAACTTTCCTCCATCTTCCTTTATTTTCGTCCCGAGCACGCGTCCAACTTCGCGGAAAATCTGTCACTCCTTCTGAGCGGCCCGCAGACATTTCAAGAAATAAAGGGCAATCAGTCCTAGCCCACCTTTTTACGAGAATAAATAACGTGGATATTCTTATTCCATTTATTTCATCGCATCCATTAAGGAGTTTCCCTCGTCGAGTCCTCGTTCATCCAAATTAGAATGATGAGCAAGGCCAATTACCAGGAGAAAGGGTCGCGACTGCTGCGAGGTAGAAAATCATTTAACAGCTCGCCACCTTGAGAAAATGAAAGGAAACGAGCCGGCGCCCCGAGGAAGGACTTTATATCGGAAATAAGAATGGCGATTCGCGAGTTCGCTTTCTGTAAAACTCCCCGAGAGACTTTCCTGGGAGGAAAGTTCGCGGCATAGTTGAAAGTCTTCCGGAGACATGTAACACCCGGGAGCCGTGAAACCGAGCGACTTTTACGGGCGACTCGATCAGGACCTGTCCTCGGAAAAATCGCAGGTTTCAAGGCTGCTGTCCTTTAAAAGTTCCCCCAAGATCCTTAAGGAAGTTCGTCGAAAGGCGTTGCCGCGTCGACTAATCCCTGGGAAACTCCAGGAAAGAATTCTACAGAGGACCCGATAGCACTATCGATTGCTGCGTGGTCGAGGAAAATGTCTTAGTTCCCGTGCCAAGTTATTGAAATGAATTTATCTGCTATTTAAAAGAACTTCCCTCGACTGATTATAATTCAAAGGCTGAAAATACTACATACGTTCAGGTGAAATTCATTTTGCAACGACTCGTAACGTTACGTTTATTCTTTTCCTTTGCTGTCTCTCTTACGGCATGAATGTAATTGATATTTTCCAGGAAATACGTATTCTCCATTACCGGGAAACATTTTTATCCGCCCAAACGGGCAATTTTTTGCTCTCCGTATTTAGAGTAAATGCAGGGGAGTTACTTCGGACAATTGATTTTCGCGAGGGTTAAAAGAAATGCCAGGACCTTAATGTTCAGAGTGCACCTAAAAAAGAAGGTGCAAAAAGGTCCCACGTGTCGCTCAACGGCTAATGCGTTTTCCAATTTACTTTTTTAGGTGGCTGAAGCCCAGGAAAATGGGAGGATAAAAAAGTGGTAAACGCAATTTGCCATTCTCCAGTCGGTAATAAATCATTAATGAAATACTCAATGGAGGGTGTCAACGTTTTCCATTTGGAGAATAAAATGGACGCGAAGAATCGCGATAAAGGGCGATGCGCTTGCATCTGCAGGTGTCAGGTGTATCTCGCGCGAAATATCGATTTCCTTCCAGATATAAGACATTCCAGATTTTCCTCATTTCCTCGACCCGTTGTTATCGAGTCTTATCAGGTCAATGCTATGAATGCTCAGACGGATGCTTACATCGGAGACGAGGAATGAAATTGCGAGATGTCCGCTCCTAGGGCTGCATCAGCCCTCGTATCTCTTGAAAGGGATGCATCGTCCGTGTGCAGGGATACACGGAGCTGCATCGATCCTGTCTACCTCGGCTTCCGGTTTGTTACGTTCGACAATCGATACCAATGTAACTAGTCAAACCGATGTGCATCCTGCCGAGGTAGTTTCCCTTTCATGTCCTCCGTAAGTACACGAAAATACTTCTAAACTCTATAAAACTCCCCGAACTAAAATCGTAGATTTTAATTAAATGTTATATTTTCCATGCAAAATCGAAAATCGATTTCATTCTCTTTATTATATCCGTAATCTTGAAATTATATTGATATTTTTACCGGGGTGGAATTCCCCGTTTTCGCTCTGCAGTTTTTGCAGGATTATTTATCCAAGCCAAATTGCAAACGGCTCTGAAAAGACTCGGGGTATATAGCCCCATCAATTTTCGCCCTTTCATTAGATCATCCCCCGCCATCGAGAGTACTTCATCTCGTCTTCGGTAATCCGTTCGTAGGTCGGATTACCACGGGGCAAAGTTCGACACTCCGCGGGTTTCTTTGGGAGCTTAATCCCGTCTTGACGTGCAATCGAAGTCGCGGTATTAATGGGATGTACTTAGGGCCAACGCCCGACACTCTCGCCATTGCTGTTCTGCAATTTATAGCAACCTTTAAAAATTAATACAAGATTATATAACACTGCTTAGGCAGTCAGAAGAAGAAAGTCGGATGCCAAGATGGCCGACCGCGTAATCCCTCAATGAAGATAAAGAAGTAACGAGAACCACCCCCGGAAAGGGCGGCGTCCTTTTGTCTCAGGTGTCCTTAAGCGTCGCCTTGAATCCGGATGCGACTTCTACCTTGGCTCGCCGTTTCGCCAGTTCGTAATCACCCTATAATCCCGAAAAGCTACGAAACCACCCCTCACCCCTGCTGGTGCGGTTCATCGACAATGAACTCAAAAGAGGGGTGCGACGCGCCCACGAGTGTCACTATTCTTAGATCCGACACCAGCCAGCTCAGCGAGGCCTCCGGATGCTTTTTCCTCTTTCTTCTTCCGTTCTTTTTCTCTTTCGCCGCCCCACCCACCACCCACCTCCCACCTCCCACGTTTCCGGTCCTCGACGACAATGAACTCGCCGAGAGTCGCTCTTCTTCGTCTTCTTCTCGGTTCATCTCCCTCCTGGACCGAACCCCGGACAATGCAGCTCTACACCTCGGGCGCACCTTGCACCCCTTGCACCCCTTTAGGCCCCCGGCGACCCTTCAGCCTCCTTCGAACTCGCAATGACCCCATGGAGACGACTCGCGGTGGAGTGGACGGACCTTATCGTCCGTTATCGGCATATATGATAAGCGCTCGCAAAGTTGCTCGGAGTCCTCGATCCGTTTATCGGTGGCCGATTACCCTCGGGGTGGCGCCGGCACCCTTAATGCCCGAGCTCGACTCCACGTGCGAACGAGTCGAATGAATTATTCCGCACTTCGCGAGACGCAGCACGTGGACTCACCCCGTGCGTTACACGAGGGAGAAGTTCGACGACCCCCGCGTCGCCTCGTGGATTCGATGCAGCCACCCCCGGCCAGAGGGCGATGGCCCTTTTATTTCCCTTTGAACCCTAACGAGCTCGATTTCAATCACGACCTCCGTCGCCAGATCCGTTTGAGGGAGGTCGAGTTCCGCTCGGAAGTCCTTCCGGGGGTGGCCTCGGTCCCGGGGGTGAAAAGAGCCACGAGGGCTTTTTTTACGGGCCCTCGTCGCTAATTCTGCAAGCTGACCCGGCACGTCGGATTATTCCCGTATTAGCGACGCCTTGGCGGTGATGGCTGCTCCTAAAAGTAATTAGATTGCACCCTGGACCGTGAAACAACCTCTGGTCAATTTTGCGAGGGGTGGATTCGGACCTCCCGACTTCTCCGGACGGACGTGGACGGCGAGCAAACGTTTTGCAATTTTCGGCCGGGGGTGTGGGGCTCTCTCACCCTCGCGAACCAAGGCTGGGTTAATGCTTTATCGTTTTATCCCAGAGATAGGAACTGGACTTATTAAGTTACTTTCGGAACGGAGGTTTGGAAACTTTAGAAATACTTAACTTATCGAGGAGTTTTGGAGACTCGGGGGCGGCAGGTGGGAGTTAAAAAGTTTCGCCTCGATTTAGAGGGAAAACCGACCGATGCAAAAGTGAAATGAATTTAATCCAATTATCCGTTGCAACGGATGTGAGAACTTTTAAGGATAGGCTTCAGGTCGGAATAATATAGATCTAGACCACCCATCAAAACTCCGCTCTAACTCGATAATCGTGTCATATCTATTTCTCTTCCAAGAATGACAAATTCCTTTTAATAAATAACGTTTCTCCTGATTTTAGTCAAACTCCACCGACGTAAGAGAAATAAAAGATGCACCTAATTCTCTTAATAGCATATCTTATCCGCCCCGGACAATTTTAATTTTCATGAGGTTCCTTAAACCGAGTTCCTTCATAAATTCGATATCGTGCCTGCTGCACCCATTTGCATCGGGTAATTCGCCCCGGTCTATTTTTACCTTTCTTAAGTGGATGCCAAACATGCGGATGGCTCTTTAACAAGAAATTGCATATTCCCGGCCAGTTAAAAATGCGTGCTTCGAAGTTCCGAAATTTTCGATGATGAGAATCCCCATCGGCTGTTTCGACCGGGTGCAGCCGAATAGCAGAAGTGCATCGATGAATCTAATCAGGACAATTGCATTGACGCATGACGAGAAATCCCGAGCAAAAGTTCAATGAAGCGCGGTGGGTGCAGTGGATGCAATTGTATGCAAGCGCGTTCCGTTTTTGTCTTTCGGGGAACGCATGTCGATCGCGAGTTAATCGGCAAATGGCGTGCATCGGTGAACTGCACCGGTGGGCTGCATCCTGGAATTTGACACGACTCGAAAGAGCGTAAGTCGCCTTTATCGAGCCGTGTAAAAGTGGTCGACAACAACCGCCCTGGTGTGGAAACTTCTGTTAACGAGGGGCGTTCAACGATGGGGAAGACAGAGCCGGACGTCCAACTTTTTCCCGATATAAACGCAGTTTAACGGTTGATAAGGCGACACAAAGTACCTGAATTTCTATCTGGGTAATCATTGATGAGCCGAGAATAATTTCAGGTTTTTGCTTGCGACGCGTGTGTCAAAAAACAAGATGTATATTTTTAATTGCAATATTTCGCCGTAGTATTTATAATTAATTAATTGAGAGGAAGCTATCCGACGTCTCCTAACCTGGGCCAACTTCCAATAAAGGGGAGCATAATTTACAAGGCCGAAGGGCGTTTTGGGTTGCGGTTTCATTTTGGACCGAGCAGGTAAACCGATAACGCGCATAATTGCGCGCGCCTATCGGATATGACGGGACAAGGCGAACGGCCGCGCTTATCAGTTCTACCGATGTCAAGGCAACATCTCCGGAGATGATCGGATAAACGACAGCTCATAACCGCAGCCAATAACTTCGAATGAGGTGGGCGGGCGCGGCTCGGCCATTTTCGGATTCCCCAGGGAGAGGAAAACTCTCCTCAGGAGCGCGCGGCTCCCAGGAAAACTTCCAGCACGATTTCCCCGGCTCGGCTCTTACGTGCTCCCCGGGTCCAGGGAAACCGGGAATTCACGAAATGCCCTCCGAGGGTTACACTTGTCCTCCGGCTCCGATACCGGGATTAACGAGGAAACGACCTCCACGGAGGAACTTTCCCCGGAGCCAGTCAACCTTAGGGAGTTTCGCGAATCCGGGAAACCTCGTTACCTCCGGGAACGGAAGGGCCACACGGGAAGGGAAGGCGTTTCCGCGATTTTCGTAAATTAAGGGAGGGAAACGCGATAACGAGGACCTGGGGTATTTTTTTCCAGGGTATAAACTCTGAGGAATTAGTCTTATATAAAGAAAGATAATCTTTGTCAATTATTCTTGGGCGTGGAGTAAAGTCCACAGACGATCGTATTTATTATTAATCTGTGTACGTCTGTCGCGAATTGGAGGATATATTTGTTATCCCGTTAGTATACGAAGGACGTTATACATTTATCATTCTTTCTTCTTTCGTCGGATTGCCGAGGTGTACTCGTAAGGGGTCCTTCCAGACGCAAGAAATGCGTTATTGCGTATCAAGGGGAGAGTTCGGAGTGAGTAATTGCCGCGGTGGGGATCCGTTTTCGTAATACCCCGAAAATCGCCCCAAAAGTGTTCGTCACATTTATTTCCCGGTACAATTTCTCCGGAAATATTTCCCCGCGTATATCTTTGCCTTACTTCCGCTTTTGGTGTATCAGCTCTGGCTTCATAACCCAGCCTTTCTTCCGCATTTATTCCTGCCAGCGCGAAGGAAATCATCTGAAATGATTCTTTTTTTTTTCTTTCTCAAATGAGCGGGTGGATTCATCGGAGTATCGACTTGAAAAGTATCGATTGCCTTCCACCGCGAGTTCTCGTAACTAGTATTTGCGTTTTATCGGCGTATCTCCGCTGGCACCCCTCTACCCAACGAAACGTGGATTTCACGCCTTCTGTCGTTTCACGATGATGTCGAATCTGACAGTACTCATCCTGCCACGGATTGACTTGCAACAGTGCAGGAAATCCTTGATCGAGTCGACCGCAGGATGTAGCCAGAAATTCCGTGCATTGTTTTTTTTAGCCAAAGACCTGACAGTGATTTCAAGGATAAAAATATCGATTTGCCATCGCATCCCCAGTTTCATCTACGCTTAGAGTAGAGAAGAAATTTATGGTCGGACACCATGGACAAATTGAGCGAAACCAACGTTTGGGCCCATGAACCCACCCCAGTGGGCATCATCATTTACAGCGTTATCATCCCCACGATATCAGGACTGGGAATACTCGGAAATGCCCTTATTCTCGCAGTCCTTGGCGGAGCAACCCTGAAAGCTTCTACCTACACGTATTTGGCAGGTTCTTTGATTTTATGAGAATTTAACCATTTTTTTTCCTTTCCTCGTTTCAACACCCCTTCGCTTTTTCACAGTTCTCGCGGGAGCGGATCTGGTGACTTGCGCCCTGTTGCTCTTTTCTGGCCTGGCTAGGGGAATTTTTTGGGGCGAAAGAGGCTGGCTGGAATTCGATGCTTTCGTTCATCTTCCCCTAGGATCCGTTTCATCGAATATCGCGGTCTGGGCGGCAGTTTGCGTCACCCTCGACAGGCTCATCTTGATTTCTGGGTAAGCGATCAGAGGTCGTCGAGGAGTTCCCGAAGGATCACCCCGTGCGGAAATGATTGACAGGAGAAAACATTCTTGGAATTAATCAGGATAACCGAAGAAACCAAATTCGCCCAAAAAAAAACACGAGGGAGCCGTTAAGCTCGACAAGGGATGTCGAGGCGTGAATCCGATAATCGAAGATACCGATAAATGTCCCCAAAAAATCTACCCTCCTTATCAAACGACCCGTGACCACGACTAAGAAATTACCCCTTTCTCGCACTCGTAGAAAATGGTATCTTGGAACGAAGTGCCCTCAGCTAGGTGCGATAAAAAATGGCTCCGACATCGATTCTCGCGAACGCGTTCTTTTTTTCCTCTGGATATTCAGGGGTTGGTTTCGTTATCTGATTGGGCGACCGTAGCGTATCGGCGGACTTGTTTCGAGGAACGCAATTTAGATTGGGGGACGACTTTAGGCCCCGCTGAATCGACGGAAGCGAGAAATCCGAGGGATGGTTGGCGACCATAAGCCGCCATTATGGCATCTCGTGGACAACGAATTGCACGGGCATGCACGGGAGGAAATACTCGGTTTAATCCTCCGGTGATTTTAGTCGTGACAAATATTCCATGATAAACCGCTCAACGTTTCCCTCCATCCCCGATCACCCCAGGAGCATTAAATTCCCTCGTCCACCACGCCGGAATTACGCTTCTTGTCGGTTATGAACACGCATGGCCGACATGACTCCGCGTTTTGCGGCGGACAAATTTGACGGCTCAATGGGCATTTCTTGCTCACACCCTCGAGACTAAATTCTAGGACTAAGTTAGACCCCGGGAAAGCTGCGTAAACCCTGAACATCCCGACAGCCCGCCGAAGTGCAAGCCCCCGAGATTCTGCGATGACAAAGTCGCCAAGAAACTGATGATCAGCTGCTGCTTCTTTTCCCTTATGGTCAACATCCCCTACTGCTTCATTTACACCTACAACGACGACGGACATTTGACCACCACTCGGTTTTTCGAGTCCTGGTGAGTGGATCTCTACAGAAGGGGATGTTCACTCAGGAAATCATGGATTTTATTGGCTTGTCGGAAAAGTCATGACGCATCTTTGTAACAGATGGCATGGAAAACATCCGTCGTGACTTTTTCGATAACCCAATAATACTCAAATATTAATCGGGCCTTTAGACAAATTTGAATATATAGATTCAAACCTTTTTATCTCTCCTTTCCAATGTCGTTGCAGGCTCTACGATGTGCAGAATTGGTTCCAGCTGGCGATGTTCGGTCTTGTACCCGCGGTTTTCCTTCTGGTCGGTAATGGCATCATGTGCCATGCCGTAAGAAAAGCCATGAGACAGAGAGAGCTCTTTATGAAACGCAGAAAAATTCGGGAAGGGAACTGCTTGCGAGTAAATAGTATTTTACTTTTTAAAATCGAGACGCGCACAGTGGAGATAGAACCCGGTAATACGGAAAATAAGATAAAGGTCTCTTCCCGTCGCAGGACCAAACACGACTGACCATCACCCTCGTTGGCATTGTATTTATTTTCCTCGTCGGGGAATTTCCAACACATCTGGCTTCCAGACGAAGCGCCGCCTCGATCCTTTATGGCGGTGACGTCAATAAAATCGACGAACACTTCATGGAAAGGTGAACTGGTCGGAATATGTAAATATATTAAGGAGATGCGAAAGCGACATCCGAGGAGTCAAAATCGTTCGTGAAACTTTTCTCCGAACTGAGTGTACCAAATCGTTCCAAACTTCAGAATGTGAATATAGAGGCTATAAGGAAGGTCCTGACCATCATGAAATTTAATTTTTTATCAAAAAAATTTAAGAATACCTACGAAGAAATTTAAGAAAAAATTGAAATTTCACAAGTGTCAAGGCCATCTTTATAGCCGCTACGATTTCTCGCATGCCACTTTCACATCCCCTTAAGGGTAAGAATCGGCTTTTAAGTCGAAAATGGAATTTCCAGGTTTCGAATGTGCTGCACCGTCCTCAACGCGATCTCTAGCTCCGCCAATTTCATCTTATATTGCTTGCTGAGTCCGCACTTTCTTCGAAACCTGAAGAACCTTGCAGGCTGGAAGACACAGACCGAGAAGAAACAACTGAGACTGAAAATGCAGATGGTCGAGCGTCTCACCAAGGACAGCCTGATCTGTACAAAATCCCTAATCTAGAATCTCTATTGATTTTTTTCTTCTCACTTTTCCGTTTCCTCGTCGCCCCTGATAGATATCTTTTTCATCTCATTCGCCCGTTAAACTTCACTTCCTTAATTCCATCCCCGTATAAACCTGCAGTTGATTTATCTCCTTCAGCAAAAAATGTCTCTTCCTTTCCACCTCGTAGTTATAAATCCCCGTGATGCGTTTTCCCAATATAACAACTTACTTTTGGAGCATTCGAGGTGGCTCAAGATGAAGCAACGCCACTCAATGGCCGTTTGTACTAACTTTTATTTGACAAATAAAAAGTATTCGTTACAAATAATTGTAAACTGTATAATAATCTTATAGTACACGTATCGTGTGTAACGAGCGAACGTATGATTAGTTTTCTCTCTCTCACTCTCTCTCTCTCAAAAATCTTTCACTCCTCCTTTCGTTCTCCTTTCCGCACAATTTCCAACCCCTCCAGCCCTCCTTCGCACACACTCACCCCCGAATTCTCGATTTCTTTCACACTTGCAATTTTTCTCCCGTGCATGTATGTGTACTGCGTTAAACGGTCGTTTAAGAAATGAATCGCATATCGATTTGGTAACTTGACAGAGTCTCGGACACGTTCGTCTACGAACAATTCGACCGAATCGCACGTCGCGCCATTTTGTTATGTCTGATTCTTCGGACAAGGGCGGAACATTTCGATAATTTACCCCTGTATCCCGAGAAGTCTGCTTGTGTCAGATATAATAAAAATACGTCCAATAATACACATATTCTGTGCTTAGTTCCTTAAATACACTGCAATCATTTATGGGGAGGGGGGAACATCATCAGCATCATTCTATTTCTCTGCAACGGCAGAGCGCACAGAACCCACGCGGCGTCTGCACGGAAGTGTAATAAATACAATATCATACAAAATAAATGCACGTCCCAAAAGCAACGACGTTTAAACATCGACGTTTCGTTGCGGCTTTTTCTTACTTCTGTATCAAGGTATACAAACGATGGATTTTATTATTACATGTAAATCAGTGTTCTCTTTTTTAACTTCCAGTTCAATGTACACACGGGTTTCCCTTAAATTCTGCGACTGAAGGAAGGTTGCAAATTGAGACGAGGGAGGTTTAGGGCCAAGGAGACACCGAAGTGCTCCAGGAAGTGCCGGTACAAAATACGTATGGTTTTAGACATATTTTGGTCAAATCTGACACCTTTGATGAGGCATCGGGTAGCCGAAGGAACCGCTATACATGTACGACGAAAGGGAATGGAGAAAATCGGGAAGTGTAAGCGCGCAAAGCCCTCGATTATTCCTGAGGATGTAGCGGGAAAATTGGGAGGAAGAGGCAGGAAACTCCTAGAAAGGTCCTGGACGAACCTCTCGATAGGAGAGCAGCTACACCTCTGGCTAGATTTTTCGAGAGCCATTTTGAAAACCGTTCGATGACGCACACCCGAGGAAAATGGAACGCGACTTTGGAAAATAGTGATGCACGCTGCTCTCACTCTTTCTTTCTCTCTCTCTCTTCCTTTTTCAACCCGGATTGATCCAAAACTCAAATTCCCCTTTTCCGCTCGTTATCGTCGCCGTATTTTACCGCTGCTATCAACGCATGCACGTCGTTAGTGCCGACGTGGCACTTAGAAAATTATTAGCCTGCATTCGCAAAACTAATTCGTTCTCATAAATACTAATACAAGATTTTGATTTTTTACCAATGCCCAACGACGTTTGTAAATGGAAGATGTCCATATCTGCCAGCAATAAAAATTACGGTCGTTTATTCTTACATTCGTTTTGTGGATTAATATATAGGTAAATTACCCACGACATGCTGCAACCATATTTTGTTGTAAACGTTGATTCAATAATCGCTGGAAGAATCTAGGCACATTTTCCGTGTACAAAAACGTCGTTTTTAAGAATAAATAATTACGAACCGACGGAATGGTGAAACGCGAGAAGGTTACCAAGAAATTCTCATTTTCCGACAGTCACCAGGAATTTTTCTTATCACGCAGGGAAAATAAAGATTATGATTTATAAATACGGTTCATTGTCAACCCTTTTCCCTGGCATAATTACGATAATTGCTAACGATGAATGGGACGTTAGTGTTTCAATGCGTATTCTGTCTTTTTCCTTTTAAGTTACGTCCTGTCATCTTTATACAAATGCCAAATTACTCTTCTGCCAAAAACTAGTTCGTATTAGTACTTACTTAGGCATTAATATTTTTAACTAAACGCATGCACTTCCTTCTGAAAATTAAGTGAAAAAGATCGAATGATTAAATTTCATTGCTTAAGTAAGGAGATATTTCCTAACAAGAAGCACAAGACAGCATGATTAGATCGTATTTCCAATTTCTCGAAATGCCACGATTCATCATGACTCTTTCATTCTTACAAAGTATGTACAGATCGTGCTTTATCTCGCTATGGATAGATAGAGACACATTGATAAGAATACTAGCCTGAAGCAGTAACAACGTTACACTTCTTAATCTTCAATCGCTAGTATTTCCTGCCTGTGCCCAGATAACGCACGATCATTCCCGTTCGAGGAATTGACTTCATCTTCCTGTCAGGTTAATTTTAACCTTCGCTAACCCTAACGAGTTCATTCCCTACCTACAAGAATTACTAGACAAATGAGCCTCCCAAGTAAAACGTCCCCAGTCTTAACGTCTCAATTGCACTAGCAACCAAACTCCCCAAACTTCAAATGAACTTTCTATAAAATCAGTCTTGAGTTTCCACTCATACATTAACATCCGAATCATCATCCCTGTTGACAATCCACGCATCAAATTTCTCGATACCCTTCCACCACAAGAAAAAAAAAAAAAACAGCACAATGACCGACACATTTTACAAGACTCCACCATTCCACGTTCGCGGTTCGATTGGACAACAAAAACTGAAAGGACTCGAGATTTTCCAAATCGGTAACTAAGACGAACAAACTTGGCGTGATCTAATTATTCCAACATATTCCAACAAACGGAATTCCTTGGCACTACATCGATCGATCGGATTAACGGAGGCGATTATCGACCAGACAATTGGTACCGCTCGGATTATTACAGGTCTGGGAAAAACTGTCAACGACGTGTCTATACCACATGATTGAAAAGGACGATATAACAATAAGTGACATTTCTTCGTCTAGGAAGGAAGCCTGCAGAGGTTCGCATCTCTGACTGTGATCGCACTTTTCAATCGCACAATAAGTCGTCTCGGCTCTTGGGGGTTCGTCTTCCGAAATACGCGAGAGGAGAGAAATCCAGCAGATATCGGAAAGAATCCCCGTTGTGCGAATTCCTTCTGGAATTCGAGTCACGTCGGCGATGCCCTCGCCATTACTCCTCTTTATCCGCGTCCCTATTATCGTTAGATTCTTACTTTTCATCGCGGCGTGAGTAGCCTTAACAACGCCGTGTACGCGTTAGCTAGAAGAGGGGCCCTCTCGTTCTCTCTCGTGTTAACATTATTACATATATAATAATATATATATAGAGCATAGGGGGTGATGGGTTATAATAGGGACATAATTACTCTTATTATTAAGAATTATAATAATGTTAATAATAATGATAATGCAAGTACGAGAACTGCGTACTACGCGGCGGTCGGAGGCAGAATGTTAATTTTTCTTATTTACAGCAGCATCGCCGCTATTCTCTTCGAGTGTTCGGCTGGTTCCTTCCTCTTCGGCGAGAATTGACGTCTCATTTGCCAGGTCAATGTACAAGTACAGAGTACAAGTACGGTTACTTCCGAAGAGGAGGAGTGATTGGTGGTCACGATTGCGCGAAGAGACGCGGCGAATCTCCGGGGCATGTTAAAAGGTGGTTTCAGGGCGAGCGATTTGCCCAAAGATTGTTGTTAACCTCGATTAATGTTACTGATTTTCTTTTAGGCATGATGAAATGACGTAAAGAGGCGGGCGACTTATTTTATTCCGGGAAGGTAATAGAGCTCGAAGAAAAATTTGCACAAGTTTTTGTTAGGTGCATATGGTGGGTTAGAATATCACGGAGCACATAGAATGTTCCCTTGGAAGCTTACGCATTATTCGTTGCAAAAGCATGGATTAAAAGAATCGCAAGGTAAAACTAATTGGTTTAATATGTATTGTTGAAGAGTGCAATGGGTACGTCTGCTCGGAGCAGAAACGAGGATCTCTTTTCAGTCGCCCTGGAATGATTCATAGAAGTGATGCAAACCGAGTTACTCGAGTTTCAGCGTGAAGAGGTGGGAGAGCAAAGGGGACATGTTAAAAAAAAAAAGAAGAAGAAGAAGAACGGAAAGTGGTGTATATATTAGCATTAGGTAGATTAAATTAAGTTGTACTCAGTTTTTAGTTTCGCGCGAGCTCGCCCGGAATGAAACCACCTTCGCAAAAGTGTGTGGTGATAAGGGTGACAGGTAAATTTATCCTAAAGGACCGAAGCAAGGGACGTCGGCAAAGCGCCCCTGCCAGGACCCGCGAAATAGAAGCTTGCGTGTGTAATCTAGAGATTTGTGGGACTACAGAAAGTCGTCTGAAAAAATATGTTCCCTCGTCAAGGCCACGCTCGTCGACCGCACCCTTTCCTCGAGAGAGGACCGTCCACGTAAGGTGCCCAAAGCCGGCACCTCCACCTTCACAAAATTAAACCCACTTTATCTTAACACCATGCACTGAAATGTTAGTCTTTCGAGCGAGGATGTTAGCTTTCCAAGTACAGATCACTTCTACAAAAAATTCCATTTCTCTCTCGATTCACGTACACAATTACCAAGCGAGCACAACGTATTAAGACATGAAAATTTTAATTGAGTAAAGGTGGGGATCCCGGCTTAGCGCACCTGCCCACGTACATGTATTACGCATACGCACTCACACGCACGAGCCCAATAATATGTATGAATATGTATGGACATGTATCGGTACGGATTCCACTTTTTAGTTTGCTTTTCATGTGTCTCGGTTTTCCCCGTGAAATATTCCTTAAAAAAAAAAAAAATAAAAACGTTACAAACGCATCTTTGGCTCTCCCGCAATCGCCCTCGGTGTCCTCTAATAGTTATCCGCGTTCTCGTGTACACTGGAACAGAAACGGTAAGAGAGTTTGGTTAATAACTCTTCGATGAAACAGCCCCGAGAAAGGGAAGAGAGGAAAAGCCCAGGAGGAAATAAAACGCGAGGGGCGAGGATCAATTATTTAATACCAGGTGTCGGGACTGGAGATCGATGCGGTCGAAATCCTTCTGGGACCACGCGCGGTCTCGGAGGTCTTTCCATGTTACTTTCACATTCTAATCGTTACGTGCAACCCCCGAAGGGTTAAGAACACAAAAAGCAATGTCTCGAACAGATATTAATACGTAACACATGAAAACGTACAAAACTGAAGTCCAGCAACCACACCACAAAAGAGAAAGACGCTCGACGTATCAAAGCTCCAAATCCAGCCGCCATTTTGGTACCACCCGGTACCCTTCAATTTTGTACGTTTTGCAAAGATCACGAGGTGAGATCGAGGTTTATTATTAGTAATCAACAGGACTCGATGCAGTATCTAAGGACAAATTACGTGATAAAACGTTCTTAGGTAAAGACGAGGCTGTAAGGGCGACTTTCCACATCGTCGACGACGCGAGGGGCTGCAGGCAGGGGTTGATGTTAGTGTCCAGAAAGCAGGCGATCAGGGATCGGCGGTGGTGAGCACCTTTGTAGGATGATTAGTGATTCTTTGTTACATCGAAAGTAGAACAACAAAATCACTAGTCTTCCATACAACGGGGCTCTCGGGCGGCTCCCTCGAGATCTGGGAAGCTGGGAAACGGTGGCTCCTCCTCTGCGAGTCTTTCTCTTCTCCTCCACCTCGGCGAGCGCTAAATTCCCTCCAAGCCTGGTTACTCGGTTAATCCCGAGTCGTGTTAGTCCCTGAGGGCCCTGACGGTTCCGCTCATTGTCGCCGGTAATTCTAAAGGGCCGAGTGGTGATCCGAATACTTGCTACCAAATTCTAGGCTAATTCATTATCGGTCGTTCGCGCCCGCCTTATGGACGGGTCGCGTCAATTTTTCAGGAAAACGGTACTTTGTAAAAATCGGTACTTTGTAGAAATAGAAAAACAAGGAGGCATCGTCGCGAGGGGCCCCGCCGGCTGTAAGTAGGGCTCATACATGCAAATGGTTACAGATAACACAGGAATATTTTCAACGCTCCTTTACATCGCCTCGCGATAACGAGGTTCCTCGATATCTCGGGAAAACGGAGGGACTTGTGTTCGTCCTCCTGGCGAGGACTCGGTGGGGTGTACCACGGACCATTTAATTCACGGTTATTACACGAATTTCAGGCACCGTAAAATTTAACTTCAAAGACAAACCTCACGGAATCTCGTTCGATTTATGGAAAAGCTCTAACTTCCGGCATGGCCCATCGGAAACGGAAGCTGGGACGAGTTACACCCCACCGTTTCACTTCTCTCTTCTACGCTCGCAGAGCATCGGGGAACTTATCCACAAATGGTTAGTAATCCCAGGCTAATGCCGGGTTCCACCAACCTCGGTAAAAAAGCTACTCCTCGATTACAACGAGTTGCATTTAACCAATGATTTAACCGAGGTTGGTGGAACCGGGCATTATCCTCGCCATCGCGTTCACAGAGTTCAGGGTTAATCGACAACACTTGAGTCGCGGACACGCACTTACGAGTTACTTGTTACTTACGATTAATGCTCTACGGAGTCAATTCCTGCGCCTTGTTAAGGAGTTAAGAAAAATCGCGAGTACGCTTGCACACACGAAGGGCGACTTAGCCGAAAGACCTCCAGCCACGATCTAGGGTGCAGAACTAGTGGAGAGATGATCAAGGACCGAAAGCGAGATCGAGAGGAATCGGACGTAAGGAAATTGCGAGTACCGGGGAGGTCGTTACCTCTGTTGCAGTAGGTACTGTGCCATTTGTATCTGACTGGGCAACCCGCTGATAGTGATGATGCGATCGTTGCTACCAGGCAGGAGCTCGTCGTCTATCATTATCCCGGCGCCGCTGTCGGATCTGATCTTCCTGATCCTGGCGCCGCCTTTGCCGATTATGGCCCCGGCCAGCTAGACGAGAAGGAACGAGGACATCTCATTAGAAGAGACCCTCTTTGGCATCGGTTGAGCGAAGTATGTTGTTAAATTTCGGTTTAACCAGGTTAGATCCTGATTGCAGGTGCCACGTCTACTCACGTTTTGGGGTATGGTGACTTGAGTGCTGGTCTTGTTTCCGCCCAAATTACCTTGGTTGCCCTGATTATTTCCCAATGATGGGCCGCCGATACCGGAATTGCCGCCCAGACCGTTCGTCGCTCCACCCTGCATGCCCCATCCGTTGTCTGCGACAAAGGAAACGCAATTACCGGGTCTGCGTGCCGAACCGAGAACGAATTTCGCTATCCCGAGGGGCCGATCCCGAGCCGAGGTCGAAACCCCTAAGACGATCTTCGGGATCGACGAAAACCTGGATTCTCTCGAGATACCTCGTTTGGTGTCTTAATTATTTTTAAACACCGTTTAAACCTCCGTAGGCAGGTGAATCGTTCGAGGTTGCTTGGACTTGTCTTTTGCGTATTTTATTTTACCATCCACAATGGCGAAGGGCGCGGAACGGTAATCAGCCGTATCGCTCGAGAGATACCCTTTGCAGATCCGATGAAACTGTTTTGACGGTCAACAAACGGTCCTTGCTACCGGTCGCTCCATATTTGTCATGCGGGGACCGGAAACGACCATTTATATTAATATTCATCCATCGCCCACTTTTGTGTTTGCGTTGTTCCGGACAACAAACAGACACTCGGTAACTGTGGATCGATGTGGAGTCCTTTCCCGCAAATACGTGCAATGTCCATGCGCCATCGGTGGCAAATACCTACACGGGAAAAGCGACCCGGGCGAAATAATAAACGTCGCTTTCTCATTTTAACTGAAACATTAACGGACCAATAAACGTCCCATGTATTTTACAGAGCGCATTCAGTACCTGGCCGTACTTAATCCGAGCACGATAATGAACCCGTCGTTCGCCTCCGTTGGCGAAGGATTTTAAAAATAATAAATATTNTTTAAAATAAGGAACTCGCGAGTTCCTTCCAATTTGCTAGAAATCCTGAAATTTTTAAACATCCCCCTCTCCCCATATATCCATAAAGCGATCGCGATCACCTCGAGGTAAAGACCGCAAGGTGTACCTCTTAGGCAAAGCCCAGAAAATCCCCGAAAATCCCGTAAAATTCCCTAAATTCCCCCATATACCCAGACAGCCGATCACCGTTCCCATCGCCTCGAACGACGGTCTATGTCCCATCTTCGGGAAAACTCAGCGGAAATCTTTCGACGCGCGAATGCGATCCACGAGGACTAACCGTTGTAATTTCCGCCACCCCCGCCAGAATAGGGCGAGGGTCCACCCCTGTTGCCGCCGTATCCGCCTGGCCTTCCGCCGTCGAATCCGCCTCCACCGCCGCCGCCGCCGCCTCCGCCGCCTCCGCCACCTCCGCCGCGAGAGTTTCCGCCGAATCCGCGGTCCGGAGGTCCGGCCATCCCGCCACCCCTTGGGCCACCCCTGGGGGGCGGCGGGGGGAAGCCGCGGTTCATCTCGGGGGGGCCGCCCCCGCGGTTGTCGCGGCGCGGGGGCATTCCGCCACCTCCGCCGCCGGACCCGCCGCCGCCGCCTCCGCCGCCGCCCCCGCGGCCGCCGGAGCCTCCGTAACCGCCGGACTTACCCTGGCCTCCCTCTCCGCTTCCGTAGCCTCCATACTCCTCGGCGTAGAAGTCGTCGAAATTGTGCGGGTCGTAAGGGTTGTTCACGCCCCTCATCGGGGACTGCAACAGAGAGGGAAGTGAGCACCTGATAAGGGCCGCGATAAGGGGGCCGACTCGTAAAAACGCACCCCCTGATGCTATCTGCGGCGTAAGGTGGGGCTCTGTATGCTTTAGGAGAGATCGTAGCAATTTGCAATCTGCGGGGTAAATCGTGGTCTTGCTACGCCTAGATCAATTTCTACGGGTCGAATTTCCCCAGATTTATCGGCAAGATAAATCATTAACCGTCGCGGATTTGAGATCTGGGATTTTCTTCTTTTTTTAAATGATCATAGAAAATTCAGTATTAAATAAACCTTGGGAACAAGAAGGCGTAAAATTGTGCATTGATTTTAATCAATCAATTAATTTCAATTTAGGGTTATCGGGTAAAAAGGAACCTCGGTTCTCGCTCATTGCGCGAGTTTCCCATTATCCCGTTTACGGCAACGCATTGGTCGACCGATCGGACAGGTCTCCCAATTCTGCAAACAGTTTCGCGATTTCGCGGTCGGCCGTGTGTTAATATCCATTTGCAACGGCCGCCGTTAAGTAATGCAATGTATCACGCGATAGCGTCCCGTTTGGGTACGAAACGGCGCGTTTTCGGGCACAACGGAACACGACCGATAAAAATTTCGCGCTCGTTCGGTTTTTTCCCCTTTTTTCTCCCCGGTGGAGTAATAGCCGTAATGTCGGGCAATTGCGGGGACTCAATGGGACCTCGACGAACTCGCGAATTTTTCCGAGGCTAACGAGACGTCTTGTCCGTCCCGACGACTCACCGTCTTGATGGTGGCGATCAGCTCCCGGATGCTCTCCACACACGTGGCCGGCTTCCCGCAGATGCTAATGACCCGATCGGTACTGTGGGGACAGCAATTCGTGTAGATCTTGATCCTGGCACCGGTTTTCTGCAAGGAAAGGAGAAAGACCTCGTCAGACCTCGCCGGATATCACCCGGAACCTCCAAATGCGATAAAAGAATTCCTTATAGCCTCCATATTCACGTTATAAAGTTTGAGATGATTAGGTACACTCCAGTTTGGGGAAAAGTTTCACGAACGATCGATCCTTCGGATGCTACTTTCACATCCCCTTAATTAGGTATAGAATGAGACTTTTTTTTTGGAAGACCCGTAGACAACTGCTCGTTAAAAGTCGAAATTCACGTCTTAAAAGGCTCTGGGGATGAAATTTGTTTTCATAATATTTTATAAGATTTTTCAAGGGGAGCCTTGGAAGTACCCCGCAAAGTTTCCTAATTACTTCCCGAAGCCCGCGCGATTACCGAGGTAATTATTTCGGAGGGACTTGCGATTACCTCGCAAGCCTCCTAGCTTATCCTGGAAGTCTTGGGATCCTTCCTCTTGCGTGGCTTATTGAAATGATTAATGTTCAGGATTTTTCGACTTTCCCTGGAAAGTCCTCGCGATTTAAAAAGTTCTCTCGCGGTAAAAGTTGCCCCAAAGGTTTCTTAATTATTTTTCGATGTCCCGATTACTTTTCGAAGTGCCCTCTTTGAGGAATTCCGAGCCCTGGAAATTCTCCGAGACGGAAGAATTCTATAGTGGGAATCGCGCGAATTCTCGGACAGTTTCTCACCGTTCCAGCTGGTCCGATGAGTCTCTGGAAGTCTCGTAATTATCCCTCGAGCTCGCCGATTTCTCGGCAAAGTAATTAATTCCTTGTCGTCCAAGTCCTCGGATCGCGGAACTAACCCCGAGAGAATACGTTTTCCAAAGTATTCCAAGTGTCCCGCAAAGTCTCGGTATTATTTCCCGACGTTTCCGCCCCCTAATTAGTCCCCAAAGTCTCTCTCTCTCTTCTCTGCGGTCGTTTTTCGAAATCCCCTAATTAATACCGTCGATCGTTCCCAATGCCTCGCGAGATCGCTTAACGAGGTTGTCGGATTATTTTCCAAAGCTTCCCAGTTGTAACATTTCGCGAAGTGCCGCCAACTTCCCTACTTTCCCAGCGAGCCCTCTAATTATATTTGCCCCCGGTCTCCGATTTCTCAAAGTCCTCCAATTACGCCCCGAAATCTCCTAATTAATTTCCAAACTAGCGCGATTATTTCGGCAAAGTCCGTGGGCCCGGGTCGAAGCTTCGCACGGTGGGCGGGAACTTGGCAAATTTCGGAATTTCGGGGCCACTTAGAAAGGCTCTCGGAACTTCTCGTTAAATAGGTATGTGGAGAAATTACGGAACAACCACGAAGCGAGGGTGAGATACAATTAAACTGTCCTCGAGGGTGCTTCAATCGTACTCGCCCCTCTCTATAAAAATTCCCCATTTTATTCGACAATGCTCGGCGCCCTCCCAATTAATGCCCAACATCCCGCAGTTTCGAAGTAACTTTTCAAGTTTCAAACAAGAGGATCCCCTAGATTATGGGAAAGTTTTCGGCAATTTTCCCGAGCGCCGCTGTTTAAATATACATAGAGATAGCTCGGTGCGGGAGAGACGGGAAGATGGGGCATAAATGCGTCTTTTTTCCAAATCTTAATCACGTTCTCTCCGAATCTTCCACGACCCAAAGGTCTCCCGATCTCGCGGAAGTTCCTAGAAGGCCATAATTAATTTCCCCTTAAATTCTAAGTGCCGCGATTCTTCCGCAAAGTCGCCGACCTCGAGAAGAACGAATTCCCGATGGCCGGCCTCTCCGGCGTCGAGAGGCTCTCGGAAGTTTTTCGAAGCCCTCCCGATGGCTGGGAAGAGAGAGACGGACAATTCCGGCTGGATTGTTAGAAAAGGCGGAATTCCTTGTTCCTTTCCGGTCGAGTGGCCGCGAGAGTCCGGAAACCACGAGGAATTCGAGGGAGCCGGCCAAGTTCCCTCCCTCGAGCTGCTTAACCTTGTACTTGCCTTCCGATAGACAAGGAAATCGGAAGTTCTCAACTTCCGGCCGAGTTGGCGGGCCACTTAAGCATTCCCGAGGACGAACCAACTCGGAACTCCGCTTCGCTTCCCCTTTCCCCCCTTTTATTTTTTTTCTCAACCCGCGTTATTTAATTTCTCTCCCCTCGTCTCGAGCCGATCCTCTTTCTCGAGTTCTCGAAGTGCGACTCGAAGAGCGAAGACCTCGGATCTTCGAGCGCGGAATTGTCAAGGCGCGTTTGCCTAGACGACTGGAATAAATTGCCCCCTTAAAGAAGCTTTCGGAACGGGAAACCAAGAGGCCTCCTCCCCAGAACTCGCCCCAGGAGCTTGCACCCGGGAATTCAGTTTACTCGAAACTTCACGGCTTTTAAGGTCCTTACGTCGCTAATCACCTTTTGCGGCGGAAACAAGGTAGAAATCAAAGAACAAGGTCCTTAGAAATCTTCGACTTTCATATTTCCTCGCTAAAGGAGGTACAAGGTTTATCAAAAATTCAGAAATCCCGAATATACGGTCAAATTAAATGGTACGTATATTTAAACCTCCCTTACCGCGCCCAGAAATTCATTGTAAATTCAGGACTTTTCTTCCCCTTAAAGGCAATAATGGCCCAGAGAGGGGTGCGGGGTGTCTTTAAAATTCATGGAGCATTTCGCTAAAGTCTAATTATATTAAAACGAAATCCAGCCGAGGCGTCATTTAATCTCTTAAATTCCAGCCCGTAGGGTTGGGACACGTGCAACAAGGGGTGAACCGTAGGGGTAAATCGGACGTTTATAGCGAGACCGGGCAGATTGCACGAGCCACAATAGTTAGACCAAATCGCGAGCATGGCCCTTAAAAGCTTCCTCGAAACGAGGAACTACGAGCGGGATTGGCCCGACAGTCAAACGTCTACCCTTCTCGCACTTCCTGTGGGAGCTTCTGCAAACTCGGGACAGTTTCCCGGGTCAATGGCTAGGTGAAAAGGAACCACGGCCCGGGATTCGAAGGGTTGGCGAGAGCCTGGGAATCGTCGTTGCGGAAAATTCACCAAAGTCTCCGAAGTCTCGTTCGGTATTCCCTTTTCTCTCTGGCCCCGGAAATGAGAAACCTCGTCGACCCCGTCGACTCCTGGAGACCGCTAAATGGGGGCGAAAACGGGACGATTGCCCCCATAACGCTGGAAGGAATCCCTTACGACCATGGGATTCGGCCAACTTTATTTTGCGACCCTTACAGCCTCGAAAAAGAAAACGCCAACTAAAACCATTCGCCCTCCAGGTAAGATGATGTGATAGTGGCGTGAAGATACTTCGTTTATGAAAATTTGCCGAGGTCGTCGAAAGGGAACGCCGTTGCGTAACGCGCATTACACGCCGGGCCCGACGATTCTCGGCGTTTGCATTCTCGATAATCGATACGCGTCTGAAATTTCCCACTATAATGGTAATTTAGTACGACGGGGAACAGCGGTAACGCGAATCTCGCCGCGTTTACAACGAGGCCTGGCAAAGTTCGTCGTTAACGTCCACTCGGGGGTTGAACCGAGGGGGGGTGCGGTTCCTTTGATGCGGAGCAATTACGGGACGCGACTTCTGCAGGATAACGCCGATAATCCAACACCGAGCTCTGGGCTCCGATCGGGCAATTAATTGGATCACATGGTCGAGATTCGACCCGAAAATCAGACCGAACCGAACATTTTTAACATAGCCAGCCGATAATGAATTAATTTCATATTGACGGAGTACTTAATTAATTTATTTCCGTGCATGAATGGATATGTACAGAGGGGATGGTATAATTCACGTTGTACTCTGCCACCAAGGAGAAATGCATTGAAAGTAATTAAAATATCGGAGGTTACGCGAGAGGGATTAATTTAACTAATCACGTTGATTTATGGGAGCCGGAATTGTCAATTTTATATAATCGAAAAACAACGAGGGAATATTCGAAATTTAAAATTTTACCTAGGAGAGCTATTTTGGGACGAAACTCGCGAATCGTAACTCGATTTGAGGAGCAACGAAGGATCGATCCGAAGGCCCGATCGGTGCGAGAATCGAATCAAGTCGACGGAATAGTTACGTCCGCGGCCATCGGCGTTAATTCGATATTCCGTGCAAATCATCGCCGCAATGGATGTTGCATGAATTTTCATGAACGCTGCGGCGGTCTCGACGATGACCCGACATCGTTGAGCGACATTGTACCCTGGGACGCCGTCCACGGAAGAGATCGGACAGCTCGATCGCGTCTAAGGTAGACGGACCTTTGCGATTCGAATAAATCCGTATACCAGGAACACGTGGACCAGGAACACCGAAAAAAATCGAATTTGGGGGACCTCAAAGAGTACAGGATTCTTTGAGGACAGAAAAGAGCCACTTGTCTCCCGTACCCAACAAAAAGATAAGGTAAAACCATCAACAATTTCTAATCACCGAAGAAACGCGAAGGTGAATATCAAAAGCCAACCGTGGATCCCGGAGTGATATCCAATTAGAACCTGCGACCCCAAAAAATCGGCTTTGAATTTTCGCGGTAATGACGAAATTCCCGAAACTCGATAACGGTCAATATTCGATGTTCCGCGAGTATTTCCGCCATTTTCCGGGTAAATTAACGCGTCATCGGATTAGGTTTTCCGGCGCAAGGTTCGCCGCGCGTCGATGGTACTTAATTCGGTAATGGCCCCTCTCGGAACATTCCGTAACAACGCGTGCCGAGCTCCCGCGTACAGCCGTTAATGTACCAGCCTATACCCGCGTGTACCATTCAACGTTATTGGTACAATTCTCAATGGCTCTCCCTTCGAGTTCTACGGTCGACCGGTCGAACCAGTCCCGATGAAAACACGTCGAGGTAACATCGAGTGGGGATTCACGCGAATCGAATTCACCGCGACTCGTCCTGCACGGTCCAAGGATCCGAAATACGTTTTTTTTTTTTTTTTTTTTTTTTTTTATTGCCCACAGTCCACGAAGTGCGACAAACCGTTAAATCGGTATTCCAGGCGGAGAGTTCCCGCCGAGAGGTTCGACGTAGGGAGAGAAGTCTCCTCGGGATCATCTTCAGGGTACGTCGCTCCGTCGGTGGTCTACTTCGAGGTGCGACGAGATGCCCGATAACGGAGGCAAGTACTCCTTGGGAGAGGTGTCCCGTCACGACCGGGCAGAGGATCTCTGGATAGTCATCCACGGCAAGGTCTACGATCTTACGAGGTTCCTGAAGGAGCATCCAGGTGGAGAGGAAGTCCTCCTCAATTCCGCCGGCAAGGACGGGACGACCTGCTTCGACGACATCGGCCACTCCATGGAGGCCATTAAGCTAAGGGACGGCTTCGAAATCGGAGAAGTGGCCGAGAAATCGGAGGATCCTGGAAATAAGGAAGCCGAGCACCGCGCAACGACTCAGCCCGCTGCCGATGACGACGACTGGGAGTACCAGGAACCTGACAAGAAGACCTCCCCCATGCTCCCCGTTTTCGTGACCCTGGGTGTTATCGTCTACGCCGTAGTTTTCTATTATTTGTGGTACTAGTTATCCATATTTATTTTTCTACCAAAAATCATCGAGAGGTGCGACCGGTGTCTACTTCTTGCCGGGACGTTGGACGTAACTCGCAGTCGTTGATTACGAGTTGGTTTCGAAAATCTCCAGTTAAGTCGTTTCGAATTGGAAGGTGTTGAAATTCGTCTCGAGACGCTCTTGGCAGTTTAGTTCGAGCCGGGGCTGACCCGATGATTTGATGAGTCGACGGTTTCGTTGAACGAGTTCATGACGCGAGGAGGGCAATGCTTTGAGCGAAATTCCGTACGCGAAATTGCATCGACATTTGTTCCCGCTCATGCGCGGTTACGCAACATCCAACGTACATAACAAGGTTTACGAAATGCCTGGCGAACAATACCGATAAACCGCGTTTTGGTTATCTTTTTTTCTTATCGCCTCGAATCAGCCAAACGCGGGCGCTCTTTCGCGCCGATAGCACTCGAGGAAACAGCGAAATGATTATATTCTAATTTGACCGAGGCAAGGTTGGACATTTAAATTTATCGAGACCTACGTACCCGTCGTAACGCATGATTTCGCTCAGAACTCGGAGAAATTTACAACGATTACTTGAAGAACAATCACCGAGGCGCGTCGACCAGCCGCGCTCTGTCATATGCAAATCGACGCGTCAGTTGGCTAATCTTCACCTAATTCTTACCGGATAACAACGCGGCTTGAAAAAAAATTCCACAGGTCGTTTCGACTCCACCTTCGACGAGAATAACGACGCGGAAACCCCGGGCGTGGATTCTGCGACATCTTGTGAGATTCTTTGAATAAAATACCATCAAAGAGTAGGAATGAAAAAAAGAAAAAATATATATAAAAAACCGAGCGTCCATATTCACGGACGGTAAAAGGGGATCTAAAGGCTTAAGATACTCGGGGTGTGTTATTTCGGGGTGGAATTTACACACTCGTGGGCTCGTAGCCGAGGAATTCGGTCGTAAAACGAGCCATGGGTCCTGGGGGAAGCAACGACCGCCAGAGGGTCCTCGTTTTCCTCGAGCGTTGCACCCGCTCAACTTTGGCTATCCGTGGCCGGGGCCAATAATGTGGAATAGTCCGCAACGACGGCAGGGCGATCTTATCAGCGGTGCAACGTGTACGGGAGCGAACCACGAGGTTATCGTGTCATCATGACTCGGCCCGTTCGACGCTTCGGCCGCGCTTTCGACGCCAGTTCTTGGAGTCTTACCATGCTCGACGGGCGTCGTCCACGGAAAGTCTCGCGCAGAGAATAGTCTCCTCCATACCCGGGAAAACCATTGTCCGAGGTACGTGACAGCGATATTACCCGAGAAAAATTATTAACCGATCGATAAGCGCCACTTCCGTATCTATCGAGCCATCGGTACTGGAATAATCAATTGTAACATCGGCGCGATAAGATAGGGTTACTTCGGCAGGGGAATCTCTTGTCAACAAAATTCGCGTCCAACAGGGTACCTGGATAATTGTATATCGCGCGATGATAGCGTCATGACGGGTGCATCAGTGGTGCGCCAGGATTAGCCTGCATTGGCGATAATGGATCGATAAATCCTCCCCTCTTGACCCAAATCGTTGCGTTCTCCCTCGGTTAGGAAATGCCGTATGAATTATTAAAAAGAATTACAGGGCCCTGCAAAACGGAATGTATCTTAATTATGCCAAACATGGGTCCACGATAAGTTCTCCCGATTGAGAAATAAATATTTATCGAATCGATGCGCCGAATTTTGGCGTTAAGTATCCGGCGTTACTCGCGCATGCTTTTAAACGTATTTGGCGCGAAACTCCACCGAGTTGCCTGATTTTTTCCCGAGTTCCTGGGAATAAATGAATGTAAATAAAAACGGAGGACTGGAAGATATTAAACGCGGGCGCTAATAAGATGTTGAGTGACATTCGTGCCCTCGATTGCACGCAATCGTGGAAATCACGCGAGAAGCCTCGAGACGAGTGATCATTAAACGGCCCAGCTTCCCCCACCGAGCGGTACTGCAGAAATGCGCGGTAGATCCGCGCAGTGGCGCGTCGGCCGACCCGAAGGCCGTAGACCGTGACGTCAGAAACGCGTTCGAAACTCCCTGAATTGATGGAGCGCGAGCCAATCGTATTCCCGCGCTCCAACGGAAAGCGCGGTCCGTAGGGAAATCCTGCCGGACGACATAACCTCGAAACTCGTTAAACGGAACCAGGTGCCATGACTCGGCGTTAACGCGTGCGCGAAATAGGTATTCCTCGGCGTGGGGAACAACGAGGGACAATGGCGGCCGTTTAACGGCGCCGCCGCGAGCAAGGTCTGATCGTTCTCGAGTCCCTCCATTCGGAAGTCGCGGCACTAACGTTAACGAGTTCGACATCTTAAAATGCGCTAAACGCCTCCTGTATATAAAAGAATCGGGGGACGGAATCAAAAATTCCAGAAGGAAGAAGAACTCGACGTAGGGGAATGATATAACTCCGGAGTTTACCTCGGTAAGCGTAATTTTAAACGTTATCGACGACAGATACGTGGACGCCGATAATTCGAGGTTCGATCCGTTTTAGAAAAACAGAAGTCAGGACGTTGGTTCGTCCGTTTGCACGACCAATGCGAGGCCGCGCTTCAAGAGGAGGGTAAAATTAGAAATCGCTGAGAATCGAAGTCTGACACGAGGAAATATCCGCGTTCCGAATAATTCCGTGAACCACCGGTTGGATAAAGTCGAAGCTCGCGTTTAAAGAGGCTGCCAACATCGGCGGCCTTCCTACTGGAGAAGGCCCGATAAGCGGAGCGAGAGAGAGGGGGGCGCTCAGCGAGGACGGGGAATAAATCTAGTCATCGTTCCATAGCGGAACAGTCCACGCGAGTACGCAGCTTCGAGAAGAGGTTCCTCTTGCGGTAGGTCCGCGCGTCATCGGTAGGCCATCTTGGTCGGTCGAAGATTCAGCCGCGAGGTTACGTCGAAGTCACCCGGAGTGCGTTTATCGTGGGCGAATACGTACGCGCCGAAAATTTCATTCCGACCGACGTTTCCTTCGAAATGACGCACGCGGTTAAACGCGAGTTCGATCGCGCCGCGCTATGTGCGACTCCGTGGGACTTCGGCCTTGGCTCGGCCTCGCGTCTCGCCGTCTCTCTCGGGCCCCCGGGCCCGCCGCGAGCGCCCTCTCTCCTTCTCGCGCGACGTTCCGCTTCTCTCTCGGGAAATCTGCAAAAACCGCTCGCGAGGCTCGGCCCTGCGTCAATATTTATAGGGCCGGGCCGCGTCATCCCTTAAAAGCCCTTAACGGCTCCCCGAGGTGGCGGTAAGTTCGTCTCTCTCCGAGGGTCTCGAATGCGTCGGCGTCTCGCTCGCTCCCGCGGTGCTCCGGATTCCGGCGACGCTCTCTCGACGGGGCTTCCCTTCAATTGCCGCGCGGGAATGCCGGGAGTGTACGGAAACGCGCGGCGTAATAAATTTGAGCCTCTCGTACCTACACTCCGAGCGCGGCGAGGCGCGGCGAGGCGCGCCGCGTCCTCGACTCGGACGAGCGACGAGTGAAATTTGAATTTTCTTCCCGTATTTCTCGGCTTCTTTTTCTCCGTCTTATTCTCTCTCTCTCTCTCTCTCTCTTTTTCTTTCCTTTTTCTCCTTTTCACCTCCGAGGGATTTGCGCCTTTGTGACGGATCGCCCTGTCGCTTCTATGCGGCACGTGCTCCCGTGGGACGTAATTACTCGCACAAATTTCCTGACGTAGTCGCCGGAAATTCTTCGAATAGTCGTGGCTCTTTTCGAGAGGATAACGTGGAGTGGTTTTGAATGAAAAGAAAAAAAAAAATTACTTCACGCTTCCGACCGTTCCTCTTTTTCATTATTTTCAATACACTCGGAATCCCGTACGATCGATCGCCCAAAGATAATAGCTTCACCCGCGGAATTTACTTCCTGATACGAGGTACTCGATATGTCATCGATTATTCTCCTTTCCGCGAAACTCGTCGAGATAATCGCCGTCTCTGGAAGCGGGCCTGGTTAACGTCGTTAATAAAGCATATCATAATTGCATTTGCAGATAGAGCGAGTGCGCGCCCTCGCTAAGCCGCGTTAATCGATCTTGGTTTATTTCGCCAGTGACCCTTGATTTAACTTAAGCTTTTGACTCTCACCCGAACTTGACTCGAGCTCCGTTTCTTGCCGCGGTTCCTTTCATGTCTTACAAAACGAATTTTCGGACCCTTCAAAATTTGCCGAAACTCCCAATCGGTCGGTACGAAGCTCAAAGGCGGTTTTCATTTTAACTTGGAAAGTTTTAACCTTCGATCATCCGAAATGGGAGAAATTATCCGAGTCGATTGTTAACTTCTATTTGGACTTGGATGATTCGAACTTTTCGAGTTACTCTTCGACGATACTCTGGGAGACTCCACGTGCCTTCGTTTTGCAAATAGCGTTTAAAAAGAGGTAATCGTACCTCGCCTTACGTCACGGGTTTTAGTGCTCGGCAGCTACCACTCGCGTACCAGGAAACTCGAGAAGAACGATTACTTGCGAGAAACTCGAAGCAAAAAATATAGATGACGTTGCACGCTTGATCGTAGACAAGTCGCGTGTCTCGTCCGGGGACGAGACAATCGTAAGAAGCCACGACGGGAAAGAAAAATGAAAACGACTAAACGCGGTTTCGTCCGAGACAATCGTCAAATCTCCCGCTCGCGCCGCGACCGACCGGAGGAAAAAAAAAATATATAAACGACACCCGAGCAACCTCCCCTAGCTGACCAGTAACCCCTGATGGTTCGCATTTCAGGAAATGTCGTCGGCGAAGCAGTACACGAGGGAGGAGGTGAACAAGTCGAACGGCACGGGGAAGACGCTGGTAATAATTCACGACAAGGTGTACGACGTGACGGTCTTCCTGAACGAGCACCCCGGGGGCGAGGAGGTCCTGCTGGACCACGGGGGTAAGGACGCCTCGGAGGACTTCGACGACGTCGGCCACTCGGAGGACGCCCAAGTGCTCATGAAGCAGTATATGATCGGGGAGCTGGTGGAGGCCGAGAAGACGAACAAGACCCCGAAGAAGGGCTGGGTGGCGGGCTCCAGCTCGAAGAACCCGGAAAAGGACAAGTACGTCTCGGGTCCAGGACTTCCGTTCTACTTGCTCGTCGTGGGACTCCTCGCCGTCCTCTTCGCCATCTACTACTTGCGCTAGCGATACCTCCGTTCTCTCTCCCTTATCGCGTATATTTATCTCATTTTTTTCCCCTCCCGTCGAGGACGATTCCCCCCGGTGAGTGCGTAAACGTACGACGGGAGATGTTAACAAACTGCGTCGAGGGGGAATCGGACCCCGAGTCCCGTTCTTATCACGGTGCTCTAGGTTCCTTAAGTGCCCTGGTTATCGTGCGCGGGTATCCGTGGAGCCTCGAAGGAGTGGCCGAGGAAACGTCGCCCCCTTTTTGTCCCGAGAATACCCTCTCGACGTCCTTTGCCGTCGGTTCTTCGGACCGGAGCGACTAACGCGCTTCTTTTTCCCGACGATGAAGCCGTCCATTGTGGCGGTCGTTACGCAAAGTGCGTAGGAAACGTACCGAGCTGGGTATTCTCGGTATGCGGCACGACGTAGAGCGCGAATTCCCGTTTTATGGGGTATTATACCGTGTTTAGCGTGTACGCGATGGTAACGCACCGACATTTGCATGGAAACGGTCCCTTGTTCTTGATACAACGGTTCGGCTCTCTTCTTATCGCCGGGAACACTCGTGTTCCGAGAAGGGCACCGGAGTTCGTTTTGTTCCCCACGTTTCCCATTGGCCGGCCACTTTTGCCGTTATTACTCGGCTGGCATTCGTCATAACGCGAACGCCGTTAAGTAAGAATTGTACAGAGAGGAGGACGTCCCGTTGGACTAACGGGAAACAACGCGTCAACGACAAACTGCTCTTGTCGGTGCGCCGTACTTTAAGTGGATAATAAAACTAGGTGAAAAGGAAAGATTACCGGATTTCCGCGGCTATGGGAAATTATTCCCCGGATCCGCTAAATCGAGTTCGACTTCGCGCGGCATATCGGGGAGGTGTATTTTATACAACTCCACGTGCGAATAACGCGAGAATTTCGCGAGAGTAACGCCGAAATCCACCCTCCGCATAGGTGCATTACTCAAAACCCTATCAGCCAGTGATCAATAAGTTAGACCGGGGAGGAAAAAAAAAGAACCCCGGCGGAACGAAACAGTGATAAAAAGAGATTCCGATACCGGGAGCAAAAAGTCGGCAGCGTTCCCCCTAGCTCGCGTTTTTACGTATTTTCCTAGCATGGCCGTCAAAGTGTAGATCGACATAGGCCGAGTACATCCCCGAATGCGCTGGTGCGCCTTTCTTTCTCTCCTCTTCCAACCTTTCCTTCTTTTTTTACGGGGAGACTAAATTTCCGCAATTCCCGCTCACGGCCTCGGCGTTCCCGTTAATTTGCACTTGAAAAACATCGACCGACTCCCGGAATTCCTCACTCGTATGGTTTGTCGATCTCCTGCCTCCATTGCCTCCCCCCACCGGAAAGAAGAAACGAGCATTGTCCGTGCCGCGAAAAGGGAAACGGGCGCCGAGGGCGTCGCTCGCTCGCTAATAATTAATCGGATAAGTCGGGGGCCCGTTAATGGCCGCGGTGTGATCGCGGCCGAGCAACTGGAGCGCGAGAATTTAACAACGCGAAGGGGAGGAGAAACCCCCGAGAGAGGAGGAAGAGCGATGATAATAAAAGAGAGCGCGAGAGAGATGGTTACGCTCGTCATGAAATTTGATTTTGACGCGGTTGACAAATGATTGCCACCCCGACCGCGAAACGACGACCCGGCGCCTCGATTTCGAATTATTTTTCCACCCTCGAAAAAGGGAAGGAAGGGACGACCCATCGAATCGTCGGAGGACCATCCGCCATTAAGGGGACGTAAAGTCGGTGACAACCCCACTATAGGACACGATAGCCAGGATCATGGCGGTAAAAAGTGCACTTTTGTCTCTCGGGGAAGTCAACATTGAAATGGGTCGAGGGTCGACTAGTTTTGATGGAGCGAATCCCTGTAATTCCAGGATGGATTTTCATTGTCTCGCGGCGTGTCGATATAAAAGATAAGGATATGGGATACATCTTCTTCGAGTTCTAAGCAGGAAGTAATTAGTTTTACTTTCGGACGTATGGAACGATTTTCTTACCGAGCGAAATGTCGATCTGGATGTTAGGGATGTGGGATATCTTCTATGAGCTCTAGGTTGGGAGTAATTATTTTTAAATTTGGGCGGAAGGAATGACTTTTTCTTTCATGGTACAGGGTTGGAATGGCGTCGGGATTTGAGGACGACGCGAGTCCGACAGATCCGCGGAAACCGTCATTAAAATGGGGACGAATCGCGAGCAGGGCATAAAGACGGCGATAAAAGCGCAGTATTTCCACCGTGACATATTCCGCCGTTTGGTGCGCCGTGCCAAGTACTCGTCGAGCCTTGTCGTTTTTTTCCTTCCTTGACGATACCGATTGCCAAATGCGATGGCGCGCATGACGCCTATTCCGGGGTGCGCGACGATTCCCGAGAGACGGTACGCAATTAATGGATAATAAATCACATTTTCCGTATCGATGGCGTCCAACGTTGGCGAGCGAACTTCGGGATAATGATAAACGCAATTACACGTTAAAGTGCAATTACGTGTCCGACACTGCGCCCAGATGTTAGGTACTGTCAAATGGCTGATTATACCAAATGCTTCGACGGCGAAACTTCGGTCTAATTGCTCCGTCAAGTTTCTAATGGAACAATTGAATTACACCGGGCTCGTTCAACCAGTTAGCCCCGGCGCTCGTTCTTTACGGATTTGTAAGCTGCAAGCTGCAAGCTGCAAGCTGCGAGCCGAGAGGATTGCGATCCAAAGGAGAGGACGTCCGCGCCCGGTAAAATCAGTTTTCTTTGGACTTAAAGGCCTCACCCGAGACCCGGCCATTTCGATGGCGATTAAACCCCGGCCCCATAGACCTCGGCAAGTGAGGATAAAGCTCGAGTGCACCCTTTACGGGTGCGTTAATGCGAGATCGATAAGCCCGGCCGCCTCCTTCGGGCATTCTTAATCACCGGAGGATTAATTTTATGTCCGGCCAGATCGTCACTTCCCTCGGGATAATTCCCCGGTCTAAATCTTACGAAAGAGCAACGAGGTACTTAACATTTTTCTAGACTTTAATTATAAAAAGAAAAAAAAAATTAACGCTTCCACAACAAGGATTATTAATATCCGAATTCCCCGCGACACATCTCACCTTGACACCGGACATATTAGATAACTCAAGATGCCCTCGATATTCCCCGGTTTTATTTCCTGCTACCGTGCACCCGATGCAGGCTATAAAAGCGTAGGACGCCGTGAAAAAAAAAAAGGGAAAAAAAACGAGAAAAAACAGGAACGAGATCCACCATACCCCGAGAGTAGGACCGTGATAACGGCGATCCCCCCGGCTCTCGCCTTATCCGCCCTTCGACATAATGGAAACATATTTCTTCCCCGTGGGATATCGCGTAAGAGGGATATGCCGGGACTTCGGCAATTATCGCTCCGCCTGGAACTGCATAAAACTGCATAAAGGAGAGGCCGCGCGATACATGTACACCAGGAGGTGCAGTTGGAGGAGGTCATGGTGAGCGCATGTCTCGGATAACGTCGAACGTACGTATAAAGTACGTACGCCTCGCTTTGAGCCCCGTTATTGCGAGCTCACGTCTCAACTTTTATTTATAAAGCCAGACCTCGCGTCTTGCCAACCCCCCCGAGGAACCCAGAAGAGTGCATTTGTTCTCGGAAAGTCCCCGCTTTATCCTGGAAACGAGTTTCGCGACTTCGTTTCCCCCTTAATATGTAAATAAAGAAAATGAAGAGAAAGGAAGAAAAAAAAGAAGAGAGAAACACGGGGAAAATGGAATAAAACCGACGACGCATTACGGGAAATGCATATATTTCCTTGCCTGAAAACGATATTCAAGGTGACGTGAAACACGTCGAGGGATATGATCGACGTCGGTAAAACGGAGTTCACGTTCGAATATATATCGACAGCCGCGTCGAGTTATACAATTCCGTGCAGTACCGTTTCCGTACAATAATTATTAAGAAATCCAAGTGAAACTCCAGAAATTCCCTGGATTCACGATTTTCTTACGAGTCCACTTGCTCGAGGGAAGTTCACGTCACCTTAATACCCCCGCGGAATTTAGGGCTGAATTGATAGTCGGAGCGATAACACGAGGGCTTATCGAATGCAAGTCAAGGTGGAAAGTCTTGCTAGTCGTCCAAATCAGAATTCGATGCACGACTCGCTCCGAATCGACGTCGAGGGAGTCGTCGGGGGGAACGCAAATGCGCTAATAAAACGCAAAGAAAGAGAGACCGCGAAGAAACGGGCGAGAAGGGGATGGCGGGGTGGGGGCGAGAATACGTCGTTTATCCGCCGATTCGGGGGAACTCAATTACTTATCGATACTTCGTTTCCCCGACAGCTCCCTCAGGAGGGGAGGAAAGGACATCGGGCGATCATCGATGTTTTCCACTCGCGTAATATACGGATCTCGAAAAATAGAGAGGCGACGGAAAGGCGGGGAAAAAAACAACAGCAGGAAAAAGTGGAGGGAAAAAAAGGGCGGAAGTGCGTCGAGAGATGTGTATATAGGTATTTATGTATACGCCTATGTATTCGCGTATATATGTGCCTCCGCCTGATTCAGGCCGTATTTCTTTCTCCACCCACGTTCGATAACGATTCCCCCGCACATTCCCGAAAGTCCATAGCTTTCGCGACGGGAATTTCGAGCGATCGGCCCGAAAACAAGTCGTCCGTTACGAAAGCCAAGAGACGTTCCTCGGATTTCTCGCGTTACGTCACCCCATAAGAGAATCGGCTATATACCTCGACGGTCCATTATTTAACCCTTTGCGATCGGCAAATTTCTCTGATGGGAGTACCATCTAGTCGGAGCAAATTTAGCACATGACGCACATCTTGCCCCTATAAAATAATTTCCTCCACCATTTGAGGGATTAATGACATCATGCCGCCAGGTTGGCGGCACCGACTTCTACGACTTGCGAATGCCGCCACTGTGGCGGCATCACCGCAAAGGGTTAAACGCATTCGTTCTAAAATTCGGCGATGGGATTGGTTCAGTGTACGGGTTCCGTGGACGAGTCCGGGAACCTGCCAATTCATTTCCAGTGCAAGAGGTTGATTGAATTTTTGCAGTTCATTTTTTACTTCACTCCAGGCGAGCTTAACTCGTCCCAAGGCGACGGGTTTTCGGGCGCCGCTTCCGGGCGTTTTCGGGAGATATCCTGATTTAACCCCCAGCAGGTGGAGGCGGAGGGAGGTCGTCCATAAAACTGCAGGGAGATGAATTAAAATCTTGGCCTGCCGCCCGGTGCTAATGGACCGGGCATTCGCTCTCGGATGCCCGATTGGCCAGATGCCGGGAAAAGGTTGGGAAAAGCCATCGCGAAGGTTGCGCCGCTTCCTCCGCTTCGCTACTTATTACACTTTCCCGGCATTTCTTGAAATTGCTTACCGCGCATTTTTTCTCCCTCTCTTTTTTAACTCGTCGAGCGACCCAGTTCGTTACGAGGAGCCTGGAGGGACGTCTCCTCTACCCGGTCCGTTCTTATCAGGAACGGCGACGAAGTCAGGGGAAAACCTTGATTTTCCCGAAAACTTTCCGACGCGGGTAGCTTCGTCGTTACGTGACGAGAAGAAATCAAATCTTGGCCGAACGTCCCGCTCTGCCGATTGGGGGACTTCTTTTCAACTAATTTCTAACGTACACGGCTGCGGACAAAAAGGATCCAACAAATGTCACATCTTCGCGGATACTCGTACCTCCCATGGCCCGAGACAAAGTTTCAGGGAAAACCTCGAACTTCCCCCAGACTCCGCAGCCTCGCCAACCGTTAACGCGACGAGAAGCGAATTAAAAAAGCAGGCCTTAGGTGCCGTCCCTAATGGGCTCGCGATTCCCTTCGCCCAGATGCCAGGAGAAGGGAAGCACGCGAGGAGCAAAGTCGGGGGGTCCCTTCCCTCCACCCCATAACTCCCGTCCCGGCTCGGACCCAGGGGAGTATATCTCCCGTATACGTGGAAGCTGTTGACGCACCAGCGTTTACTCCCTTTTAGGTGGAGGCGCCCATCTTACTCTTATTGTCACTCTCTCTCTTCTCGAGTCTACTTTCCTGCCCCCTCGGCAGCGAGCCAAACTGGCGCAATGCTCGGTTCGGCAGTATATATATATACGCCCTCTCCCGGATCGTGGCCAATCGAATCCCGCTTTCCCGTTCATCTTCCCGGGAGCTTACGTCGGTGGCCAACTGACGTCCCTGTATGCCCCCCCAGGAAACCGAGAGAGGAGAGGAGAGCTTTCAAAGGGAACCGACGGATACCATCGAGCGCGTGGGATTAAATTTACCGGCCGATATGAATGGACAGCCGATATTACCGGTACGTCCCTGTCGGACGTATCGGAAACGAGGAACGTCGAGTTCCCCATAAAAAAAAAAAAGAAAAGAAGTTAGGAAGAAAACGGGGGATCTTGTCAAAATATCCCCCGAAGGAGCAACGCCGACCAAAGTCGGCGGCTTTGAGTTTCGAGACTTCTCCCTTCGCCGCAAAAAACGGGGGGGCACATCTCGAGGAATCCGCGACCCTCTCCTCCCCCCGTTGTTATTCATCCCTAATGAGGGGAACGAGGGAAATTATTGTTCGCTCGCAATTACTCTCGGTACCTCGGTACCCCGGGCACTGGTACCCTCAATGCCGAACCGGGTAACAATGCAGTTAGCGAGAAGATTCCGCCTCCGCTTCGCAATAAAGTCTTATATTCACGGCAAGTTTGTGGCTCCACGTCGTTTCCACTGTCTTCTCCTTCCAACCCCCCGCCCCCTCATGGAATAAAACGAACGGCGGTTTCGCTAGTTTCCAAGTTTCCGCGGGGACCGAAAACCCAGAGCTGCGCCTTCGACCCTCGCGACCCTGTTGATAACGCGATTCGGTTCAAACCGCGAAATTGCAAAGCACCGAATACTTACATTAAAGTGCCAAGTGGGTGTAAAAGAGAAACCGAAGAAGCCAGAGAAAAAAATACGGGACTTTCCGTATACCCTCCATATTTATATCGTGAATCATTCGAATCAATTCAGGACAGTTTGGGAAAAAGCCTCACGAATTCTGAGGCTTGAGTGTCCAATTTTTTTCCTCCCCTTTTAAAGGGATTTGGCGAAAAAAAAAAACGCGAAAAAATATCGTAGAACGTAGACGCAATTAATCGTCGGTCCTCCGTGGTCTGGAATTTTTTTTGGGGGGGAGGTCGGAACTATTCAGTCGGAATCTGCTGATGAACTCCCGAGGTAGGTGAATAATTTCGGTGGTCGGGCAAGGTAATTAGGAACTATGTCGTGCCCGAGCGGACTCGGCCAGTACGGAGAAGTACAGGACCGGGTGGGGGGTGGTATAGTTCGGCTCCCACGAGCAAAATTATCGAACGCAGCTAGCCCGGGCTCGGCGAATAACGAGGCCAAGAGGCCATCTAATATCGATATATGGGTGGGTATGTATGGACAACCCCCTCCCCCATCGGCGAAGGGGAGCCGACAAACCCCGCCAGAGATCGGCCAAGTTGGACCGTTCGATGGGGCCGAGCAGACGGAAAACTGCTGGCGGAACTTCGATTTTGTTTACTGGTTCTCTCGCGACCCCTCGCGATTCCTTCGCTTCCGCTTCCCCCGGCGATTCTCTAGCTTGGTTCGATCCCTCCGAGCTGCCGGAAACGAGGAAGGGGAATGCTCCGGAGGGCACTAAACCGTGCTCTCCCTTCTTCCAGCAAGTGCAAACCGAGTGGCTTCTCAACTCCGAGCGACGGAGAAATTTTCACTTGGTTTGCGTAATTTCTTTCTTTTTTTTTTTCCTTTTTTTTTTTAGAGAGAGATTAACATAGATATCCGTAAACCTTCCTGCGAGCCCTGCCGCGAACCCCGCCCGACTGGCTTTTCAAACCCGACAAACTTGGGAGAAATTTACCTCAGTCCACGTAACTTTTTTTTCCCCTTTTATCTTCCCGAAATTAAAAAATATAAACCGCGAAGCCCAACCCCGAATAACTTTCCGACCTCGGGAGAAATTTTCCCCGGTTCGGGTGATTCCTTTAAAAAAAAAAAATCAGCAC